TAAATGACTTGCAACATATATATGGTAATTTCTTTTTAAGAAAGAAGTTGCTGCTTTAAAAGAACTCCCGAGACAAATACATAACGAAGGACAACAATATTGCCTTTCAAAGGATTTTATAACAGAGAAAGAAACATTCAGGAAAGATTTAGGAATATCAATTAATATAAGATCTCATTTTGTTTTAAATAGGAGGAAAAATTCAAAGAAAACTGGAGTGGGGCTTCTCCCCACAGTCACTTCAGGTGATTTCTTGAAACAAGTATTTCAGAAAGAAAGCAAAGTCTAGAAATATCTATCTATAATCAATAATTACCACTACTAATTTTTGTTTAAAAGACTAAAACAAGTGAAACAAACTTCCTCTCCCCTGTATCTAATCAGTTCCACTCGTTGAGAAGTCATAACAGAACAGCTTACAGATTTCTATCTTCAACTTAATAAGACTTAAAGAGTAACCCTCTAAAATGGTTATGTTTTGAAAATATTTTGGAAGGTCAATTTACATTCTTACTTCCACTAAATATCTGATTGTGACAAGAATCTAACACAACAGTCATTCTGCCAAACCGGCTCAAACCGGATTCGAAGCCAGCTCAAAACCATTTTTCTTCCCCCAGTCTACTATCAGTCTAGTGCTATTAGGATGAAAGAGATATTTCATGAAAGTTTTGGCATGTATTGTCCTAAAAATATGAGTATTGAAAACATTAACATGCTAGCTTGCTAAAGAAAAGACAAACTTGATGAAAGCAAGGCAATTCATTGAAATATATCTCCACACAAAAGCAAAAATATCAACAGAAAGAAAATATAATCATACATTTTTAATTGGAAAACATAATACATGTTTGCTTGGCTTACAAACCTGAAGTAAGACTTGTAAAATCTTTTGTTTTGAAATACAATTTCTCATTTCTTGAAAGAACCTTGTGTGCTCTGAAACCATGTTGTGTTTAAGTACAATGGCATAGAATACGTACAATATTGGTACAAGTCCTTTTTTCGACTTTCTTTTTACGGTTTTCTGAATGCCAACTCAGTTCATTCAAAACAAAATGAAATTCAAAAAGCACTGTGCTAAATAAAGCTCTCATTCTAACAATAAAGAACTGTGGTCGCAATTATTTACATTCGCTAGTTTTAAAACCCTGATATGACACTGTAATTTCTGTGGTCCCAGGGGGGTGTTTCACAAAGATCTTAAGTCAAACTTAACTTTAAGTTGGACTTAAACATTATGTGGAGCCATTTGTAGCCTTAAGTATATTCAAAAGCAAAAAATTGAAGTATTTTAGACTTTTCATAAATTCCACATCAAGAACATGAAATCTCCTTGATAATAGAAAATAAGAATGATTTGAATCTTTAAAATAACTTTTACAAATTAATTTCAAAGATGCTAACGGCTTTCCATAATTGTTGAGTCCGACTCCTACTTAGGATCTTTGTGAAACACCCCCAGGTGTCTGTATTCTCTGACAATTGAACTCTGATACTGGGTTTAAGCAGTTCTTAAAAATTCAGGTCCAACAAAGGAAGTCAGTTCCAGGTCTAAGTTCTTAGACCAAGGATACGGTTTATCTGAATAAGTAGAATACAGCAAAGAGTTTGCACACTGTCTCACTGTCAACGATCACCTCTGGACTGTGCTTTGCTGAATGCATAACTTTGAAAACGACAGTACTACTTTATGCTGTAAATAGACCATTCTACATTCCTCACTTCAAGACTGATGGACTTTGCATCCGATGTCGGTCTTGCACGCTTTAAATGCGCTACAATGAGTTTTTAACAAGGGCAAAATATGTTGTCACATCTTTAATCTCTACATCCACATAGTGTGGTGAATAAAATTGTTTAGAATCTGTTTTCTCTTGAAATGCAACATCAAACTAATTGAAATTTTCATATATTTCTAATTGGCAGCATTGTATCTATATGAATAGCTAAGCATAAGGTTTTGATGCATGTAGAGTATCGGAGTGTGACGTCATGCTGACCGATCTATCAAGGTTGATGGTTCCAAACAATTTTGTGCTGAACAATCGCATGGTGAACACACCAGGGACCCGTTTCACAAAGCCTTTTTTCAATGACAAATTACAAATATCAGTGACAAATCTGTTGACAACCAATCAGAAGCAAGGATTTCAGTAGCTTATAACAGTAGCTTGTAATTTGTTATTGATATCAAGTTTTATGAAACGGGGTCCAGTACCGAACACCGATTTGCCCTACTCCAGTCTGTTGCTTGAAGTGTTTTGCGATGAACCTCATGCACAGGCTGTGTTGTTTGGAACCAGTGACCTGGACGACAAGTTATTATGACCTTAGCACTTCGTTTCTCTACTGGTTACATGTACATGACCTTGCATAAGGTACACCTGTTTAAAATTGTAACATAACAAGCAACAATTTTCTACCCTTGAAATGAATACAACAGGCGACTGTTTCAACTCACCGATTTTAACTAAATTCCACTGACAACAAAAGAATATTCATTCCTTATCACTTAAACATGTTGGTAGCTTAATCAAAGTAAGGCATCTATAAATATCTGTTTTATTTGGCTGGTAACAGTCTCTATGTTAATTAAACCCAACCTCTATTCTGATTCTTATCATGTTGCATGGCACTGCGTGACAAAAGCTGTATTCAAATCTGAAGTCATTTTTTTTTGGCTACCGATTTACACTTTGCATCATAAGTACATTAAAGGGTGGTTGAATTAGTTTTATATTTATCTCTTTTATTTAGCACATTGTGAATGGTACTCATGTCAATTCTATAACTTTAATGTTTTTTTCCAAAAATGAATAACTAAGTAATATTATATTTCCTTAATACATTTCTACATTGATCCAACCTTGATGAAACAGTAACAGTAATAGCTTGCTTGGAAGCAGTATATTTCAGTTCTCTCTAGTGACAAGTGGGCAATAGACAGCCCTGTAAACACCATCACCGGGCATAGCTATCATCTCTCCATGTGCCCCGCTAAGAAATCCTTTTAGTCACTGGATTGCCAGTGGGTGAAAAAATCGAGCCCATTTATCAGAGTATGATTTAAGTCGTTCTTCTTTTTTCTATCTCATTCTGTGTCTACTTGGTCAAACTTGGTGATAAAATGGTGTCTTAGTAGACCAGGGGGGTGTTTCACAAAGATCATTAGTCGAACTTAACTCTAAGTTGGACTTACAAATTATGGAGAGCCATTTTGTAGCTTTGAAATAAAATATATTCAATTTTTTTTTTTTTTTAGACTTTTCATAAATTACACAAGAACATGAAATCTCCTTGATAAAAGAAAATATAAATGATTTGAATTTACATTATATGCTATTTGAAATAACTTTTACAAAATATTTTTAACTCCAACTTAGAGATAAGTTCAACTTAGGATCTTTGTGAAACACTCCCCAAAACCCTCTTCTATTAGTAATTTTCAGCAAGACTGGGCCAATTTCTTATCGGTCTGATAATTCCTTACTTCACAGTGAACAACAACACTTTAATATCTACTACATGATCAACCTTTTCAGATCACCTCCACACAGTTTATTTTGCAATGCATTTAATGTAAGAGCAGAACTAAACTTTATCTTTTAAAGACTGAACCTGCAGACGTATCGAGCATCGATATTGGAAATGCTCTCCTAATGTGCTACCGAGAAGGAGGGGAAACTAAGAGAGACCTGGGAGGCTTTTCACAAAACCTTTTTCAATGACAAATGACAAAAATCAGTGACAAATCTGATGATAACCAATCAGAGGCAAGGATTTCAGTAGCTTATAACAAAAACTGTCATTTGTCACTGATGACAAGCTTTGTGAAAAGCCCCCCAGGGGCCTGTTTCACAAAGCTTTTCTTTTTCAATGACAAAAACTGTCATTTGTCACTGATGACAAGTTTCATGAAACAGGGCCCAGGTGGCGGTATCAATCAACAATACCAGCGATACTTTCCTCATTCTCTACCATGAGGGCAAGGATGCGGGTACGATTCATCAACTTGACAAATTTGCTCTCAGCCAATCAGATGCCATGATTTCAGTAGCTTATAACAGTAGCTTGTAACTTGTTATAGATCAACAATACCAGCTATACTTTCCTCATTCTCTACCATGAGCGCGAGGATGCGGGTATGACTCATCAGCTTGGTGCGCAGGTCTTCCAGCGATAGTTGCAAGAGGGAGGGACACCAACATATCATGAGGTTCTCCGCATTCATTTTGTTTCCTTCACTATGACCTGTGACCCTATATCAGGAATAATGGAACGATCCAAATTAGCATGAGACTACCGGTTGAATGTGACCTGTAACCCTATATCAGGAATAATGGAACGATCCACATTAGCATGAGATTACGGGATGTATGACACACGTTCCTACGATAATTACTCTTTATGTACCACACTAACCAATTTCCTATCACCAACCCTTGACCAAGTCTATCATTCAACCTAACCCTCAGCCTTAACCTAAACCTAATCCCAATTACAACCTTTACTCCATACTTTGATGAAGTAGACACTGAAGCATTTGCCAACCGAGCAAAAATAGTTGACCTGACCTTTATGGAACTTTCTACAGTAATAGTTTTGTTGCGAGTAGTATATTTCAGTTCTTTCAATTTTACGATTCACGGCCCGCGATTATCCTCACTGTGCAGTAACTAGACATCAGCCCTCTATGTTCCCTTTTAAACATTTTAATCACTGGCTTGCTAAATAATTTTCTTTGAAATATTTGGAAAACTGAATTTTTGACATGAAAGTGCAATACTACAAGCTACTGATACAAAAGATCCAAAGAGTTGCCAGGATCGAGCAACCCACTGGACAGTTCCCGACAAGATTGAAAAGAGAAACTCATAGTACAGTTTAACTATCCACGTCAGGACCGGCACCAACCGGGGTTGGTGATTTGGCTGGATATTTAAGATATAGAGCTGTTCTGTGAGGTCTAGGCATGTGATAATGTCTTTCGTCAAGTGTTCCTTTAATTTTTTGTAACAGGCTCTTGTTTTTAGAGAAATACATTGTACTTGATATTAAAATAAAAGGAAACAAAAAGAGAAATATTACTAATTCATTGATGTTTACTGTTTGTGGGTTCATGTTGTTGTATTCATGTGACATATCTACAGTTTGTTAAGGTTGTGTAGCGCCTTTAAAGCTGGATTCCAGAAGCATTGACGAATTCTAAGAAAAATCATTGTCATGTTCAGAATCTCCATCAAAAATTATTCTAAATGTCTTTTTTTTCCTTTTTTTAGTCAGTTTTGGTTAGAGTAGCCCTTTAACGAAAACCTGGTGGCAGTATCAATCGGTGAAACCGGCCCTAAAAATGTTTACTGAAAACCTGGTGGCGGTATCAATCGGTGAAACCGGCCCTAAAAGAGTTAACTGAAAACCTGGTGGCGGTATCGATCGGTGATACCAGCCCTAAAAGAGTTTACTAAAAACCTGGTGGCGGTATCAATCGGTGATACCAGCGAGACTCTCCTCATTCTCCATTATGAGCTGGAGGATGCGGATCAGTATTTCCCACTTGGTATGAAAGTCCTCCGGGGGGACCTGCAGGAGGGACGGACACCAGCATATAGCAAGGTTCTCGGCCTTCATTTTGTTCTCCTGTTGATGACCCGTCACCCTAGGGGAATAATGGAACGATCCAAGTTTAAGAGCATGGGGCTGCCATGCCAGGCTGCGTCTCAAAAAGAAAGCAGAATTGCATTTAAGATACTTTAATTTTTCTTCAAGCCTGATGATGACCAATCACCTTATGGGAATAATGGAACGATCCTAGTTTAAGAGCATGGGGCTGCCATGCATGCCAGGTTGCGTCTCAAAAAGAAAGCAGAATTGCATTTAATAGGGATGCCAGTTAGAATTGATCAGAGGGCCTGAAAATCACCTAGAATGAGCATTTTTGTACTAAAAAAAGCCTCAACTATGGTCTGAAAATAACTCGCCAGGGCATGACTTCAGATTATTGCCTGACAACTGGCATCCCTGATTTTAGATACTTAGCTTCCATACAAAGCTTTAAATGATTAAGCCCATTGAATTGAATTCTCTTTGAAATTGCATCCATATTCATGTAATGAACAAAGTTCACAGACTCCTACAAATTCATCAGATACTAAAACAAAGTTAACTCTTGGAGATTGCATTTTTTTAGTTGCGCCGCACCAAAGTTTTTGAAAAATTTCCCACTTGTTATGAGAGAAGCCCTATCTGTCACCGTCTGCAAAGATTTGTTAAAGACCAATTTGTAGCACTGCAAGTTTTGTCACCAAAGCGCATGAGAGTATACATGTGTCTATGTAATAGTGAATTATTTTGTTTTTATTTTTATTATCAACTCTACTTTTTGTTTCCATGTTGATGCCATAAAACCCCCTTAGAGAAAATGGAATGACCGAGGTTAGCAAGGGACGGCCACGCGAGGGTGATGATGATGCCCAATTTTTTTTGTGTTCCCTAATGATAGCCTGTAACCCCCCTTATGAATAATGGATGACTCCGAGCACGGATGAAATCCCTAGGCCAAAGTACCAAAGCCACTCACTCCACTGGCCTAGTAATATCTTCGGACATTACTAAATGTTATGAAATCTCTTTTGTCAGCTTTTCCAATATTACCCTTCAAAAGCTAAAGCAATGATACAACAAATTTTCTACCAATATACATGTACAGATATTCAGAAAGTTTGCAGATAAAATAAATAAGAGCATTAGAATAAGCCCTATGTTCCCAATACAAATATGGTAGAAGAATGACAGATTAAGCCAGATTTTTTTTATTTTTCTTCCTTTGACCCTAAATGATGAGCTGATGTTTGTTCTTTCAAGAGAGAACATTATGAAGAAAGCACATCTACAAAGACCATACTGGATAAGTGGGGTAAAATATTGTACAGTTAAACATAAAAATGGAGAGAAAAGACACAATATACAATGATTTCACTGAATGCATAGACGATCATTATTCAATAGATCTTCATCTAATAGTGAAGATAATCAAGTACGTGGGTGCTTCCATTTTATGAGACATGAAATGTGTGTGAGGGCTGAATTATATTGTTTAAAACTGTACATATGACCTTACAGGTAGGTACATATGACCTTACAGGTAGGTGCATCATCGTTCACCCCATTTCTAAAATGGAATTGCCACGTTGTAAAGGAGGAAAGCTATGTTGGTTGATTCCATTCTATTACTGGGGGTGTGTATTGCTAATGGTCGAGATTGAAACAGATTGGTACTGTAATGACAGAAGGAAAGCAGAAGAAAGGTTTGCTTATGATGATATTAATGAATGCCTACCGTCTGGTATGAAATGGAGTATGAGTATGCCATGAGAAGCAGTGATGTCTAATACACCTTGAGAATGAAATCTAGTTTCCAAAAAAGTAATTGCCAACCCTAACATTGATCTACTAGAGATATATTAAACAATACCTTCCACTCTAAACAAAATGATTGTTGAAAATACATTAAGGAATGCAAACAAAAATGAAATTGGTGGGAAAAGATGAAACTTCAATTCCTAGAAATCACGGAATAAAAACCAATAAGCATTCCTAAGTAATCTATTTCAAATAATATAAATTCCATTGAAATTTTCAGAGGCAAAACAAGTCTGAAATATTCTAATTCCAAATAAGCAACTTGGAAATGGAAAATACATCAGCACTGTATAAATTTTAAGAAAATCAGGTTCTAAACAAATATATTTTTAAAATAGTAGAATGTGGTAGAGACAGAGGGGAAAAGCCCTCAGACAAGCAATTAAAGCAAGTCATGCTTGATACATGTATAGTCTATTTGACCGAATGATAATTTGAATGCAGTATTTTAAGCTTTACTTCATAGGCAATGTTGGTGTGCCACAAGGATCTTTCATGGGACCTATACTATTCTTGAAAAGAATAAACAAAGTCATAACCATGAATTTTAATAAAAAGAAATACCTTTGAGATGAACATTAGTATAGATTTTGTTCACCTTAAAACCAATATCTACACAACTGGGAATGTATAGAACGTCATATGCTTCTGAAGCAAGATCCAATGCTGGTTTCTTTAACCCCCAAACCTGTTGATCATTCAATGAACAGGCATATCATCTTCATAATAACTGAAACAGAAAAAAACTGCCTTTGAAATCTTTGTAAGGCTTGAGCTTATATATTCTCAAATTAATTCACAACACTACGTAATTGCATTGAAGAGTCAACAAATACATTGTTTGCTAAATTACAATAAACAGATGCTCTAAGCAAGAACTTATATGAACTGTTACCATTGTTTAATCATATATACATCAATACAATTCCTTTATAAACCATAGGCCTTGGACACCTTCAATCTCTAAACCTTCTTTCAAAGAGAAGAGTTAATTTGAATTTAGCACCACCATCCCGACAACATAAAGTTCATCTTGCGATTGTTCATGAAAGGTGTTTTGAAAGAAACCATCTTAACACAGAGAGTAACTTACATCACTAAGGATATCGGGTCCGAATTTTAACAAAACTACCTATTAATAATAAAAACTACCACAATGCTATAATGAATTTGCCATTGGCCGAACAAGAACACTGATTTCAGCAGCTTATATGAAATCATCTTAAGTCACTATGAGTGACAGATTTTATGATACAGGCCCCTGGTACTACAGTATTACTGAACATAGTTTGAACATATCAATATTCTCTATGAGAGATGATTGCTCCCATATGAACATGGCGTAGCAACAGGGTTAGTAGATGTCTCATCTACGGCACTCGAGATCGACTTATGAGATAGTGACCGTGGGTGCATACGTGATGATGATGGTGATGATGATGATGCATTGTTATTCGCAACATAAGTTTCTGAAGCTCAAGACTATATTTTAATAACATGTCTGTTAGTGGTGGTGACACTGTATCCGTGAACGCAATTGCTCTCTGCATCAAGCCCCTGCTATTCATTGGTGATACTGTCTTCCTTGAAGCTCAGGTTCGCATCGTCGCATCTATCCACATCTGACAGCTGCTGGTTGACATGGCCAAAATGCTCCAAATATCTCAGAATAACCTTCCTTTACATGGACACCATTAAAACATTCTATCCCTGAAGCCGCAGTGACGATTTCCGGCACGCTCGTCATCTCAAAGCTATGGGTTACTCTGCTGAAACTCTCCTTCCACAAAACTAGCAGCAGTCCTCCAGCCTGATCAGAAGTGCAGTCTTCCACCATTTGTGCCACGTACACAGAGCACTAAACTCCATGATTAGGAAACCTATGATTAGTTATCCCCTCGGTCACCAACCCAGGGGTACTTTCGTTCACAAGACATAGCAGATATTCTCCTCTAGTAGTGCAGGATAACATAATATAACTATGGGTGCTTCATTTGATACAGTGTGAAAACAAATACAGAGCAAAGGCAACAGATTCACATATTCTGCTGCTTTATGGGCCCAGTGTTGAGCCCTGGGGGACTCCACACCGGACTCTCTCGTGATGAGAAGTGATACGATGCTTGAAAAACCTCACCATATATATCTAATTCTTGCAGTTGTTAATTAAGGCTGACTATAATATCAACTGAACGTGAGAGGTTAAAGGTCAATGGATTAACGCATGTGAGCTCATGTTCACGTGATGAAATCAAAGAGACTCTCTGAGTGTTCTACTATCAGCTTGAAGACTGCCGACAGGAGTGCTTCGTTTGCTAGGTCGTCAAATGACTTGCTTTGCGGGTGCAACATGGAGGGCCACCAACAAATGGAGAGATTTTCGGCGGTCATGAGGTTCACCTCCGAGCACTGAGTTATCCTATGGAGCATAATGGAACAGTCCAAATTATAGTACACATGGTGGTGGTGTATTAAAGCATGTGGGTTATAAGACTTAATAATGGGGTGGATTATTGAAGGCATTTGTGATGTGTTACTAGTAGAAATAATATGGATTGAAAAATTATTATGGTCACTAATGTTCACATAATGGAATAATCCATTCTTTACATGTGTCAGTGTGTTGAAGGGTCATCTTATTTAACAACAGGGAACAGAGAATAATATTGCATGCTAAGTGATCAATGGTCATTAATTTTACTTCCAAAAGCCAGGTGGTCCTACAGAAAAATGTACGTGTCAAACATTAAAATCGCTCATGCGTGGGTATATAAAAGGCAACACAACTTTTTACCCACGCCATTGGCTCGGTGTTATGTAGTGATCACCAACTTGCCTACTTCATGAACGACTATAAACCCACGCATGACCATCTTTAACATGTGGGTAATGTCTTTCAGTTAAAGGCGTTCAGTATTGTTGAACAATGCATGCAATCATTTGTTAAAGGCCGGAAGGGTGTGGAACTCCTTTCTGGCCACTAGTGAACAAATATCAGGAAGATACATTCAATTAATCCATGTCATATTGTTCCACCAACAAGTATAGCACCAGTCAAATATTATGTATTTGTGTATTTGGGCGTACCCAATAATAAGCCATGTTAACTGGGATTAGCGCCTTGTCCCTTGTTATACAAGTTCTTACCGGTAAATTAAATTTATGCTCCTACGTATAGATTGTATTGTTTGAACAGATGTCAAATATGTTGTCAAATTGAATGAAAGAAAATAAATGTTAATTTGAATAAACAAATCCCGGTTGACAACAAACAATTCCAGGGATGTCAAGTAAATATTTTCCTTTGAGAAATATGGTTAACAAATATATATCAGGAAAAATAAATATATACATCAGATAATTTAATAAAAATTAAGGAGCTCCATAGATTGCCAGTATTTTGATACGAACATAATCGCCCATCGCGAAAGATGCACATTTATTTTGCATATAATAATACCATTAATTTATAAGAGTAAAATGCTGCCCAGAAGAAACTCATATGCCAACTGCACAGTCTACTTGAGAGTCTGAAGGTTCTGGTTATGAATATTCATTAGAAGGAAATGTTCCCGAACTATTGAAGATAGTTATGAATATCCATTAGATCCATCACATACGTGTACTCAGAGCACAATTGATCTAGCGATATTTAGGGGCTAACCCACCACTAACTGCAAAATAATTTATTGCACTGCAATGCATTTCAGTAAGCTCCCCTAAACAACATATCAAAAGTCTCAAGAAATCCAAGTATCGGAAATTTATGAGATTGTCTATTTATTCATAGCATGATATTCCAAATTCAATATTTCTTTGAAATTATCGATGAGAAGATTTAATTTGATGGCGGTGTATTGACAAGTTATCACATCATACCTTTTATTGTTATTTGCTTAAATTTTGTGACCAAATGGTCAATGTAGGTCATATTAGACCTTCATGTGTACATGGTATGAATATTATGAACGAAATGGATATTATCTTTAAAATCCAAATATTCAAGATGCAGTACATCACCTATAGGATTTGTCTTCACTAACAAACAAAACGAACATGCTAATTACATATAAGCAAACAACTAGGATAGGGATTTACTGCATGCATTTCATGCCATGGCGCACTTTTGTACACTTAATAATGGAATCTGCCATTCATAAATGCTAGAACTTCAATACGTAAACAAAGAAAGGTATAAAGTTGAACGAAAAAGAATTTTCATGCAGCTACAGCTTTTCTGCTGATAAATCAGATTTCCTATCTAACATCCAGTGAAATATTTAACAAAGTTAACTCCTGACAAAAATAAAATTTGATCAGTCAATACAATTTAAATAACATTAATTTTTACAAAAACTGAAAAATGTAACACATAAAAAGGATACATTTAACAGAGGAAAACTTTGTCAAATTTGGAATGATATCCAATTTAAAAAAAAATTGTGATTACTTGCTTTAACTTTACTTCACAAAAATTACCTTCAAAAGCATTACTTGAATACAAATATATCCCTGAAATGCACCAATCAAAATGCTTACTCTTACAATTAAATGCATTGTCTGTAACATAATGTTTACAAACCAAAAATATGTATATGAATACTTGTCAAGCAGCAGTTATAAGAAGATGATCAATGTAATAAAAATGGCATGATTAGGAAAAGTAATAAGAGACCACTCAATTAAACGGTAAAAACAGCCACGTGGGAAGGGGGGGGGGTGGGACTGTTCTTTACGGTACACATAAATGTAAAATTGTATGGAACACTTTGACAACAGGTGAGACAATGACATTAATATGGAGGGACTATTTTGGAGCAAAAAAAAAAAAAAAAAAAAATTTTAAAGTGGATATGTTGATAAAAAGTCTCTAGGATTGTCTTTTTTGTTGTCTTCAGTGGGTGCTGCACGATAGCATTGCGAAAAGAAAAAGTGTTAGGGCGCATACATGTAAATCCTTTCTTTTTTATGAAGCTGCGAGCAGTATTCTTTATTTGTGAACAAATGTTATTAATTCATACACCATGATGTTAGTTTTCTCAGTAACAAAAAACAGAAAAAAATCTACAATTTATATATTTCTTGATCCATGCATGCAATGTTCAACAATTTTAAATATGAATTTATTATGAAGTTATTGATCAAGTTCAGGATGTAACCTTATATTTTTGAATTGCTTTGCTACTTTAGGTATGAATACAAATAATACAATTATCAAATCCTTCTGAAATACTGACATTTTGATTGCTATAAAAATGGGTAGATATGGCTGAATACTCATTAAAATCCCCTAATTGATGTGATTTTCAGGCAGATCAAGGTACTTCCACCACTTTTAATACCATAAAGGCACGTTAACACAAAATAATTTTATTTGAAATTTGGTTTGTCCAGAATTGTATTTTTTTATAATTGTATTTGTATCATCATCATGCAATGATACATTCACAAGTACTATAATGCATGAATGTAAGAACAGAATTACCAAAGAAAGTATAAATATGCATTCAGGGATTTCTCTTCTTTAGACGGGATCTATCAAATCATCAAAATTATCAAGGAAACCATGATTTTGATTTTGATGTGCTACAAACAAAGGCCCAAATACACTGGACATGACCCAACAGAAACATCACCTGTAGTTGAACACAGTGTGAATGCGACCACTGCATATGTTATGTAATTGGAAAACAAGTGTGAATACAACTACTCAATGAATATGCTACATTATGGATGGATGAAAAATGTGGATGCGACATGCAAACAGCTAGGAAGTGTGAACGCAAGCATTCTAGATACATACCTCTTCATATGTCTCATCATGTAGGTGAGAACATTCTTTTTGACGGATGACAGGCCGATAAGGTATTCGGGCAACCGCTCGACAAAGAGATCTTCGTTGTTGACATCTGCTCAATAGTGAAAAGAAATGAATAGTCAAGCTTGTAATGTGGCGTAATCTTGAATGTTTTGTTTTTTTCTTTCTTTTTAATTAGGTATTCGGCAACCGCTCAACAAAGAGATCTTCGTTGTTCACATCTGATCAATAGTGAAAAGATAAGAATAGTCAAGCTTCTAATGTGGCGTAATCTCGAATGTTTTTTTTTTTTTCTTTCTTTTTAATTAGGTATTCGGCAACCGCTCGACAAAAGAGATCTTCGTTATTGACATCTGCTCAATAGTGAAAAGATAAGAATAGTGAAGCTTGTAATGCAGTGTGTGACCGGTTTTACCATACTCTTTTTCCCCAATAGACTGTAGTGTTATGAAAACCGTTTGGCAAACACAAAATTTGGTTTCGATTTCCAATCGTAAATATCTTGATAATCAGACAGGTGATCGGATTGTAAAAGTCATGGGGTTCCTGACTGACCTAAAGGTTTATAATTATCATTGCAGCATGAGCTAAATCCAGGATTTTGTTTCAGAATCCGAGACAAAGTTACCGGATCCCTTTATCAGGAACCTATAACCTTTCTCCACCAGCATGAAAACCTATGTCAGGGACTACACTTATTATTCTATACCAGCATGAAAACCTATTTCAGGGACTACACTTACCATTTTATACCAGCATGGAAACCTATGTCAGGGACTACACTTACCTTTGTAGTCGGCAATCATCTTGTCCTGTGTACTGTAGGGTATGATCGGCTCCGGGAGATTCTTGAAGAACTGCTTCAGTGCGGAGGCGACCGTGTTGGCGCTTAGGTTCTCTAACGAGTTCAGATCGGCGAGCTGATCCTCATCAAACATCTTGATGATCACCTCGATATCATATGCTTTACCGGACACCCTGTATATACCCTCTTGGGAGATACCTGCAAGAGATAGGACAGTTCTGACATTACTGACACTAGTAACAGAGATGTACTGACAAGGTAAAATCACACTTTGAAATGTTTTTCATGTTGTACCTATATGTATTGATCTGGGACTCGTCTTACAAAGAGTTGATATCAATCGCAACTTATTTGCTATTGCAACTATGTACATAAGAGATACTGTAAACGCTGGTATTTTCTTGTGATTAATTTTTCACGCTGACAATCCCAAAACGTATTGGCGGGTTCTAACATTCCTGTTGCACGCAATTCAGCTCGTCAAAACACGCATAAGAAGTCAGGCCTACATATTTGCGGGTTTTCATATTCACGGACACCGACTTTAGCACGAAATCCATGAAAATTATAGCACCACGAATATTATCACGTTTACAGTAGTAAACTAAAAACATGCGATTGATTGGAGGACTTGCGATTGATTTGAATCAATCATAACTCTTTGTAAGAAGGGGCCCAGTTCTAAATTGTGTTGGAGGTGAGGTTCTCTAATAAGTTCAGAGCAGCGTTCTGATCTTCGTCAAACATCTTGATGAGCGAATCAATAAAATCATATCATATTATACCTTCTTGGGAAATACCTGCAAGAAGTATGAGTATTCATGGTGAACTATCAGAACAGTCTTCAGAAATGTCTGTAATTACATACATCTTCGTCACCATCATCTTCATCATCACCATCCTCATTAGCACAATCCTTGGCATCACCATCGTTGTCATCTTTCAGAATCCTCACATTCATTATCATGACCTCTATCATCATATTAATCACTATCATTATCATGACCTCTATCATCATATTAATCACTATCATCATCTTCGTCATCATCATCATCACCATCATCACATCAGTACCTCCACTATCATTATCATCACCATCATCACATCAGTACCTCTACTATCATTATCATCACATCAGTACCTCTACTATCATTATCATCACATCAGTACCTCCACTATCATTATCATCACATCAGTACCTCTACTATCATTATCATCACCATCATCACATCAGTACCTCTACTATCATTATCATCACCATCAACACATCAGTACCTCCACTATCATTATCATCACCATCATCACATCAGTACCTCTACTATCATTATCATCACCATCATCACATCAGTACCTCTACTATCATTATCATCACCATCATCACATCAGTACCTCTACTATCATTATCATCACCATCAACACATCAGTACCTCTACTATCATTATCATCACCATCATCACATCAGTACCTCTACTATCATTATCATCACCATCATCACATCAGTACCTCTACTATCATTATCATCACCATCAACACATCAGTACCTCTACTATCATTATCATCACCATCATCACATCAGTACCTCTACTATCATTATCATCACCATCAACACATCAGTACCTCCACTATCATTATCATCACCATCATCACATCAGTACCTCTACTATCATTATCATCACCATCATCACATCAGTACCTCCACTATCATTATCATCACCATCATCACATCAGTACCTCTACTATCATTATCATCACCATCATCACATCAGTACCTTCACTATCATTATCATCACCATCATCACATCAGTACCTTCACTATCATCATCACCATCCTCGCATCAGTACCTCTACTATCATTATCATCACCATCATCACATCAGTACCTCCACTATCATTATCATCACCATCATCACATCAGTACCTCTACTATCATTATCATCACCATCAACACATCAGTACCTCTACTATCATTATCATCACCATCATCACATCAGTACCTCTACTATCATTATCATCACCATCAACACATCAGTACCTCTACTATCATTATCATCACCATCATCACATCAGTACCTCCACTATCATTATCATCACCATCATCACATCAGTACCTCTACTATCATTATCATCACCATCATCACATCAGTACCTCCACTATCATTATCACCATCAACACATCAGTACCTCTACTATCATTATCATCACCATCAACACATCAGTACCTCTACTATCATTATCATCACCATCAACACATCAGTACCTTCACTATCATCATCACCATCCTCACATCAGTACCTCCACTATCATTATCATCACCATCAACACATCAGTACCTCCACTATCATTATCATCACCATCAACACATCAGTACCTCTACTATCATTATCATCACCATCATCACATCAGTACCTCCACTATCATTATCATCACCATCATCACATCAGTACCTCTACTATCATTATCATCACCATCATCACATCAGTACCTCCACTATCATTATCACCATCAACACATCAGTACCTCTACTATCATTATCATCACCATCAACACATCAGTACCTCTACTATCATTATCATCACCATCAACACATCAGTACCTCTACTATCACATACCTGCCAACATTTGAAAATGAGAATTAAGAATTTTTAGCGCGGTATGTCTTCGAAAATAAGAAATCTGTACACTTAACAGGCGTTCGCACATGCAGCGGCAGTGTAACTGGCAATACGCGGTAAATCTGTGCAAAAAAAAGCGAATTTAATCATGCAGCCCTTCAACGCACGCAATACACGTGAACTCTAACATCGCGTAAAGGATAAAACAAGCTTAATTTGGCTTAAGCAACACCAAAAAAAAAAAAAAAAAAAAAAAAAAAAAAAAAAAAAAATTGAAAAAAACCCAGAATATTCCGGATTTTGGGGTCCTAAAAATCCAGAAAATGGAATATTCCGGATTATTCGGAAGGGTTGGCAGGTACGCTGAATTCAATTCGGTGTAGCGATTGTCCAACACAGCTCAGTTACGGCAACATTTGACATGCATCGATCAAACTATACACAGTACATGTACGGTACGCCTCACCATCGCTGCCCCACTCCACTGGCACCGACTCACCTCCGGTACCGCACTGCAGCGTGCGTTCACTCTGTATACCATAGTCCCGACACACTTCTTCCAAATACTGGATTAGACAATTGAAAAGTTAGTACGGTACGGTAAACTCCATGAATCCATCAAGCAAGCGTATTCCTTGGGATTGGAAGACATTATAAGTAAAACTGACAAACTTTTGCAAGTTTAGTAACCATTCACGATCACACGTCGAAGTAAATATACACATCCCCGAGCGAAGCTCGGGGATGTACCCCGCTTGCTCCAAAAAGCCGCTGAGCCCCCTACACATTTGCCGACGACACGAATATCTATTCTATCATAACCTTTATCACCTTGGGAGTGTGTTCTGGGTGTTCGGTATTACATGAGCTTCATGCAGCTCTATTTATTTTTAAATAAAAATGTTAAAAACTCACCTAATCCTGCCTTTTTATCAGTAAAGTCCTTCACACAGCGAACAAAGTTGTGTGCAGTCCTATGGGGCTCGATCTCATGTAATCGCTGTATATGAACCGGAAGGTAATCGCAACTCTGTGAAGGTCAAGTCACGTGACGAGATCGCCCGAGTAGCACGCGCGGAAGCAACTGCTGTAGCAGACGACGCGACGTCTATACTGTGTGCAATGTAAATTTATAGCGTAATCGCCCAGATTCATTCATGATTCAGGCAGAAATTATTCAGCGTACGTAGAAACTGCCATGGAAACGAGAATGCTCAAAGAAGTTGTGGATGATGTGCTCGGAAGTACTTTTGTACTGAAACAAAAACAGGAGTCCATGCTCATAAGCGCTGCCAAAGGAAATCACACCATGGGGATCCTTCCCACTGGATACGGAAAAAGACGATAAAAGCCTTTGTTTTTTGGTGTAAAATTTTGTTTACAATTGATGCAAGAAGAAATAGTTCCCTCCATTTTAGCCTGCAGCAGACGACAAGCTTTCCGTAACACATTGAACGCACACGTGCTCGCACTTCCGGTTGCGCATGCGCAATACGTATGTTTCGTGAAGCTACTATTTTGGAATTTTAGTGCGATCACCAAGGACCAAGTTTTAGGTTAATTTGTTGCATTAAATCAGTAAAACCTCACTATCAGATATCAAGAAAGATGACAATGGATGCGCACAGCAACGTGGCATAGCCAAATGTGAGTATAGTTCCAAAATAATTAATTGCGTTAATTTAAAATGTTTTTTTTTAAATGTAGAAATTCTAGAATTGGCCGTTCACTGTACTGGCGGTATGGGAGGAGGTCAGACGCCGTGCTACGCACGGCGTCTGGTCAGGCTAACGTCGAAGCTAACCCGTTCGCTCAAAATTTATCGCACGTGAAGCGTGCATGTTCTTGTACATTGCTTGTATGGGTGTGTGTGTGTGTGTACGTGTATGGAGAGTACATGCCAGGCTTACACACACACACATAATGCTGATCTCTACGCTATAGATCAGTGGCACAAACACGCTGCAAAACCGTCATTACAAGCCAAATGAGCTTCCGCGGCCATCAACACACACACAGTATACTATACGAGAGCTCTCACACAAATCGCGGCAAATGGTAATACAAGCCCAATTTGGCTTAAATTTCCAAAATGCGGAATCTCCCGCATTTTAAGGTCCTAAAATTCCAGAAATGCGGAATATCCCGGAAAATGCGGGAGGGTTGGCAGGTATGCTATCATTATCATCACCATCAACACATCAGTACCTCCACTATCATTATCATCACCATCAACACATCAGTACCTCTACTATCATTATCATCACCATCATCACATCAGTACCTCCACTATCATTATCACCATCAACACATCAGTACCTCTACTATCATTATCATCACCATCAACACATCAGTACCTCCACTATCATTATCATCACCATCAACACATCAGTACCTCTACTATCATTATCATCACCATCATCACATCAGTACCTTCACTATCATCATCACCATCATCACATCAGTACCTCCACTATCATTATCATCACCATCAACACATCAGTACCTCCACTATCATTATCATCACCATCAACACATCAGTACCTCTACTATCATTATCATCACCATCAACACATCAGTACCTCCACTATCATTATCATCACCATCAACACATCAGTACCTTCACTATCATCATCACCATCATCACATCAGTACCTCTACTATCATTATCATCACCATCAACACATCAGTACCTTCACTATCATTATCATCACCATCAACACATCAGTACCTCTACTATCATTATCATCACCATCAACACATCAGTACCTCCACTATCATTATCATCACCATCATCACATCAGTACCTCTACTTTCATTATCATCACCATCATCACATCAGTACCTCTACTATCATTATCACCATCAACACATCAGTACCTCTACTATCATTATCATCACCATCATCACATCAGTACCTCTACTATCATTATCATCACCATCATCACATCAGTACCTCTACTATCATTATCATCACCATCATCACATCAGTACCTTCACTATCATCATCACCATCCTCGCATCAGTACCTCTACTATCATTATCATCACCATCATCACATCAGTACCTCTACTATCATTATCATCACCATCAACACATCAGTACCTCTACTATCATTATCATCACCATCATCACATCAGTACCTCTACTATCATTATCATCACCATCATCACATCAGTACCTCTACTATCATTATCATCACCATCATCACATCAGTACCTCTACTATCATTATCATCACCATCAACACATCAGTACCTCTACTATCATTATCACCATCAACACATCAGTACCTCTACTATCATTATCATCACCATCATCACATCAGTACCTCTACTATCATTATCATCACCATCAACACATCAGTACCTCTACTATCATTATCACCATCAACACATCAGTACCTCTACTATCATTATCATCACCATCATCACATCAGTACCTCTACTATCATTATCATCACCATCAACACATCAGTACCTCTACTATCATTATCATCACCATCATCACATCAGTACCTCTACTATCATTATCATCACCATCATCACATCAGTACCTCTACTATCATTATCATCACCATCATCACATCAGTACCTCTACTATCATTATCATCACCATCAACACATCAGTACCTCTACTATCATTATCACCATCAACACATCAGTACCTCTACTATCATTATCATCACCATCATCACATCAGTACCTCTACTATCATTATCATCACCATCAACACATCAGTACCTCTACTATCATTATCACCATCAACACATCAGTACCTCTACTATCATTATCATCACCATCATCACATCAGTACCTCTACTATCATTATCATCACCATCATCACATCAGTACCTCTACTATCATTATCATCACCATCATCACATCAGTACCTTCACTATCATCATCACCATCCTCGCATCAGTACCTCTACTATCATTATCATCACCATCAACACATCAGTACCTCTACTATCATTATCATCACCATCATCACATCAGTACCTCTACTATCATTATCATCACCATCATCACATCAGTACCTCTACTATCATTATCATCACCATCATCACATCAGTACCTTCACTATCATCATCACCATCCTCGCATCAGTACCTCTACTATCATTATCATCACCATCAACACATCAGTACCTCTACTATCATTATCATCACCATCATCACATCAGTACCTCTACTATCATTATCATCACCATCATCACATCAGTACCTCTACTATCATTATCATCACCATCATCACATCAGTACCTCTACTATCATTATCATCACCATCCTCGCATCAGTACCTTCACTATCATCATCACCATCCTCGCATTCATAATTGTCACCTCCATCATCATCATCATCGTAATCACCATCGTCGTCATCATCATCACCATCACTATCATAATCATCTTCATAGTCATCCTCCTCACTTTCATCACCATCCTCATCATCATTATCGTAATCATCATCGTCGTCTTAATCATCCTCACAATCATCTTCATCGTCATCCTCCTCACTTTCATCACCATCCTCATCATCATCATCATCGTAATCACCATCGTCGTCTTAATCATCCTCACAATCATCTTCATCGTCATCCTCCTCACTTTCATCACCATCCTCATCATCATCATCGTAATCACCATCGTCGTCATATCATCCTCACAATCATCATCATCCTCACTTTCATCACCATCCTCATCCCCATCATCATCGTAATCACCATCGTCGTCATGATCAACCTCACTTCCATCACCATCCCCATTATCCTAATCAAACCTTACCTTCATCCTCTATCCGATCCACACACTGTTCGATGAAAGACGGGACGCCATTCTCATTCAATATGAGCGTTTCAAGAGCGGGTTTTATCGGCTTACAAGGTAGTCCATCCTTCCCCTTTTTGCCTTTTGGTTTTTTCTATCAAATAAAAGTGGTTAAACTCAATTCATATTTGTATTTAAAAAGATAAAGGGCTGGGGAGTGTTTCACAAAGATCCTAAGTAGAACTTAACACTAAGTTGGACTTAAAAAGTATGGACAGCCATTGGAGCCTTAGAATGAAATATATTCAAAAGCAAAAATTTGGAGTATTTTAGACTTTTCATCAATTCCACATCAAGAACATGAAATCTCCCATGATAATAGAAAATATGAATGATTTGAATCAACATTTTATGCCTTCTAAAAAAAAAATTACAAAATATTTTCAAGGATGCTAATGGCTTCCCATAAATTTTAAGTCCAACTTAGAGATAAGTTCAACTTAGGATCTTTGTGAAACACCCCCCTATACAGAAAAAATACAGGTGAAATGTGAATTGTACAATACCTCCACAACTCCCAGCATTTAATGAAAACAAAATTAAAACAAGGGAAACGCTCTCGGCGCTCCCGTCTGCATTACGCAATTCGAAAAATTGAGGTTAAAACATTATTTATAGGCAGGGTGGCCCATTAGCAGGCCCCAAAAAATGAAATCCTCTGAATATAATCAGCATTTTGAAGTGAATCTAAGAATCATGAAAAAATAACAACAAAAAAAAATAACAAAAGTTGATTCATATATTCTCATATTAAAGGTACTATGTCCCTTTTGCAGGCCAAAAAAATTAAAAGGTTAAATTCAAATGGCATTTGAAAGATAATACTAATTTAGAACTCCCCTTAAAAAAATGTGGTTTGAAAATGTCTTTAAGTGGGAAAATAACGACTATTATTCTTGATTTTCAGACCATTGTACCGCATGGTCGTATGTTTCATGCTGCGCAAAGATTCAATCAGTTTAATTTTGGCCATTACAAGAAGTGGGTTATTGATGTATACAGATCCTTTACAGCTCATTTTATGTGTGGTATTACCAAAGAAGAAGAAAATTCCAGTCAGTCACTAAATACTGACATTAGTGTCTGCCAGTTAAGTCTAGCAAGTAAACAGGTTTCCTTGCATAATTTGAATATTAGGACACTGCTTACGTTTAAATTTCACAGATAGGACATACATGACATATTCATAATTCCTGCAAAGTTCTACAGAATTTGAGGTTGGCTGCAAAAGGGACATAGTATCTTTAAGTTGTGAAAACATAATCCAAGTCTACTGACCTAAAATGACCTTTGACCTTGTGACCTGGAATTTGTGTCATATGATTTGTGATACTTGATAACCCTTGGGTACAAGTTTCATGGAATATGAACAAACACTTTTGAAAATTTGCTAAATATTCAAAATCTTGATGTTGATGCCACAAAAAAGTCTAAGTTTGTTGACCTAACATGACCTTTGACCTTAACTAAGTGACCTGAATTCTACTCACATGATTGGGGATACTTAATTACCCTATAGTCCAAGTTTCATTGACTAAGAACTTATACTTTCAAAATTATATCAAAAATTCAAAAACTTAACCTCGGGTTAAGTTTTTGATGTTGACGCCGTCGCGGCCACCGGATATAATGAGGTCCTTGGGACAATCAAAATTACATTGTTATACACATGACAAGAATCTTGTGATATCAGATCACTTTATACTGAGTTTTCACTGTATCATAATGAATTGTTTAATGGGTCATCCCTATAGAATGGTAACTAGCAATGAACAGTTTTGCACATCTTAACACTTACCGGTATCACCAATTATTCAGTAATACTAATAGTTTCAAAGTACTGTGAGAGTATTTAAGTCATTCTTATGATTCTTATCATTTGGAGGTAGAAGCTCCTGCATGAAGGGCCATGTACTTCTGAATTCATCTCCCTGACACTTTTACACTCATCTTTGCTTGTATTTTGACAGATTTCCTTCTCATAAGTTCCGTAATTAATCATAAATCATGTACCATACGTAGCAACTGCACACGAAATACGTATCTCCCATATATATATATACAGCCAGATTCATGCTGTCATTGTGAATGATAATGCTAGCGTGCCACGTGCACGCTGTGCGGTGCCTTTGGCTGAGGGAGTATGCATGGCACTCTATACGCACACACAAGCTCTTTATTACACGCTGCAAATTAAATAGAGATCAGCATGGCACGCAGCACACACGATGCACGCATCTTGCCCGATGCGATCCTTCCAGCACTTATCGAATAGATCCTATAGAAAGCCGATTCCCCCGAATCTAAAAACCTCAAAAACGTAAGGTTCCATTAGAATCGGAACGGTTGGCAAGTCTAGGATAGGATTTATATATATCGTTGGGTAGGATCTATAGGCTATTGCTATTTTACATACAAACATGCTGTGAAAAATGAACTTACTTTGTTATCCTTTTTTTTATTTGGCAACTTGTCAATGGGAGTATTCTGAAGAAAAAGAAGGACAAAAATCAAATCATTTAAAAATGCTTAATACAAATTGGTAGAGCTTTGCACAAATGGATTTGAATTTACTTTTGCTACAGTTAACAAGTAAATTATTCATACTCCTTGTAAATTTAATGTTTTCTGTAACTCAAGAAAGAAAGGTGGCTAGTTGAAATAGGGCCTTCGTTAAATACTTTTTGATGTAAGCTTTGATATGTCACATTCTCATGAAATATAAATCAGGACAACTCAATTTTGCACATACTTAAATTATTACAAAACTTGGCTGACTGGTCGGTTCAATGATTGCCTGACAACTTATTGGATACCTCATTAGACAACAAACCTTAGCATTTATTTTATTTTTTATTTGCTCTCTTTCAGTGGATCTTAAGAATATCCAGGTAATATTAAAGACTTTTTGCAACTAAGGGCAAGGTATTCAACAATTCTAGAGGCAAAATCAACCTTTTTTATAATCCTTTTGCAACACAGGAAACAATAAACAAAATATTTTTAAAAAGGACTAAAACTTACAGGCTCGTTGTCCTGGAAAGAGCCGTCCATGGATGCTAAATAAAGATAGAAAGAAACAAATAAATACATACTCATAAAAAACAAACATTGATAAAATTGGAACTTTGTTTCTTTGAATACCGTAGACATGCGTTCAATCATTGAGAGCTGCTGACCTGTCACTTAAAAAGGGGTGATTTTTCATTCATAGAATAAAAGTTAAGGAAAAAGAATTTGTATTTTCAGGGCGACTATGCAATATGGTGTTTTTACCAAACTAACTTGCTTTAGCGACCACTTTTAATTCACAACCATCTTGCTTCGATCTGAAAATAAAATCAATTTTGAATTCTTTAAATTACCTTTAGGGCCTTGAAATTAATTTTATAAACTTAAATATCATCAAATTCAAACTCATAACTCAATTCTCACTGAAAAGGCTCTAACAAAACAAAACCCAATGAAAGTCTACATATGCCTTTAATAGTAAAGAGAAATATCCTGCTAACATGCAGTCTACTGTAAATACGGGTTGAACTAAAACTAAACTCCCATGCCTTTCTTGTCCTACTTGCAGTGCGTCCCCTCCGATCACATGCAATTCCAAACCTCATTCTCTAACTGTCTATTCACGGTCATGAATATCCCGTTCACATGCCAATGTTAATTGCACAAAAGTAAGTAAGAGACCAGGAGACCAAAGGCTTTAAGTCCTCTTCGAGGGACTTGGTAATGAGGATCAGGGACTTGGTAATGAGGATCAGGAACTTGGTAATGAGGATCAGGGACTTGGTAATGAGGATCAGGAACTTGGTAATGAGGATCAGGAACTTGGTAATGAGGATCAGGAACTTGGTAATGAGGATCAGGGACTTGGTAATGAGGATCAGGAACTTGGTAATGAGGATCAGGAACTTGGTAATGAGGATCAGGGACTTGGTAATGAGGATCAGGAACTCGGTAATGAGGATCAGGGACTTGGTAATGAAGAACAATGACTTACCAAAGGGCAATAGCACATTGACTTGCGTTTCGAACCCAGGACCTCCCGGTTAAGAGACCACTACTCTACCACTGAGCCATCGTGCCTCTACATGTATTTTGGGGTCATATCAAAGCATATCAAAGCATACAATGCCTTTAAAGTGCCTTACCAAAGGGCAAGAGTGCATTGACTTGCGTTTTGAATCCGGGACCTCCCGGTTACGAGACCACTACTCTACCACTGGGCCATCGTGCCTCTACATGTATTGGGAGGGTCATATCAAAGCATATCAAAGCGTACAATGCCTTTAAAGTGCATCACCCTGTTCGCATGCGGATCTTAATCTCGTTGTGACTCACCCTGGCTAGCTTGCTCATCGTGTGATTTGGGATCATACAAGGGGGCTACACGTTTGTGATAGTGTAAACATATATAAAGTCAGTATAAAGACATGTTCTGCATTCACGGTCATACATTTTGAATGGAAAATACCTGTAGTACAAGATACACGATATGGACTACACATGCAACATTCAGACGTGTATGGCTTACAGTTTATCATATAAAACCACTTTAACAACTATAATACTCCATAAATTAATTAGAGGTAGGAATAGGATCAGCTCTTTGATCACTTATCGAGATAGAATTTGAACAGTCACTTCAGGAGTTCTAGAAACATCTATAACCCTGTTTAAGCCATTGCCCCATCGAGACCTGTGGTCAAGGCCCATCAAATGGCCCATCTGTCCATAAACATTTTCGTTCAAGGCTTTGTCCTACCAAGAACTCTGAAGCAAGGAACTCTGAAGATGTTCGGAAGGCACATCTACCTTCAATAAGTTAGTTCCAAACCTTTGCCAACCCTGACACTTGCTGCAGGAGCTCTACAGACCCACCCATCCTGCATAACTTTTGTACAAGACCTTGTCTAAGGCAATCAGGACGCCCAACTTCCTTCTATAAGCTTTTTCAATCCCTTACTCATCCATGAACCTGTTCCTAGAGCATCAAACAACCCACCTGTCCCTAAAAAAGTTGTGTTCAAGGCTTTGTCCTACCACGATACAAGCCAGGAACTCTGAAGAGCCCGTCCTAGGCATTCAGAATGCACAGCTTCCTTCTACAAGATTGTTCGATCCCTTACTGATCCACATACCTATTCCTAGATCATGAAACGACCCACCTGTTCCTAAAACTCCAAAGATACAAGCCAGGAACTCTTAAGATGTTATTGGGAAACACCTACCTTCTATAAGCTTGTTCCACCCCTTACTCATACATGTACCTATTTCTAGATCATCAAACGTCCCCTTTTTCCCTAGTTCTTCAAGGCTTTGTCCTACCAAGATACAAGCTAGGAACTCTGAAGATGTTACAAAGGCACACCTACCTTCTATAAGCTTGTTCAAGCCCTTGAGGAAATCCTCCCGCTTCTTGTGCCTGGCATTCGCAGTTCCCAGGGGCCTCCTGACGGGGGTTTGTTTCTGCACCTCTCTGGGCCGGCTGGCATTTGCAGGCGAGGCATCAGGGGTGTTGTTGTTTGCTACAGAGAGCCCAGTGGGGCGAGGTGTGGTCGCGACCATCGGTTTGCCGAACATGATTCGCTGGTTCTAGGGCGTCGGTTAAAATAGGAGACAGGTTGAGTGAAACTACAGAACATTATAAATGAAGATCACATTTGCTCTGCTCAATTAGATCTACAGACCATTTCGTAGTAAGCACATGGTACAAATGACCCCAAATATCCACAGATCTTTTACTCATGGTGAAGTCTCACTTTGTGTATCTTAGAATAAATCAATGCCAAAGTCATGTACATGCTTCATGAATAGCTTTTGTGTGCCGTCTTGTATGATAGAATGTACTGTCGATGCACAAATGATGATTACATAACATGAGCATGTATTCATCTCGGTGGGCTTTAACATTTTATCACAAATGACCTTTATCGGCTCATGCGCAAATCGTATCTACGAAATGGTCTATTACAGTAACAATGTGATTGCAGAGACTAATGAGAAAACCAAACCTGCAAACATGATGAAAAGACTGCAGTAACAATGTTAGAACATCATATGAAACTACTAGATAAAGCAGGAAAATATTGTGTTAGTATCATAAAACATCATACTTTTAATGTTCACTGCAAAGAGTGGAGAATGGAAAGAGAACCTTATAATGATAAAGCTCAATTATTTTATCAAACCTGGAATGTATTCTAAAACTTGTTTCTCCTTGTCTTACTGACATGATTTCAATCATTACAAATTCTAAAATGCAGCATTTGAAAGACGTTTGCAAAGACGTGTTTTACATACAAACTCAAATGTAATCAGAAACCAAAAACAAGCCATGAGTATAGATTCATTATAAATTATGGTAATTGAAATCAGTTCACTGAAATATAGATTTCACTTATTTTCTGAGATACAGTCATGGTTAGTACAAAAAATATTAGTAATAGCTTGTGACGTATTGGAATTGCACAGAACATGAATGAATATTTCAACAACAAAAAAGCATGGTTAATGAAAATGCTTACGAATGTATTAGTGTCTAATAGTAGAACAAAAGTATTTTGTTTCAGTCAGATGATTCGGGATATGAATTAATCATACACACTATTCAATACACTCCACATGGTAGACATCTTTAAGAAGGTTTATAACAACATTAGATTATGACAAATCACTTGGTAATTTTTTTTTAAGGAGAACTTGTCGCTATATTGACTGGTGAGACTATCAAACTACATTTTTAAAGAAGATTTTGACATTTTCAAATAAAATCTGCATAAAAGAGCTCTCACTAGCATTGCTTGCTCTTACATGCAGCGTGACAACTTGCAACAAAGCAGTATCTTCTTTCTCTATGCAGTGGAACCTCGTTATAATGAGGTCCTTGGGACCATGGATATTACCTTGTTATATCAGGACCCTGTTTCATAAAACTTGATATCAACAACAAGTTACAAGCTACTGTTATAAGCTACTGAAATCATGGCATCTGATTGGCTGAGAGCAACTTTGTCATAGAAATTTAGCATTTGTTATATGAAACAGGCCCCTGGAATCTTGTTATATCAGGGTAAAAAAACAAAGGATATAAAGAGCAGGGACCAGCAAATTCTCCTTGTTTATAACAGAAACCTCGTTATATCAGAGCTCTTTATATTGAGGTTCGACTGTACAAGGTCATGAGGTCATGAGGTCATGAGGTCATGAGGTCAATGATGGCCAACTTGTTACTTTATAAGTAAGGAATCTTCTAGAGTGACTAACCATAGCCCTTGCTATGCCTCGAAACTGATGGATATATGTATCCACAAAAAATGCAATGTTAGACAAATAGTTTCACATTTTTACTTCATACAATTTCATACCCCCTAAACAAAAAGTATTCATGTCTAACATTATGATTAATTATTTTGCTTTGAATTCAAAGATGAAAGGCAAGCAGTTAAGTTTAAGAACTGTATAAGGAAGCTACTATTTTTCGTAATGTAACCAGATTAAATGCATTAATACAAATTATTTCATTCACATTAACAAATAATTGTTTCTCAATAGTCTGAATGTGCATTGCATACAGTATTTGTTGCTTGGTAAGACACACCTTTGGCTTGCCCTACCTAGCAACACATAATGCAGATTGCATTCTGACTATTGAAATACAATTTTTCTTAACAGGTGAATGAAATAATTTTTAATGAGGCACTTAACAAAGACGTATGCATTATACAGTCAAACCTGCTCTAGCGATCACCTGTATAGAAGGACCACCTGTATAGAAGGACCACCTGCCTACAAAGACCACATTTTTTGTTTTTCTTGGAAATAGTTTCTCATCAAATCATGTACTAAAGGAACCTGTACTTAAAGACCACCTGCCTATAAAGACCACTTTTCTGATCTCTCTTGGGTGGCCTTTATAGACAGTTTTCACTGTATTCACTTACATTACAAAAATGGACTGTTGGCTGTGGTTTGAATGGAGATCATTATCCCATTAACTACTGAATTCTCATATTCCTATAGGCTTTAATACAGGAGCCACAAGATTCCAATACGCAATGGGTTAAACATGTGTGTAGTGTGGAGCAGTGAGAGAAATACAGCACACTGACGTAGATTGCTCATAAAACATGCACAGTCTAACTATGAGAGATGAGACACAAAATGAAAGCAAACACTGCAGACAGGTGTGTAGGTGATACCCCCACATCACCATTTGGCATGTGACAGAACATCTATCACATCTACTTCTGTAGCAAATAGAGTACCGAAGTGTGAGGTCGTACGGGCCAAGTCGTCAAGGTTGCTGGTTCCAAAGAACTTTGTGCTAAACAATGGTGTGGTGATCACACCAGCCCCAAACACTGAATTTGCCCTGCTCCAGCCCGTTGCTGGAATGATTTCACGGTGAACCTCATGCACAGGCTCTGCTGCTAAGAACCATTGACCTGGTCGACGAGCGAGTATGACGCTAGCACTTCGGTACTCTATATATGTAGCATATGAGACACTAAACAAAGGTGTTGCTTGGGTTTATGGTGTTATCTACACCTATGTGATACATGGAGAAGAACCCTCATGAAAGAAATGTGGTGTTAAGTACGTGTTGGTATTATAGTGCCATCTATACATAAACCTAAATTGTATGTGTAGGAAGGTTTGTTTGATAACGGCGTCATCTACACCTAGGTGATAGAAGAACTCCAGCGAAAGACATAGTGCTAAAAAGGTGTTGGTTTAATTAGGGTGCCATCTACATGTACACCTACGTGAAAGAATAACCTCTGTGAATGGTGCTAAGAAGGTGTCGATTTAAATACAGTGTCATCTACACCTATGTGATAATAGAGCCTGATTGAATTATACGCATGTATGGTGCTAAGTATGTAGGATGTGGTTTGATTAAGGTGTTGTCTACACCTATGGGAAAAAAGAACCATGACTAAAGACCTATGGTGCTAAGAACCTGTTGGTATTAAAGGATATACAGTGTCATCTACACCTACATAGAACCCTGATAACAAACATGGTGCTAAATAGGTGTGGTTTGAATATGGTGTCATCTACATCTATGTGATAATAGAACCCAGATATACATGTATGACGCTATTAAAGTAGATGAGGTTTGACTATGACGCCACCTACACCTATATGATAGAAGAACCCTGATGGAAGACATATGTGGTGTCTGGTGCTAGGTAGGTGTTGTAAACCTCCATGAAGATCCTTGATGACAGGCAGATATATGGTGCTAACTAGGTGTTGATTTGATTATGACATCACCTACAGCTATGTGATAAAAGAACCCAATGAAAGACAAACTGTGTATGGTGCTAAGTGGGTGTTGTAAGCCTTCATAAATAAGATGGACGTGGCTCACCCTAACAAAAGGGCACACGGATGCACAGCTAACTAGACAAATGTGACTGCGTCTCCTATATGCCTCCGCCCTAAATTCAGTATAGGAAATGGATGGATTTATCTGTGACATATCACGATGAAAAGAAAAAGCCTATCTCTTAGGGTTTGCTTGAGATATCGCAAAAGCAAGGCTAAACATGTCATTTCAGAAGAAAAAAAAATGTCAGACCTATCTGACCTTTGACCATTTAACCGAAAATCTGATCAGATAGTCTTCCTTTGTTCATACATATTATCAACAAGTTTGAGCCTCAAATCTTTAGTGGTTCTTGAGATATTGCAATAACGAGGACAATACCAGGAATTTCATAAATTGACCTCTGTGACCTTTCACCTTTGACCCAATCAGATTGTCTTCCTATGGTGAAACACATTATCACCAAGATTGAAATTCATATCTCAAATGGTTCTTGAGCTATCGCGCTAACAAGAAAGTGGGACGGACGTCCAGATGGATGGATGGACGGCAACCCGAAAAAATAATACCTCCGTGACCTTTGGTGACCTTTGGTGGGCGGAGGCATAACAAAGGTAGAAGCTCACTACAAACACACAGTGCTGAGAGTACTAAAGCACATGCTCACCATCTCTCTTTTGAAAACGATGCACAGACAGAGAAAAGGGGTGCAAGACTGAGCCAACTTACAGTGCCGCGAGGCAGGTGATCGTGGGGCTGTGAGTAAATTCCCGACTGGGGACCCCCTCCTCCTCCGCTACTACCACCGGTCCTAAAGCTGCTCCCGATTACCCTTCGGACATGATCAAAGGGGAGGGCGTCGGCCGGGCTGGAGTACCCCGCCCCCTCATCGCTCTCGGGGCTAGCAAAGGGCGGGGGGTGGTTATTGTGGGTGGGGGTGCTGCGGTGGTGCCAAACTGGGAGGTCGTTGGGGCGGTTTACGTTACCAATGGGGCGCATAAGCCCCTCCATGCGTACGGGGAATTTAGTAAGGTCCAGTTTCTGGGGGGGGGAGGGGTAGGATGGGATAGCAAGGGGTGGAAGGATGGGTTTGGGTTTGTGCATAAACACAAAGGCACAGGAATGACAAAAGCAGAAGTGAAAGAATCAAAAACGATATATTTGTTGTTTTCATAATGTAGTGATGTATAATTTTGTTGTATATCAATGAAAGTATTTTAAGCAAACATTTGATATTTAGAAAACAGTGGAAATGTTTTTAGAGTGTAGATGAGATAATTTTTATCAATCAATCATAGCATTATGTATCCATAATTCAAGTTGATGTATTTAGCAAATCCAATGAGTTATTTTATATTATAAGCCATGATGAAAAGCAAATCATAAATGATGGAATGTAGTTCATAAACAAAAACATATATTATAAAGAGTTAATTTGGAAATTAAATGTCCATGAAATTAAATTATTTTGTATTTTTTCAGTGATGAATAAAAAATGAAGACATTGAATCAAGCCAAGGGTTTGGTTTGAGGAAAGGAAAACAATTAATGGGGAGAAAAAATAAATAAACATATCATAGAACGGTTATATTTCCAGCATTCCCAAGGAGAAAAAATTATAATCAGGGAAAAGAGCATGCTTACATATCTTATATAAAAAACATTAACGAGAAGGAAAATGCACCGGTATCATGACTAGTTTAGCAAAAACTGATATGCTCAATAGCCCTTTACCATATTAGCAGCAAGAATATGCATTATCTAGTATTGAGGGAAAGGTATAGCTACACGATATTCTAACACATCTCCACAAAAATAGCAAAACCTGGTTTATATATTTTAATGCTCTCCAGATATACCATTAAAGGAAATCCATCCCATTTGACATAGAAATTACACCAACAAATTATAACTTAAAGCAGGCTTTGCATGATAAAGCAACATATTTACATGTGCGCTTACATTACACAAAGCACAAGGGAATACCCAGACCCTAAGGACAAAATAAAAACTTGTAAAACCATTGATGACTTAATAACAGAGTGTGGGGTGAGGTGGGAGTGTGGGTAGGGGGGTTTAATGGTCAAATAGGTGCAGAGATGTACCCCTGAGTTGCCAGGGAGTGGTGGGTTATGGTTCCTGTCTGGAAGGTCATTGAAAGAGTGCACCGACATATGTATCCCTCGTTTTGGAACAGTGTGTCTTCTGGTTCCTGTCCGTGAAAGGGGGTGGGGTTCTAGAGATCAGACCCTACTCAGGGACAGAAACACAACTTTTGCAACCGTAGGTGTCTATTTCTTTAAGAAATGGGGATTGCTAATGATCACAAGGGTGCAGATACTTACCCCTGGTTTAGGCGCGATAGGTGGTGGCTCCTGCCTCTGTCTACTACTCTCAGAAGGGGTGGGGCTGAAGGTGGGGCTAAAGGCGGTGTAGAGGGGGTTATCCTGCATCCCTTCCTCCGGCTCCTCCGACGTTCTGTAATCTGGCACTGTGGCATAGGTCATGGAATTGCCTAGGACAGAGGGCAAATATGGGATCGATCATTAACCAATGGCAGGACAGAGGGTGAATACGGGATTGATCATTAACCAATGGCTGGACAGAGGGTGAATATGGGATCGATCATTAACCAATGGCATGACAAAGGGTGAATATCGGATTGATCATTAACCAATGGCAGGACAGAGGGGAAATATGGGATCGATCATTGACCAATGGCAGGACAGAGGGTGAATATGGGATCGATCATTAACCAATGGCAGGACAGAGGATGAATATGGAATCGATCATTAACCAATAGCAGGACAAAGGGTAAATATGGGATCGATCATTAACCAATGACAGGACAGAGGGGGAATATGGGATCGATCATTAACCAATGGCAGGACAGAGGATGAATATGGGATCGATCATTAACCAATGGCAGGGCAGAGAGTGAATATAGGATCAATAATTAACCAATGACAGGACAGAGGGGGAATATGGGATCGATCATTAACCAATGACAGGACAGAGGGGGAATATGGGATCGATCATTAACCAATGGCATGACAAAGGGTGAATATCGGATTGATCACTTACCAATGGCAGGATAGAGGGTGAATATGGGATCAATCATTAACCAATGGCAGGACAGAGGGTGAATATGGGATCGATCATTAACCAATTGCAGGACAAGAGGGTGAATATGGGATTGATCATTAACCAATGGCAGGACAGAGGGAGAATATGGGATCGATCATTAACCGATGGCAGGGCAGAGGGTGAATATAGGATCAATGATTAACCAATGGCAGGACAGAGGGTGAATATGGGATTGATCATTAACCAATTGCAGGACAAGAGGGTGAATATGGGATTGATCATTAACCAATGGCAGGACAGAGGGAGAATATGGGATCGATCATTAACCGATGGCAGGGCAGAGGGTGAATATAGGATCAATGATTAACCAATGGCAGGACAGAGGGTGAATATGGGATTGATCATTAACCAATGGCAGGGCAGAGAGTGAATATAGGATCAATAATTAACCAATGACAGGACAGAGGGGGAATATGGGATTGATCATTAACTAATGGCACGACAAAGGGTGAATATTGGATTGATCACTAACCAATGGCAGGATAGAGGGTGAATATGGGATTGATCATTAACCAATGGCAGGACAGAGGGAGAATATGGGATCGATCATTAACCGATGGCAGGGCAGAGGGTGAATATAGGATCAATGATTAACCAATGGCAGGACAGAGGGTGAATATGGGATTGATCATTAACCAATGGCAGGGCAGAGAGTGAATATAGGATCAATAATTAACCAATGACAGGACAGAGGGGGAATATGGGATTGATCATTAACCAATGGCACGACAAAGGGTGAATATTGGATTGATCACTAACCAATGGCAGGATAGAGGGTGAATATGGGATCTATCATTAACCAATGGCAGGACAGAGGGTGAATATGGGATTGATCATTGACCAATGGCAGGACAGAGGGTGAATATGGGATCGATCATTAACCAATGGCAGGACAAGAGGGTGAATATGGGATTGATCATTAACCAATGGCAGGACAGAGGGAGAATATGGGATCGATCATTAACCAATGGCAGGGCAGAGGGTGAATATAGGATCAATAATTAACCAATGGCAGGACAGAGGGTGAATATGGGATCGATCATTAACCAATGGCAGGGCAGAGGGTGAATATAGGATCAATAATTAACCAATAGCAGCTCAGAGTTTTCTTAAGATCTAAATTAAACACCTTTCCATCTTCAAATTGGCATCAATCATTTATATTTTTTATTTCTATATAGTTCAAAAATATAAAAGAACTGTACCTGTTTGGGCCGGTGACTTTTGGTTGCTGTAAGAGTCGTATAGCACGTTATCTATCATCCCTACAAAACATCATGTGAGTGAGAAAAAAAGTGATTGTTATTTAATGTGCATATAAAAGAGAGGGAGGGAGAGAGAGAGAGAGAGAAGGGGGGAATACCCTTTGCACTACACATTTAAATAGCAACAGTGACAACAATAGAACAAAGGGATGTTTGTTAGTACAATATTAAGAGTCACTCCTTGTACAGAACCAAAGACAGCAAATAGGAAAGAAGAAATGTTAAACGGATTCAAGGATGAAAAGACATTAAAACACAGACAAAACAAACACATACATAAAACATGACAAAATTCATAATTATGTGATTGTACCATTCTTCTGTCACTCTACAAATGTGACCATTAAGGCATTATTCTATGTCTCTGCCTTTCTTAAATTTTCCATTTCCATTTGTTGTATAACTTAACTTGTTATAACCCACAAATGTACATGCTCATTAACATGTATCTGCACTTAATGAACATGATCGTCCAAAACATAACCTCTGTATGATCAAGGAAGTACAAAACAACAAATAGGTCAAACTGAATGAGAGAGAGGGAGAAAGGTTAGTACAAGAGAGAATCGTGGAGCGCGCGCGAGCAAGTCTAGACTACAGGGCCACCAATGGCGTATTGTGTAAACAAAATCAGTGTGTAATGCGTGCTTTGTCAGTGATTGATTTTGTTTGACTTTGGCGATGTGAATTTTTTTTTTCTCCATTGGAACGGTCCTGGGAATTTTATCGACACACATCTATGATAAAAAAAATGAGACTTTTTATTCTGGTCTACTTTATACAAATGATACACAGCAGTGAGCGTATCAGTAAGAATTACCCACACAAGGTACCTTTGGAACAGTCTACACGGCCGAGGCGATAGCCGAGGGAGTTTGGACTGTTTTGAAGGTATCGAGAGTGGGTTATTTTACTAATGCACTAACAAAATGATGTGTATTATTTATTTTATAAAATTATGTTTAATATGACCAGTCATTAGTAAAATTATGTGTAAGGAAAAATAACACATGTACGCTCTCAACCAATCATTTCATTAGGGCTTCATTATTTTATAAAGGCAGTTATTTGACATAAACGTTATATCGTTACTTTACAAATTACAATAATTGGTAAGGGTATGAATAATTTAGTTGTTATCTGTGTTGATGGTAATAAGTTAATATGTTTTTTGTTACATGTTCCTGTGTTGTTATATTTATATGATATGCTCGCTTGCTTCATTAAAAACATTGCATGACTTTTCCTTCAACAAAATAAAACTCATTTTTAATTTTGCAGTTGAAACATAAATAATATGCAGAAAATCTTGTAGCTTTTCATATTTCTTAAAATTACACTTCTTTAATAATCACGATTTCAAAAGCATGACAAATAAAATTACAAATCATAATTTTTTTATTTAATAATATTATGAATAACTAAGAAATTTTGGCATGCATCTTTCCCTGGCATCCCCCATACAAAGGGCGAGGGACTTTAGAAATGTCCAGCACGAGTTTCCATGATGCCTAACTAATAATAACTGGATTTATATAGGGCCTTTTAAAGAGGAATATTTTCAGATTTCTTAGAAATGTACATGTGGGTACAAACCCTCAGATTCTGCTTCTTCTTCATCCGGAGCAAGACCTGGTAATTTCCATCTTTCTTCTTGGCCAAACACAGCTGTAGATTTAACAAATCTTTCATTTTGAATAATACCCAGGCCCTGTTTCATAAAAGTTCTGATCAATAACAAATGTTAAGTACCTTCTATGACAAATTAGCTGTCAGCCAATCAGATGCCATGATTTTAGTAGCTTATAATAGCTATTTTTAACTTGCTATTGATAACAAGTTTAATGAAACAGGGCCCACAGCCACACTGCCAAACCAACCCACACCTACTTCAAGCCGATCGACTTTTGGTTTAATATAGTAGGCAATGCAAAAGATTGTTCGGTTGGGACCCTGTTTCATAAAACATGCTATCAATAGTAAGTGTCACATTTTTAAAACAAATTTGCTCTCAGCCAATCAAATGCAACGATTTCAGTAGCTTATAACAGTTTTCGCAACTTGTCATTGATAACAAATTTTGTGAAACAGGGTCCTGGTGTCGGTCTCTTTGGTGCGACTGCGGTATTATTCTTGACCGTATGTGTGCTAGTTCAGAGATAGCAGATGCGCAAGGCCAGATAAGGTTATTTGCAAAAAATTAAAGACCCATTAAGAAGAATACTGCATACCAGTTCATGAAAGTTATGTAATCATTAATTTATGCACCAATGGTATATCAATATATGATAAACAGGTGGAAGTGTTAATTTTGAGACCACAAACAAAAGTTATTCATAAGGCTCTTCAATTACTTTGGCAGTGTTCAATCTTAAATGCACAAAGTGGGACTTCTCCATGTTTTAAAAGATCTGCGGCTATGCAGGGGTCATTTGTACGTATGCTATCTCTCAACTGGTCTTTTTTTTTTTTATCGCACAGTGTGAAAGTGAATGACCTGCTAAAGCTGTGGCAAATAATGGTGATCTTTTCTTTTATTCACAAATTAAAATGATGCATTTTAGTGTGTTATATTTAGTTATGCTTCGTTGAAGGCAACATTAATTCATATGATCATTATACATGTAATAATGATGGTGATGCTACATGTATATTGACCAAGAATGACAAGCAAATAACACCTACAACTGTTGCATTTTAGTGTGTTTTACTTGCGCTTGATTGAAGGCAGTTTTGACATGTGAAGGTTTATATGTGATAAATTCATATACATATACTGCAATATGTGAGCATAAAACTTAAATTTAATGCATTTTAATGTGTGTTAGTTATTTCAGCGTACTCAAAGAAAATGTCAACTCATAGGAATCAAAATATCATAACATAATTTGCGGAATGTGAACAGAAAAAAAACCACCTATATTCCTTAAAGCCTCGGTCACAAATGCCTTTACGAACTGCTACGAACGCCGTACGAACGATTTTCAGACCATGGACATTCGGGAAGACCATGGAAAAACAGGGAGATTCGTACGAACAAATTGTTCGTACGAACATTTGTGACCGTAGCTTAAGCCATAACTTTTCAATATTTTTCAGCTTTTAAACATTATTTTGTATTCTCTTTTGTATAACTACTTTGTAATGAAAGTTTAACACAATATACACACAAATATTTCAAGTGATTTTTAAGCAGCATGACCGTTATTCCTTTCAACCTATTTTACATACACATAATATGATTATATAAAATAAGAGAGAAAGGATTGCCAATCCTTCCTTTCTTAGTTTAGATATTCATTTTGCAATATGTAAAAGAGGTTAATGTTTCAGAGATGCAACAATAACAGTACTCATTTTGTCATTTCACGCACATAGTTCATACTATGTCTTTGAACTTCTAAATAAACTCACAATCTATGTATATTGTGATGTTTGTTCTTGCTTATTAATGTTTAATGCTTTTAAAAACTGGAGAAAAAATATTATCTATAAACAGCTATCAAGTATCATTGTTATCATGAAGTAAGAAGCAAACAAAATAATTGGAATTGATGCATGATTTATTTTGTGGAGGTGTTTAAAAAATAAAAGCATATTTTTTAGATGTAGCTAAGATACATGTAGGCTATAAACTAGAGACTTTAATATGTGATAAGTTCTTTTGCAAATAAATAACGCTTTTTGTTGCAAATGGATGTGATTGGAATTCTGTTGTCCAGATAGATCTTTAACTTTTTTTTAAATGTTTACATGCAAGTTAATGTAATGTAAATGAGAATTGCATTTCCCTTTATTCTTAGATGTTGATCTAGTTTTATCATGCAACTACACTCAATACAAGTTTTCCCTGTCCCATTGCACAAATAATTTAAAAGAAACAACCAACATACAAAACAAAGAGTTTGCATTGTAAAGTTGCCTTTATATGTTGTTAAATGGGTTGCATCCAGTGTATTCAAGAGGAAGTATTCAACATTTCAAACTTAAATCTCTCACAAAATGTGAGTTCAATACTATAGGGACAGCCACAAAATCCAAACTAATCAATAATACTCCCTTTAAAGACTGTCAATACTACTGGGCCAGAAGGGATTAGACCACACAGCGAGGTCACTGACAGGTGGCTATCTCATTTACTCAGCTCTCAACTAACATAAGAAAAAGAGGATCACGAGGGACCAGCAGGCACCGATTGGGGAAGTTTTCTATATTGAGGGAGCAAGTAGCTACAAGTAGGACAGTGGGGCTTTAAACCCTGCATGTAATATTTTGTTTTTCCCCAAACATAATAATATAATTAGTAAAACATTTGAATAATTGTTGATCATAATATGGATTTTACTTCAAAGTTAAACATCTAATAACCTGCTGTGATAGAATGCACAAACATAAAATGAAAGAAGCGACATCATAACATAACATGCAAAGCAAGGGTGACAAATACATGACACACAATACACCACACATACACGTTTGTGCTGTAAATTTAGGACCCATAATACAAATCAGTATCTTATTACATATTCCAGGACACTCAATTTTGTAGAAATATAACGCCTCAAGTATGATCTAGAAATGTACTGCATAACCACAGACCTATTTTGTTTTCTGTGCAAATAAAGCAATTAAATAACCGTACCCCTATAAAAAAAAAGGGTCTCAAATTTTAAACAATTTGCGGTGTTCTCGAACCGAGGACATCCTCATTTTGCAAGTGGTCGTCAAAGCAAAGATGCAGTTCTTATGAGTGTTCTCGGTACCAACCCACTTGCCTGTGCACCCACACACATTCACACACTCACCCACACATACATACACCCATCCACCCACACACATGTAAAGAATGTATAAAGATGAAACTTGTGAAGCAGTGAACATATAATGTAATATTAACATGGAAGGATACACATAGATGTACACAAGCCAAAATGATTTTTACCGGTAGTCAACGACCCTAACCCTAACCCTATACACACACACACACACACACACACCCACCCACATGTAAAAAATGTAGGAAGATGAGACTTGTGAAGCAGTGTACATATAATGTAATATTAACATGGAAGGATCGATGCACATAGATGTACGCAAACAAATATAATTTTTACTCAAGACCATAACCCTATACACATAAACACACACACACCCACCCACACCAGTGTAAATAATGTAAGAAGATGAAACTCATGAAGCAGTGAACATATAATGTAATAAAACATTTGGATGTTTGTTGATCATAATATGGATTTTACTTCAAAGTTAAACATCTAATAACCTGCTGTGGTAGAATGCACAAACATGAAATGAAAGAAGCGACATCAACATATAATGTAATATTAACATGGAAGGTTATACATACATTTACACAAATATGGTTTTTAGTCAAAAAGGTTAAGTAACAAATTTGGAAGAGACAACAAGATGTCCGAGCTGAAGGCTTATCATAAGAAATGTTGAACAATAGAGTCAGCTCAGTCTCTGTGAATTTGTTTACTATGTTTCATGATACAAGGGCTACAACTTATTTAAATTTTAAGTCCTCATTAATGAACCTTCACCAGAGAGAGAAAGAGTGAGAGAGAGAGAGATAGAGAACAAGAGAGGGAAAAAGAGAGAGAGGGAAAAACCAAGACAGAGAGATGAGAGAGAGATTTTTTTTTTAATTAAAAAAGGAAGGTAGATTCCTTGATCACTATTTCCTAATACAGGCAAAACTTCCTGAGAGGTAATAATTCCATTTTTAAAGAACTCTTTACGAGTTTTCTGTGGCTAGTCACACTCAACTCACTTTTTTCTTTCTTCACAAACACAAAAAATGAACTAATGGGACTAACCTGAGCCTTCCATAGGGCGATTCGTATCTGGCGTGGACGTCCTGAACCCCCTGTCTACTGCCGCGTAAAGACCTGTTTACAAAGATTCAAACTAACATGTATAAACAACAAACATTTCAACCAAACATCAATCCTATGTTTTTTCTTCTTTGTACCCTCATTTGTGCAGATGGAAAAATAGGTAGTAACCATGACAAGCAGCAGATTTCTTGACCCTGTTTCGTTGATTTATTTTTAAAAAATTGTGACGTTTCACACCCATTTGTTAGCATGCCTAGTCTTACACTTTGTATGGACAGCAAAACGTAATTCAAAATTACTTGTTTTACTGGGGCAACATACAGGTACTATTTTAATATAGAAGGTTACTTAAAATCACCGGGTCATCGTGGCCAGTCGGGTGGTCATGTGACACAACCCTTCATGAAACGAAAGTAGAAGATCATATGAAAATGCACGTTAACGATGCGGCCTTTCGTACATTTGCTGTAGGGTTTTCACAAAGTGTCAGGAAAATTGGACCAGACCATTTGTAGATGAGATTTGTAGATTCACAAACATTACCCTAACTTTAGGTGAATGAACGGGCCCGTTTTTCACAAAAGGTCGGGTAACGTGACCACCCAACCTGACGTGATGACCCGATGACTCCACAAGTCTTTTGCAATGCCATCACATAAGACTTTCACTTATTCAATGGGCAGTGGAGTCCTCAGATATGGGGGATAACAGGCCTGTGAAAGTCCTATCTGAAATTTGTTTGATGTCTGTTTGCAGGTGAATTCAAACTTATTTTGGCTCAAATCAAACATGCAATACAATGCATGGTATCTGGGGGGTGTTTCACAAAGATCCTATGTTGAACTTATCTCTAAGTTGGACTTAAAAAATATGGAAAGCCATTAGCATCTTTGAAAATATTTTGTAAAAGTTATTTTGAAAGGCATTCATTGTTTATTGAAATCATTCATATTTTCTATCATCAAGGAGATTTCATGTTCTGGATGTGGAATTAATAAAAAGTCTAAAATACTTGAATTTCTGCTTTTGAATATATTTCATTTAAAGACTCCAATGGCTGTCCATAATTTTTAAGTCCAACTTAGAGTTAAGTTCTACTTAGGATCTTTGTGAAACACCCCCCAGAACACATATCATACAACAAGAAATCACTTTAGCAGATAGCACAATTAAATATACTTACCAATACATCATAACAAAGAAAAAAAATCATTAATCCTTAATTTGAAAAAGAGGGTTCAATCATTTAATGTTTTAAGGCATATTTGTTAGTAACATTAAAACATTCAACAGCTTAAAAAGGGTATGTGTACATTACTCGCATGCAAGACAGTGTTAACCATGACAATGTTATTTAAACAATAACATTTTAATATTCAGACATTTCAAAGAATGAAGCAGAAATATAAGAAATCCGAGAAAAGTCTTACAAGGTGAATTATCATGAGTTTAAAATAAGAATGTTTAACCTGTATGTCAGAAAACGATCATACAAGATGCATTGTGAGAAAGACATAGTTTCTTAACATTATAGGAACACCAAGAAGTGTACAGATAAATGTAGTATATACTAACAGCAATGGTGCATGGGCGAATAATTAAGAACCAGTGTTGGCATAAGTTTCAGATAATGGTACTGTAATAGTTTTTGCATTTTAAAGATGTTCATGTGTGGGTATATAGTCGTTTGTGAAGTGGGCAACTTGGCGATCACTACATAACACTGAGCGAACGGGTATGACACTCCCATGTGTACGCCCATTTGCTGCCCTCTATAAACCGACGCATGAGCAACTTTAACTATATCTTGAATGCATATGAACTGGTTTGGAAACTGGTTTTCTCAGGCACAGCCATCCTTGTCTGACTCATACCTGTCACAGAAAAATTAGGAATACAGTCTATTTTGTATAATTTTCAGCTGTAATATGTCACATTCTCAAAAACTATATATCAGGACATATCAATTCTAAAATTACAAAAATTAGTAAAGATATGAATAATTCAGTTGTTAAACGAATGGCTGACTTCTGGCCGAAGTTCATAGCACACTCAATAATGTATACATGAAAATCAGATTCTCTCACTATTAACAGAAGCAAATATCCTTTTTTTTCCAGGTGATTAGGTGACAGGCTATACTATGATGAGAATAATTCTAAAATGCATCTCAAGGGATATTCTAAATTTTCATGGTGTACTTCGTTTCGCAAGAAACTTTGCAGAATTTGAAGAAAAAAATGAAAAGAATACGTGAAAACTCATAAGGATGTATGTGAAAGCAGGTGGATAGCAAATGAAGTAGAAATACTGAAATAAAGTTGAGGTTCCAAAAGAAATTAAATAGTAAATAAAGAGTACCTGAGAATAAGGGACTCTCCCCTCTCTACCTCATATCTCTCTCTTCTCTTCTCTTCTCTCTCTATATATAACTCTTTTTTACTCTTTCTTCTTTTTCTTCCATTTTGCGTACAGACCTCTTTACAGAGTATTATCGTACTATACTGAGGTGTGTGCAGGTGCACCACTACACTGGAGTTTCCCCCTACTCTTATACGAATAGTGAAGTGGGTTTTTAAAGTGCAAAGGTAGTGACTCTTCTCTACACGGGGCCTTCATTTAACGTCCTATCCGAGGGACGGAGTGTTTTCCACTTAAAATAGCTTGCGTCTATGAACAAGGGGAGGGGCACGTTAACTCACAACGTAGGCTTCAGTCATCCGCCTAGGTTGGAGTTGAACCCGGGATCTTTAGTTCGTCAGGCAGACGCTTTACCGATTGAGCCAACTCGCCTCCTATTTCTATATTTGCTCTAAATGGATTTAAGGTTGCAACAGAATTGTATGCAGAGTAAAAAGGAACAAGATAGCAATTTAAAGCAATAGTACAAGTGTATTAAAAGAACTAATGAGTGCTTGAAATTTAAAATCAAATTTAAACTAAAATTTAAATAGCAGAACAGAACTTGATGTATTATGTTCATAATATTTAAAATGGGCAGGCAGTGATGATAGTTATATATAAAATGGAGCAGAAAAGTTGCATGCTTTAAAAGGGAAGGTGAACTTATTATATATATATTGCATCTCGACCCCTCCCATCCTCCTCTCTCTCTCTCTCTTTCTTTCTCTCTCTTTCAAGCAGGCGCACACCATCTGTCTTTTCTCTATAATTATACTAGTGCTTGGTTGCTTAGTTTTCATCCAAAGACTTCATAGAATACATTTGATCTTTAGAAAAGAAAGTTTGATGAATGCTGCATGATTTTTTGTCTTCTTCTTGGTTTGTTGAAATTGAAATCAAATTAAATTACCACCAAAACCAGAATCTTCAGGGACTTCAGCAGGTCTGTCTACAATGCGACCACCTAAATTCCTATTGGCCGCCTTTCTGTCACGCTTCTTGTCGACAACACCGTACACTGACTCCCCACCTTAATTTGATAAAGGTCAAAGGTTGTAGGTACACGGACATTAAAGATGAATTCTCAACATTTTACAAGCATTTTTACAAGTATGTAAGTACAGTCAAACCTGCTTTAGTGACCACCTGTCTATAAAGACCACATTTTGTTTCCCTTGAAAATTGTTTCTCATTGAAACATGTACTAAAGGAACCTGTCTACAAAGACCACCTGCCTACAGAGACTAGTTTTTATGTTTCCCTTGGGCAGTCGCTATAGACAGGTTTGACTGTATGTAAAGAGTATATTATACGTTAAGGTGTTATGTGGTAATATACAGCTAATAACAAGCTACAAGAAATTACCACACATCATGCATTCTTCTCGATATCATACAAAAAAGGATAAAGTGAGATAGAAGAAAAAAAAGTATGAGAACAAAACCTGCCGATTCATCTGGTACACGTTTTACCCAGTGTATTGAAGGAGTCAAATTACACAAGTGCAAAACACAGTCTATATGTATGTGCATCAAGTGATCAGTGCCAAAAGTGTTGGCAAAATCTCAAGGAAAACCATGTGCTACTGGACAGCGTTTTGTGAAACTGACATAAGTACAAGTTCTGCAAAATCTCATTCAAACACATGTTGATTTTATTATACACGTTTGAATAGGATATCTTTGAACTAGTACATATGATGGTTTCATGAAACGATGCCCTGGTGAACATCAGTGTCAGTGTGAAATACATGTCAGTTCTACAATCATCCAGTGTTCATGTTCATGTAGGTCTGCATGACATATAAATAAACCAGTTTCAACCAGTTGAAACCAGTACTTACTAGTTTAAGGCAGTGTCAGTGTCATGTATTTACCTACATTTATCTGAGAAAGTGCTAGAAGTAGAACTGTACTGGCAAGTCTAGATAGTCTAGATAGATCACATCAACATCTATTCTAAACAGAGGATGTTATATACTACAGAGAGATATCTAAGTTGCTATGTGAAGATTTATAGTGAGATTAGATGAAGATAAAGAACTACATTGTAAGAGATTAATGAGATTAAAAATCAAAATGAAGATCTAAACAGACCGTCTGGGGGCGGCTCATCCGGAGACGGCTTTTGCTCGGCCGGCTTGCGTTGCCTGTCAACCACCGCATACATGTCTACAGTCATGAACAAACATTGAATATTCATTATCTGCTTGAAGATGATTTAAGAATCATATCACAGGCTTACAAATGTACCTTGAAATGAATAATAACCTCTTCAGGACAGGTTTTTATTTTTCTGGCCGAAATTGATCACAATTGATACTGTTCGTCACACTGGCAGCAATAATATTTTACTTCTATTGCTACATTGTTGAAAATAAAATGTAATGTCTCTGAAAACAATATTCATGCCTGGGTAAGATGAAAATGTCAAATTTTGATAGAAAAACAATGATTTTTAATCTCTCATTGTGTCGCCAATTTAAATGATTTTAAACCTTCTTTTCGCTTTCAGAAATTCCTAGCACCAAACGTAGTCCAGTCATGAATCTGAAATGGATACAGTGTGTGCAGAATTTTTTTCTTCTCATGCATCTGGCATAATTTTTAAGGCTCTGAATCACAAGTTATTGAGACCAACTAGCTAAGCCATATCCAGTGCAGAAAGTGTGTGAAGTTGGTTCTTACTGGTTTGGTTTGTTTTGTGTTTGATCAGTTTTACTATCTTTTCTTTATTTCATTCATCTGGAGTAACTAACTTTTCCTTTCATACCACCTTCTTCTAGAATTAAGTCATACAATGAAACACAATTCTGCCTTCTTTGTTTGGCTTCATAATTGCAATGATACATGTGAAGAAGTCTGTTACTACAAGTAAGATGTACTTGTACATGTAAAAAACATAAACATATGAATACATTTTTATTTTTGAATGTCATTGCTTGCAAAGACATGCATATACACTGCATATATAGATGTTTGAATTGGTATGTGAATGTATATATATATATATCCATCCATATATACATACCCCTCAACAAAATTAGAGGCTATTCCATTTATGAATACTGTAATTTATTGTTAGTAGGCAAATTTCAATGATTTTCTAAAATAAATTGAATGAACAATAACAGCTCATGAAGAAGTGATGAAGGTTAGGATTGAGGATAGAAAAACAAATAATGAAATATCAAGCCTTGATATAGCAAGTTAGAGTTTCAATCAACTATATTTCTAACAAAATAGTTGTAGGAAATGATTTAGCAAGATTGGAAAGAATGTAAAATTCAAGATACTGTGTCTACATGTACATACAAACTGTCATGGGAGCTACATGTGAGAAAGATCTATTCACTAAAACTAAAATTTGGACATGCATCGTTTTTAATTTTTGAGGGACCCTAAGAGAATTTAATGGCCATTGAACAAGGAAGGTCATAATGACTTGATTACAATACATGCATTATAATTAATTATTTATTAATTTACCCATTATTTATTTAGAATATTTATCAATTTATTTATTTTATATTTATTTTCTATTCCATATTTATTTCTAATATATTCAAGTATTAATTCATTTATTCATTATTCAATTTTGTAAAAACGTATGATTTATCTATGATTTATTTATTTATTTGTATATTTATTATTGAGAATGCCTAATTAGATCAGAAGCTTAATGACCTATGCAAATAGTAATGATTATTGCAAGCAACTTTATGCAAATAAATTAATAGAAATAAATCATAGGAGTAATTCAAAAGAGTAGATAGTAGAACCAAGAGAAAGAAAGACAGAGAAAAAGGAAGACAGAGAGAGAGAGAGAGAGAGGGAAGAAAGAGAAACAAAAAAGAATTGTAGAAAGGTATTGACAGAAAACTAAACAGATCAAGGGCATCAAAATGAGTGAGTACAGCTATACGTCTTTGTTAGTAATTCTTTTTTTCTTTCCAGAAAGCAGATGAGTGAACAATATATTGAAAGTAATATTCAATAGAGAATGAAAAAAGATTAAATACCAAACATGCTTGAGAGACTCGGGCACTTTATATTGAGTATCGAAAAGAAAGATCAATTGAAGAATTAAAATAGTAGTCAGAGAAAGAAATTGATGTAGAAAATGTGTTCATAGGGAAATTACCAAAACAATAGTTGATCAAGATAAGTGCTACTGCAATATGGATTAGTGATATTATCATAATGCGTCTTAGTGTTAGGTATATTGAAATAGGAAGCAGTACTCCAAGCTATGTACATAAAGATTAATACATATTTAACATGTTCATTGAGAGAAAGGAGGGTATAAACTCCTTGCAGAAGACTAATAGTAGAATTTATAAAGTGCTTAGTACTAATGTTCCTAGGCCCTGGGCTACACCCTGCCCTTAGCCGAGCTACCCTGATGACGTGCTCTGTCATTCAAGGAATTTCTTCCTACCAGGTACTCATTTACATCACCTGAGTGAAGAGTGGCAAATGTAGATGAATGTCTTGCCAAAGGGCGTAAGTGCCGCGACGGGACTCGCCCCACGAACCATGTGATCCACAGTCCGGTGACGTACCCACTATACCACGACAGGTTCAAAAATTACAAGTACATGCATTACTGCCCTTTAGTCTCTCAGGAGATGGCTAAGTTTCCAATGTTAATACGAGCTATTAAGTCAGTGAAGCGCATGTTATGTGCAACTAATTTCTAAAACTGCAATTGTAAGGCATCATTCATAATATATATGAGCACAAAAAAAAAGTGATGTCATATTAGAAACCGCACCCTCTGGTTGTGCCGAAACGTCAACTGATTGCGGTTCTTCTTTGGTCTTACGAGACTTGTCTACAGTGCCGTATAGATCTACAAGGAAACAAAGTCAAGTTTTAAAAAAGGTCAAAGGTCAATTATATAACTGCCTTCTGTTAATGGTGTATTGTTTCCCAAATAACTAAGAATAATTAATTTGTTATACAGACACTCTTTTTTTTTAGATAAACATAATGCAAGTAGAGTAGAGAGAATTAGTTGGTATATTTAATTAAATTTTGGTATGTAAACATAGCTTCTCTTGTCATAAACACTTAAATTAAATAGAACATTTTTCTTAATAAAATAAAATATATAATAGAAAGTACATGCAGTAAGTCATAAGTTTAGATTTAAGCAATTCATTCATTTTTCACTTGTGTATGTATTATTTGATCATGAGCAGAAAATAATTAATTTAATCATGACTACTTACATCTCACAGATTTATAGGTATATTATGAATACTGAAACTAAGTTATTTACGAACAAAATTGTCAGAGCTGTATTTCAGAAATGATGCATTTGAATATGGCAAGAAACCCATTTCCCTTGCTAATTATTTGTTATATTTAGAATAACAGTAAGCACACATTTATGAGGAAAAAAATAACTCAATGTGCTGGACATATAAAAGCAGAGAAGCCCACATTGAAAGTAAACATACAGTAGAAAAGCTGTTTAAGCGAACATTTCTTTTTTTGGTATAGCTTTCATAAGAAACTATGTTTTATTCTGTACATAGCAACGGCTCAGAACTAGATAAGGCATACAGTAATAACAACTTAAGTATTCATACCCATTGTAAATTTGATGTTCTTTTAGTTTGTCCATAACTCAAGAAATAAAGGTGGACTTGTCGAATTAGGGCCTTTGCTGAATACTTTTATTTTAGAGAATTTTAGGATATGAATAGGGACATATCAATTTTTCACATACATGTAATTAAAAAATTACAAAAATTGGTATAGGTATGAATAATTGAGTTGACTGTACAGGTAGGCTCTAGAGTATTGGAGTGCAATAAATGTCATTATTTAAACCGCAGAGAAGTATAAATAACCATTAATTAACGCTACATGTATATCTGAAGATGCTAGCAACATGAACATGAAATACCAAGATACAATACAAGCATCCAAGTTTAGAAGACTTCATAAAGTCACTGGAGCAAAATGAGATTTCGAAACAGAAAACCCAAGTAGTTTGGCAACTAGGCATACAAAACACTGTGTATCCTTTATTTATATCTTCATGATGCAACCAGCAAAGAGCTAAATAGTCTTTTTTTCAGAATTTTCATTTGATAGCCGTAGGAGAAGAGTAAAAGTGGCAAGAAAGTCATGGCAATAGATTTTACAACACCAACCAAATTGGCAACCAGGAAGAAAAAAAAGCAGCTTTTTTTTTATCTTTACTTATTAAAGATGACTAAAAATGCAAAAACTACATGCTCCTTTTTATATTTCCATTTGATAGTAGTAAAAAAAAAAGTTGAGTTGATGTGTGCAGAAACATGAGACAAGAGAAAAGTTTAAAAATAAAGCTCAAGAAAACTGTAAAATCCACTCTCAAAAAGCTCCTTATTCCCGCAAAGGAGACTTTGAAACAAAGATTGAATGAATAGAAGGGATAAAATGCAACACAAGCTAGAAAGAAAGAAATGAGAATTTCAGGGGGAAAATCATTGTACACTCTCACACATGATAGCATCACACCTTCAAAAGAATTAAGGTTATACAATTTTGTTTTTTAATAAAAAATCTCAAACACAATCTAAACAACTGCAAGAAAATAAGAAATTTAGTAAATCACACAAATGTAAGATTTCATAAAAGGAGATGGCTTCAGAAGAGAACTCTGAAAATGAAATGTTTGAAAGAAATGATGTTTTTAAAGGTCCCTTCCACTGCAAATTAAAGAGAGGATGTATTAGACAAAGTGTGTAAAGTGTGCATGAAAAATCATTCAAAAACCCAACATGCAAGGACCAAAATCTAGCAGTAGCCAATCAGAATTGAGATCCCATTTAGTTTGAGTTAAAGGCAAGTCTGATGCGCTAAAAATAAGTGATTTATATATCAACAAAAGCTTATAAGCCATAGATTACAATCATATATTCAGTAACATGTAAATGCTATTTAAATTGTCGGTCAGAAAAGTACCAGCTCTCTGAAAATTCTAAATCTTAAGCTTTGAAAATAGGAAGTTGTCGACCCATAATTTGGAGGGATGTGGAAAATGAGATTTTAATTTGGTTTTGTGCAAAACTGACAGGGAAAATATTTGTTATTCCTTTACATTTGTATTCTACGTTCATTTAGCTTTCCATTGATATAAAGTTGTATTTTACTCAGATAGGTTTTTTAAGAAATGATTTACTTGTGACTGATTGCACAATCAGGTATTACAAAGAGAGGAAAAAAAGGGCATAATGCATCAAGTGGAAAATGAAAATAATCTACCATGGAAAAAAAATTATTTTAGTTTTGTTTTGTTTGATGGTTTTTAGAGAAATGTGCATAAAGAATAGCAAATTTAGAAGAAGAGCAAATTTAGAAGAAGAGCAAAAAAAAAAAAATGAACACACCCTCCTTTCCTTGGCTCTGGTCTGCTTCCTTATACATTCCCGTGGTTCCGGCAAGACCTGCATAGAAGCAATAGCTAGAGCAACGTTCACATGGACAACGAAGTACGTCCCATCACACACAATACAAGCTACATGTAAGTTTGAACCCAGCCTCGTTCTCAGGCAAAACAGTTAAACGGTAAAAGATGTCTTGCTATTAATTATTAAGGCCAACTGTCTACAGTGGCTACTTTTTGTTTTTCTTGGGGGGGGGGGGGGGTCTCAAATTACTGGTTTGACTTTGTTCTGTTTCTTTTTCTTTTTCCCCTCTTAACAAAAACTATTCTGAAGTTTACAGTATATCAACACTCAAAGTAGTGCTCCAATAGGCATCTGTTATTTAAATCATCATTTTGTTGACTTAACAATTTTTTATTTTGACATGGGTGAATGATAACCACCGAAACATCTAATCTAAATGAAACCTTTGCCTTTTCTTGGTTTCCCCTTCAACATTATGTCTTGGAATAAATGGATACAAATTTGCAACATAAATTGACTGCTGCATTTTCATAAGTAAATGCATTCAATCTCTCAATCATACATACTTGCATATGTATTTATTATTTTGTTGTTTGTAAAATGTAAATTTCTGCAACATATAGAGAGTGATTTTCTTTCCCTTTTCCAATTTTGCTCAGCAAAAGATTTGATCTAGAGATGTACCGGTATATAACATGGCAGATTCATGATGTTGAGATGCTCATGTAAAAGGTGAACCATACCAATGAAAAAAAATAAGGAAGAAATAAAGATATGATCAATGAAGAAAACGCAAAATCAACCGCAAAATCAAATGAATACGTTACCAGAAAAACTTTAAGGAATTCATACCCTGGTATAAATTGCATTTTTCATGTTCATAAACATGCAAAGTGTGTACATGTTTGTCAGAACTACTGGTCAAATCTTCAAATTGGCAACATTATTCTTCATTCACATCAAGAAATCCAGCAAAGAACATGCTTTTATTGATACTCATGGGAATACCCTGGTAGAAACTGCATTTTCATGTTCATATACATGTTAAAGTATGTTCATGTTTTTTTCAGAACTACTGGAAGAATCTTAAAATTGGCAATATTATTCTTCATTCGCAACTAGAAACCCAGCAAAAACCATGCTTTTATTAATACCTCAGTCAAACCAACAAGATTAACGAGAGGGGAAAAAATGACACTCCCTTTCATATATTAGTATCTCATTTAAGGAATTGTCCCAGTCTATTTGAATTCTGATCAAGTTTCTCTGGCAATGCATTGTGGGTTTGAAGATGGAGTCAAAGAAATCAATGATTGACGAACCCTGAAGTTCAGTTCCTTGGGTCGAGAATGGAGAAGGTTTGGGCGGCTTGTTCACAGTTCCATATAGCGCTGCACACATGGGAAAAGATTTTAAAGTTAGGAAAAAATGCTTCTTATAATATACATGCAAAGCAATTTCTTATACAGTCAAACCTGTCTATAGCGACCGCCCAAGGGAAGCACAAAATGTGGTATTTGAAGACAGGTGGTCTTTGTAGACAGGTTCCTTTAGCACATTTTCCAAGGAGAAACGATTTTCAAGGGAAACAAAAAATGTGCTCTTTGTAGACGGGTGGTCGCTAGAGCAGGTTTGACTGTAAATGGTTAAGGGTTTTTTTAAAGTCGACTCGTAATGCGTGAAAACTTGCATTTCAGGATATCATGAGAAAATGAAATCCTCAAAAATGTTAATGCAATTGTTCAGGTGATTAATTTCCGAAGATAAATTTTACATGAAAATAACTGTATATTAAATGTACAGATTAGTCGGTTCATAAAAGAGACAACGATATGTCGCCCTCTAGCTACATACATATGTAAATGAGAGAAGAAAGATGATAAAATGATCAGACACGCACCATCAGGTTTCGGCATAAGTTTGGGTTTGGGGCTCTTAGCTGGCTTATTAACAACACCGTACAATCCTGTAAACAAAAAGAAATCAGAGCATCAATGTACGATCTTCCCATCAACATGCAAGAAGCTTCCACCATAGGCATATTGACACACACAAAAAAAATATTGTAAGGCAATCAAATCATCAGTGGAAGTAGAAGTAGTAATGTGGAAGTAGTAGTAGGAATAGAAGTAGTTGCAGCACTAGTATTTGAAGCAATAGTAGTAATAGTGAAATAGTCTCCCTCTCTCTTTCTTTCTCTCTCTCTCTCTCTATCTTCCATTTCTGTATTTTGTAAAAATGTTGTATTAAGCACTTTATAATAAGGTTATATATAATTATCATATATGATAAACTGATATGGCACACTGTCCATGTAGCTGGGAGCAGCAAAATTTCTATAACATTATAACAGTGCGTGTGTAGACATATTCACGACAGGAAAAATATCTGAGTTTGTACAGATTATTTTTATCAGAAAAAGCATATTTTCAGAAGAATTTTTTTTAAAGTCATTCAAGGTACAATTCAAAACGTGCATTTCAGTGGAAAAGACATTGATTGGAGTTTCAAAATGTTTTCACCACCAAAAAATTAAAGCATGATCCAATCAATAATTATGCAGCCCCTAACACTAACCACTTTTTGTTTAACTTAAATCATGGATGACCTAACCATAACCCTTGACATAACCAATAAATCTAAGCCCTATGTCTTTAGAGAAACAAAGCACATGTTAAATGATGCCAGTATAATTGTTGCATCACCAGATGAAAAATATCATATCAGTATTCCCATAGGACCCTATGGAACAAATTGTTCTGCCTCACATGCTTACATACAAGACAGTGCATATATATGAGCTTATATGGATATCTCTCATAAGAAAGTGGACTTGAGGGTGAATATATGAATCTTATTCATGTGAAGGCATGCACCTCATAAAGGCTTCCATGGACCTCTCTCCAAATAAACTGGTCATGAAAATGCATCATACGAGACCTTATAAGAATCTTAATAATGTAAACTCTAGCACCACTAAAGAGCTTCTATAGACCGTTCTCCAAATAAACTGGACATGAAAAAGCATATACCATATAAGACCTTATATGAATCTTAATCATGTGAACTCATGCACCACTAACGAGCTTCAATAGACCGTTCTCCAAATAAACTGGACATGAAAAAGCATATACCATATAAGACCTTATATGAATCTTAATCTTGTGATCTCATGCACCTCTGTGTGCGTCATGTCTATCTACTGAGCTACTAAGTATATTTGGAATAATGGATGCATTTTACCCTTCCAAATACTGCAAAAATATGTCTGCAGTGCATTCAGATTACAAAGAACAATTCAGACCATTCCAATTTCGTCTATGAGCCACAGAAAGTCAAAGCAAACATTACCATATATATATATATATATATATATTTTTTTTTTTTTTTTAAATTCATAAATAAGCCTGAGAGACCTACCCTCTGCTCCCGGTGCTGCCACTGGAGGCTTTTTAGAAGTTCTATTGACCACTCCATATGCCGGTGCTTCTGAATAACAATATCAATAACAAATGCTAGAATTCTAAAACAAATTCGCTGTCAGCCAATCAAAAGCCATGATTTCAGTAGCTTATAACAGTTACTGTAATTTGTTACTGATATCAATAGCTTCAGTACTATCACTAATGTCATATGCTTAGTCTTTCTTGCATCACAGTAGTCATGCAAGAAAGACTAAGCATATGACACTTGTACATGGTATAAGGAGAAAAATTCATCTCATTCAGACAGTTAGTCAGTATAAGCACTCTAGTTCTTAAGTATATAAGATAGCTATTCTAATTCTCCACACAGAGTAAATGCAAGGGAAAAGATTTGTTTCTTTCAGACAATTAGTTAGTGTGAACACTCTAGTCTTCAAGTGTATAAAGAAGCTATTCTAATTCTGCACACAGAGTAAATGCAAGGGAAAAGATTTGTTTCTTTCAGACAATTAGTTAGTGTGAACACTCTAGTCTTCAAGTATATAAAGAAGCTATTCTAATTCTACAAAGAGTAAATATGATGCTCTTTATCTGTCCTATACATAACACTACAATAGTCACAATGATGAATGCATACATGCATATGTACATACACATGTACATGACTGTGTGACTGCATCTTGTAAAGGAACTAAGTAGCATATACACCAGCTCACAATGGCAAATCCACAGTATAAGGTATTTGGTGTCCCATACCATGTATCACTGAGAATAGTCAAGAATGGACAAAAGCGACCACTGGGGGAGCCATTTACCTTGTTTCCAAGCTATGAGGATATTAACTTGGAACAATGATCAGGAAAAGTAACAAAAAATATTGCCTGATGTGACAAAATACAGTGGACTTGCCCATTAATATATATTACATGCTCTAAATGGAGTGTGATTAAATAGACAGTTTCCCAACTCTGCATAAATCAAAGTCGCACCAAGTTGAATCCAATTTTTTTACCAAACTTTACAAAACATGCGTTCTTTACACTTCCAAAGTCAAATTTCACACACACGACACTTTTTTGTTATTACAGTCCCAACAGAATTGACTTATGCAGAGTTTAATGTATGTCACTGATGACTAATGAATGCTAATATATGTGTATAGGTTAATTTAAAGTTTTGAACAGTCAGACACGTACCATCAGCTGGATCAGATTTAGGAGTAGCTCTTTTTGCAGATCTATCAATCTCTCCATACACTGGAATTTCTGCCAAATAAATTACATTTTATTTGTTATAAAACCCCATTTTTGTTCCAATCGCACCTTTGGAACACGGAGATAATACTCAACAATGTTTGTGTACAGTAGGGGCACTATTTCTAAGTGTAAAAAGTGTTCAAATGATTCTGTATCTATTGAAAAAAAAATCATAATTATTATCATCAATTTTTTAATGATTATTATTATTATTATTACAAATTATCACTTGATATAAGTTCTTTACTTGGTATGGAGAAAATTTAATTAAAAAAAATCCAAGTCTGTTTTTTATGTTTGCAAAAATTTGAAATTCTGTCTACATTTCCTGCAAAACATTTTCATTCAATTACTTTTCTTTGGGGATACCCGTTATATAACCTCTCTGTCACATGTAATAACAACTTGAGTTACTAGAGCTGTGTGAGGTAGCTGTTACTTTGTTTACAGCTCATGAGAGGTAAAAATGGATTAATTAGTTTATTTTTGAAGGAAAAATTTCAATATTGCTTGTTCCCATAATTTCAGACACAAAACAGGGGATGCATTCATTTTGTCCCTGAAATACCAGAAAGGCATGAAGTGTCTCATTTTACAGAGTGTTCATGTCCTTCTAGCTCCAAGAGACGATTCAAATGACACATACCCTCCGGTTTTTCCTTAGCCGCTTAGAAGCTTAATTAAAAAGAACGTACAACCATTCAGTACAAGGGTCTGAAAATCAGACTATTACTAAATGGATTGCAAATTGACAACTAATGCTCGTTATTTTCCCACTAGAAGACATTTTCAAGCCCTTTCGTTGTGAAGGAAGTTCTAAATTAGTATTATATTTCAAATGCTGTTGGAATTTAACTTTTTTTTATTTTGGGGGGCCTGCAAAAAGCCCTCATATTCAAAATATAACGAGAAAATGTAATTCATAATTGACCTTTCGATATGGCTTCCAAACAGTTTCTTTCACAAAATAATCTTCTGACAAGAACTCAATTTTATCTCTAATGAATACTTCCATTTCATGTCTATGTAAAAGATGCGCTACTGTTAATAGTCACTATTGGTAAGAGGCACTATTTTCAATATTTGCCTCACATTTAACTCAATTCTACACCATCTATCTACCCCGTGAAAGCATTCAAAGATTGCACCATAATTTTGCTGTATGAATAACAAAGCAATATTTGACAGTAGTTAATGTATTTTTAACCAGAACAAGTACCTCCTATTTTAAATCGGTTTGAAGGGAATACTTATTTTTTTGTTATTCTAATAAAATGAAGAATAGTTGTTATCGTCCCTGTTCCCTTGATTAACCGAGATAAATAATGGCTACAGTTTATTTCAGAGACATACCCTCTGGTTGTGCCTTGGTTGTTGGTCCACTATACTCTCCGTAAGCCGCTATTTCTGTTTGCAATAAAATTATTATATGTAATTTCACAATCTGAAGGATTAAGGGCATTTTCTTTTAGATTCATATATCTTTTAAAAAATACCTAGATGTTTGTCTGATTCATCCTATAATAAACTGATATAAATTGACTGCCATATCTATATTAATATATATATTTCTTGGTGAAACAATATATCTTCACTATCATTTTGTTATAAGAATTAAACAAATTGAGGTTAAACTTTAGTTTTCATTTCTTTAACCTGATCGAATGCCTGTAATTCTGTTGAAAGGGTACCATTCATATTGGTCCTTATTCATTCTCAGCTTCACAATAGTTTATAGCTTGCTTTTTCCATCGATGAAAGCGATAAATAATGGCTACAGATATTTCAGAGACATACCCTCTGGTTGTGCCTTGGTTGTTGGTCCACTATACTCTCCATAAGCCACTATTTCTGTTTGCAATAAAATTATTCTATTTAATTTCACAATCTTCACAATCTGAAGGATTAAGTGGATTTTCTTTTTAGATTCAAAGATCTTCTTTTTTTAATTCCAAGATGTTTGCCTGATTCATGCTATAAGACTTGCTATAAATTGCCATATATATATTTCATTTCTTGGCGAAACATTATATCCACATTATTGTTTTGTTAAAAGAATAAAACAAAATGAGGTTTAACTTTAGTTTATATTTATTTACCCTGATCAAGTACTTGTCATTCTTTTGAAAGGATACCCTTCATGTTGGTCCTTATTTATTCTCAGATTCACAATAATTAATATTTTGCTTCTTCCCTCAATTGGCACAGATAAATAATGGATACAGTTATTTTGAGAACGTACCCTCTGGTTTTGCCTTGGTTGTTGGTCCACTATACTCTCCGTAGGCCGCTATTTCTGTTTGCAATAAAATCTATTAGTAAATTTTTGCATCTTATATCTATGTAATACATCTCCGTGATGTAGCTAACTATCCGAGTATAAAACTCCAATATATATATGGACCATACTCATTTGTATTAACTATTAAGTACAACTTGCATTAAACTTCACCAATTTGTCTTCAAGGAATTATTATACATGTACGTAATTTCATCATCTGCAAGATTCAGCAGATCTTTTTAAAAAGATTCTTATATATTGTCTACTTAATACATGATTGCCTGATTCAGGCTATAAGCATTAATATAAAGCTAGTACCCTACACACATATAAATAGTTCTTGGTGTGCATACCAACACGTGATTTAAAATACCTAGTGTGTTAGTCATACATATATGCGAGTCACACGCACAACAAAAGATTAAGAAAGTTGCACTGAAAAGAGATATACATGAAAACATAAAAACACTTTCAACTAACCCTCCGTTTCCTGGGCAGTAGTGTTAGCAGAGGCATTATCACCTGTGTTTTAAGAACAACAATATGATTATTATCAGTGATTGTCATGGCAACTGAAACAAGCTGGCTAATTTAATTCACAGTTTACTTTTTGTTTGTTTGTTTTTTGCCTATTTTATCAACTTTGTAGTGCATCAATTGAATAATTATCATGGAAATCGCAGCATGATGAATTTTGTATGAAAATATAAAAACACGTTTGTACATTATATTTATCATTTTCTTTTCTTTCCATTTTTTTGTTGTTGGTTGTTGTTTATATAATAAAATTAATAGCTATTCGAAATGCATCAAATGAATAATGATCATGGAAATTGCAGTATAAATGCTTCTCACTCAATGTTTAAATTTGCTTTATAAATTTTTTTCTTCAATTGCTCTTTAGATACACTCTTAAGGTATATGAAAACATGTAAACAACTTATTGTCTTTAATAGAAAACTAGGAAATCTATTATTTCCTGTTTCCATGCGGCAGACAAATATTCAGAATGATGATGTATAAACACATTTCAAACTACTGAATGAATGTTATACTCTATATTAGGCTAGGAGCAGTGAAATCCGCATGCCCACATTAAAGCAAAGATAGCTAATATATCTAGACCCCAAGAGGATGAAAGAGCATATGATTCTACAGCGATTGACCGCAATTAAACGTAAGCTCATACATGAATTAAATGCAAGTCTTATATAATATTAATTATGCACAAAGCTATGGGTTGGTACGCATCTATTATGCAAATGACTACTGTTATGAATTATTGGATTGGAATATCTTAATTCCAAGAGATGATGTGTTGTTAGATGATCACAAATAAAAGGCAAAGAATCATCCATCATGTCTTGATTTTTCAATGTATTAATTTAATTCTAAGTTGCTGTAGGGGAATATGTAAATGTAATTGCCAAGACTCAAGACTATGTACCTGCATACACCACTCCCATCTGACATGCTTGCATTGGGATTGTACAGTGTTACCATGAATGGAAAATAACTACAGTCAAACCTGTCCTAGTGGCCGTCTCTTTATAAAGGCCACCTGTCTACAGTGGCCACTTTGACTGTTTCCATTGAGTGGCCTTTATAGACAGGTTTGACTGTATGGCATATCATCTGTTTGAAGGCCAGAAGGGTACGCTCTATGTTAAAGAGTATGAGTTAGTGCCTTCTCTCACCCCAAGCAGACACTACACATATATGTATTCAGTCAGTTTCCTCCAATGATTGCATGCAGGGGGGCGTTTAATGAAACAATTAGTCAGTGGTTTTCACCAACTGATATCATGTTCACCAGCAATTTAGTCAGCGCTGACTAAACTTGACCAATCACAGGCCTGGAAAATAGTCGGTGACAAAAGAATTGTCGGTGAAACATGATATTAGTCGGTGAAAACTACCGACTAATTTTTTCATGAAACGCCCCCCAGATGATAAACTCTACAATTTTGTCATGAACAAAATATGCTAGTTGTAATGAACTTTAATAGGCAATTATGAGCAAGAGTTATGCCACTTTAACCCAAATGAAGACTACAACCTGTAAAAACCACCTGCATCTGTACATGTAGCTGCAAACGGATCTACAGCACCACAATCACCTGCAACCATAGCTAGCAGAGAGTATTATTATTTGCATTAGTGGCATCACCAGAAGTCATTGGTCAAATCCAGAGACTGCCTCCAACATGTCACTCCAAAACGATTGTGTACGGGATGGAAGTATTTGGAGCTTCATGAACTGGCCTTTGAGCATATATGCATGAGCATGTCAAAACTTTCTTTCTCAATAGGCTGTGACTGCCACAACATCTCGCCCTCTCAAGGACAATGCCTTAGCTTGTTTAGAGGAAATATTTATTCACTGGTTATAAAGTTTCAGGGCCAATGAATACTTTTAACCCATTTGACCCAATAAAAAGTGCATGCTAAATGAAAATGAACATGTAAAAGTCTCCAGATGAATCAACACGTCAATGGCTCCAGTTGTATCCCACTAATTTGATGTCTCACACCTGGGGCCCGTTTCACAAAGCCTTATTCAATGACAAATGACAAAAATCAGTGACAAATCTGCTGATAACCAATCAGAAGCAAGGATTTCAGTAGCTTATAACAAAAACTGTCATTTGTCACTGATGACAAGTTTTGTGAAACAGGTCCCAGTTTCGGTCCCAACTTCCACTTGCAGCATCTTGGGATCACAGAAAAACAGCTGGTATATTCCAGACAAATGAGCTAATATCAGCTATACATGTTTGCAACGGGCAGTAAAGCATTTTTTCTCACAATGAGCATGGCAATTATACTTGCTCTTTGGCTGCTAATATACTTGTGTATCTTGCTGTATTGCCATGGAAAAAGTTACATGTTTGTTTGTTTTGCTCAAGTGATAAGAAAGCATGTGTGCTTGTAAGTAAGCAACCAGGGGACCAATGGCTTTACGTCCTCTCCGAGGGGTTTTGGTAATTAGGATTAATGGCTTACCAAAGGGCACTAGCACATTGAATTAGTTTCGAACCTGGGACCTCCCGGTTACAAGACCACTGCTCTACCAAAAAGCCAGCACACCAGCCACTTGTTCTTTTTCTTTTTCTTTCTTTTTAATTACATTAAGATACTAATAGCCTGCACACCTAGCACCATCGGAAATGAATTCCCGCCCCATTTTTCTTCTCAATATGAATGCAAATTAAACTCAAAGAGAAGAAATTAAGGGAAACAAAGCTACGCAAACAAAAATAAATGGATCACAAATCTGTTACCGCTTCCAAACAGCACTGCAGAGAAACACCGAGGCTTAATTACGGTAAATAAAATGAGAAGGAACAGAAAGCTTCCAAAAGAGTGCCATCGAGTGCGACTTCGATCAAAAACAACAAGTGCGTTACAAAATCAAAAACACACAGCTCGAACACTGCCTTAGATATGATCCGTTGTGAGTGAGAAGAGTGTTAACTCATATACGTGAGCACAGAGTTAACGTCCTTCTGGCTCTCAACAGATTCAAATAGAAATGAAAGATGAAAAGTCCACAATATCACAGGAAAGGAGAACTAGATAGAATGAAAGAGAAAAGCATTTTGTACTGTCTGGCATATAAAGAAAACATTGATGTTAAGCACACCATATCAAAATAATACCCCCAAAAATGTTATAATATAAACCTGAAACAAATACTGAATCACTTGTAAATATATTCTTACTGAAATAAAATATATGGTTCTTGAAAATTGTGCAATAATATGACAAATGTAGGTGCCAATCATATAAATTTGACTAAATGCGTTCACAAACACTACATCGGGGCTTGACACTAACAGGCGCCCTGGACACATGGGTGCCCAAAATGTAAGTCTGTACCCAATTTGGACCCCTCCCAGAACAGTTAGTGTGGAGCCTTGTCCAAGGCACAAGAGAAGACAATAAGAGACGGTTTAAATAAATAATAATCTAAATCATATGACCAATATCGAATCTGCAACTCCTTTCTTTCTTCCCTGGATACCCCGACCCAATATGGTGTAAAATCTCAAAATTTGATTACTTGATTCATTCGTGATTCCAAAACAAAACACACACCACAAAAAAGGATTAGCTCTGAAGATTTATGATCCCAAATTATATCATAATTATATAACATTTACTTTTCTATAGAGCATTCAACAACGAATTTAGGAAAGCTTGACAGACATCAATTTTGAATCAAAAGATGTTGATTAGATTGAAATATAATTTATTTACTAATATGTCGGTAAAGTTATATAAATGGTTTGCAAAATTAAATGAGGTATTGTATCCAAGGACATCACAACTAGGTAAAGAAAAAAATATATATATTAAAAGGTTTTGCACCATCAAATTGAAAAGAAACCCAAAACAAGTCTTCATTGAGCAAGAACTTTAAAAAGAAAAGAAAAGACAGCTTCACCAGAATAACTCAAATTCAAATGACCACATGAAATAAAAGTGACTGCAAAATGACTTCCAGAAGAAAGAAAATCAAATCAAAACACTGCACACCATTTGTGACAACAATAATAAAATCGACTGCAAATACTTGGGCCAAGATTGTGCGAATGAATATTTAATTGCCGAACACCAAACAGTTATTGCAGAGAAACGAGATCACTGCAAGATTAAATAGCCCAATAACAAACCTGGTGAATACTCTTGTTTTTTACTGCTGCTTCTGATAGGTGGTTTAGGTTTGACTTTTGGTTTAGTAGGACTACTAGGTTGGAAGGAGTCTGGTTGAAGCATGAAGGAGAGAGAGGGGAGAGAATCAAAGAATTATGATTTCAGAAAAATGTACAGCAATGTAGAATCTGCGAAGGGCTGGGGTTCTTTTTAAGAAGCCATGAACTGATTAGAGATAAAAGTGATTTCAGTGAAAGGCAAACAAGTTCAAAAATACACATTAGGTTTGACTTTTGGTTTAGTAGGACCACTAGGTTGGAAGGAGTCTGGTCGAAGCATGAAGGAAAAATGAAGGGAAAGAATCAAAGAATTATGATTTCAGAAATATGTGCAGCAATGCAGAATTCGAAAAGGCTGGAGTCCTTTTAAAGGAGCCATAAATTGGTTAGATATAAAAGTGATTTCAGTAAAAGACAAAAAGTTCAAATATACAAATTAGGTTTGACTTTTGGTTTGGTAGGGCTATTAGGATGGACAGAGTCTGCATGAAGAAAAAATGAAGGGAAAGAATCAAAAAAATTATGATTTCAGAAAAATGTACAGCAATGCAGAATTTACGAAGGGCTGGAGTCCTTTTAAAGGGGCTAAAAAACTGATAAAAGAGAAAAAAAAGTAATTTCAGTGAAAGGCAACAAGTTCAAAAAGACAAATTAGGTTTGACAGTGGGTTAAGTTAGGGCTACTAGGATGGAAGGAGTCTGATTGAAGCATGAAGGAGAAATAAAGAGGAAATAATCTAAGAATTTTAATTTCAGAAAAAGAAACATGAAGGCAGATGTTCAAACAGGACATTATCCCCTTTACAGGGTGTTAAAACACCCAAAACTTAATAGAAAAAGAATACTTTCAGAAAGATCATAATTTAAAACATTTAAACGGGGCAGGATCTTCAGTATAAGATAAAAAGGTTTAAATATTGAAAACGCCTGGAGTCCTTTTATAGTACTGCACAGAAGAAGAAAACAAATTCAGAACGATATTTAATAAAGCAAAAATATAACTAAGGCCTTGAGTAAACGACCTTTAATAAAAATCGACATTTAACTTCATGGAAAAAAATACAGAATTATCACTTAAGAAATAAGGTGGGGAGTGTAAAGATTTCACAGGGCTGGTATGCCTTCAAAGGGACACAAGATTGGGTGGAGTACAATTCATCTAATTGAAAGTTGATATATGTGCCTTCAAATCAAAACATCTGTCATAGATTTCCCCAGTACCAAGTTTAATAGCAAATGCAAAAATTGTAAATACGATCATGTTATCTGCCAAATTATGGCCTACTTTTTATCTCCACTTCCTCTTTTTGAATTGTAGATTTTCATGTATTACAAGGATTTAGCATAAGATACATTTGTTTGCAAGGAACATTGAGGCCTCTGCTGAGTACATTACTTATTGGCAGTTAGAAAAATATAATTGAATAATGTAACTAATATATACATGTATAGCACAACTCAATCCACAACAGTTTTCTCTGTATAGTAAAAAGGGAATGTTGAATTATAGTCTAGGCCTACTTATGATACAATAGATTGATGAAATGCATACATTAACAGCTACAGAGAATGTTCCAAATACAGCCATAGAACAGAAAAAGGGGAGGGGAAATAAATATTTACACAGGTTTGCTTTTAAGTTGCCTAATGAAGTATCTACTTCTATATATAACAATATGAATGAAAAAATGCATCATTATGTAAAGAAACCTGGGGAAAGTGTCTGCCATTGATTAAACTTGAGAAAAAAGAACTCAAAAAAAAAATGTGTAAAGGAAATAAACCATATAACACAACATCTAAACAAATGGATGAAACAAAACTGTACAAATAAGACCACTATTTAAGAGTGACGATGCATTTTCATGGGAAAATTTGAAGAAACAAAAGAAAATATAATCAGTCTGTTGAGAGCAGGAAGGATTTTAACTGTATTAAAGGACTGATACGAATAACACTAGCTGGATCTCAGCAGATAAAATTATTCAGGTCCGTGATTGAAGATAAGATATATTGAGGAATGTTAGTAAACAGTGATAACTGGAAAATAAAAATTGGAACAAAAGATGGCACTTAATTTCAGAGAACAATCATCAATGAAAAAGTATAGAGGGCAGTACGATTTGTTATCATACCATACATAAAAATAAGGAAAACTTGGTATGCACTGATAACTCATAAAACAAATAGGGAGAAAATAGGAAAGGTAATCTGCTTCAGCAAGGAGAGGAATAAATAATAATAAACTGAAGGGAGGTAAGGTTTATAATCATACAGGGGAAAAAAAGAAAACTTGGTAGCAATAATACTAAAGATAACTGATAAGAGACATTCAGGTCCAGCAGAGAAATGAATAAACGATATAAAACTGAAGAGCGGTAAGACTTGCTGGCATTCAGAAAAATGAAGAAAACGTGGTGGCAATACCAATGATAACTGATAAAACAAAGATGGAAAAATGAAAATCAACATTCAGGTTAAGGAGAGAAATGAATAAAGGACACTATTAAAAGGGAAGTATCTTATAGCAAACTAAAGAAAACTGAGTAAGAAATGATGACTGATAAAACAAAGAGGAAGAAAATCATAAGGACATTCAGGTCCAGCAAAAAAAGGAACAAACAATAAAAACTACTAGAGGGAGTTAAAATTTATAATCATACAGAAAAATAAAGAAAACTTGGTACCAAAAAAGGGAGAATAATGAACAGTCTCTGGAGATATGGAAGAGAGGAATGAACTGTATGTTCAGAGCCAGAAGGGCGTTACTCTATAATGAACCCATTGCCTCCTGGGACCAAGCGGTTGCAGTAGTCATTGGGTTAAAGTATATGAGGTAATGCCTTTCTGACTCAAAACAGAGGAAACAAAAGAAGACTATTACAATGATGGGCAAAAAGCAAGATTTCAAGCACACAGAAAACCTAAGAAAACTAAATGAAACAAGGTTAAAATGAAAATGGAAAGGGAAATGAGGAAATGCAGTTCCAATGAGAGACACGTTAACAATCAGAGATAAAGAAACTGTGGGGGAAAGCAATTTAGCAAGCATGCATTTGAACAAACCTTGGTGTGGGCGGGCCGACAGCGCCACCGATGGCCGTACAGGTTCAGAGCCCCTCCTCTCCACATGTATATAGTGCGCTACAGCAAAAAATGTTGATATATTTTTTTTGTCCAGATGTTCGTGATAGTTGCGGATGAAGCATTATGCGATATGCGAAGCAGGGGGGAGGAGAAAGGAAGGGAGGAAAGAGAAAAGAAAGATGGAGAGAGTAGACGTTGAAAAGGAGGTGTGAGAGAAACACATAAGAATTGATTGAATGATAGAAATGTAGAGTAAAAGACCAGTTGAAACAAGAGTAAAGAAGAGAGTGAATGGAAGAGAAAGGAGAGGAGAGTTGAAGGAGAAAGGAGACGTGTGAATGAAAGAATGATTACGAATGGACGTAGAGAATGTTAAGACAGAAAGCCAGAAAGAGGAATGGAAGGAGAGAAGGAGAGAAACAAGAGAAAAATGTTTTTACTACAGAAGTGTTAGTCATTGTTCTAAGGCACCGAGGCAGATCTTTGAAAAGCCAATGAAAAAAGAATGAATTGTATTCACAAGTGCTTTATTAGTATACAATGGAAGAGTTACTCAAATACAGTACATCTTAACATACATATATACTTTATAGGTCCTTACAATTGTCAGTGCACATGGAGGAGATAATATAGTACATAATTCTATAACCACCATAAAAACCAAAGCCTTAGGCAGATAAGAAGGGAAAAAGACACCCATATAGAGTAATATAACGAAGCTTTCAGGTGCACTGAAAAGATTCCGAAAGACATAAGTATGATGACCTCATCCCCACCTTCGGTATACTATGAAGTTTTACTATAAGGCAGGAAAGCACATACCGACTCAAGTAATTCACTAGGCATCTGCCTGTGTGAAGGTCTAATAGTGCTGATCGCACATCGCAGAAAACAATAACAATTGCGCTAACATTTGGATAGCGGAGTAAATGTATTACCAGTAGATCCACAGTGTCTGCGTGGAAGGCTACATGTAATGCTGGATATACAGAGAGTAAATAATGCACACACAATATATTTCTACACCGTGTTCGAACATATACCAGGACAACAAACCCGATGGATCCAAGTGAAGACACACACATATGCAGTGACCAACAATGACAAATGTAGAACATAGTGTCAATATTAAGGGGAAATGAACCTATATCATCTACATACAGAATAAAAGAATAAAAGTACATTTAAGTATTTAATTGATTTTTTTTTTTAACAAGCAGTAAATAGATATATATAGATATAGATATAGATTTAATGTTTGATTTATATGGAGGTATTCCCGGAGCATGCATAATGCAGGAATATGCAGACTACAAGATGCCAGAGTTTTGCCCACAAGGAAACCAGAAATGCTATTTTAAATACACTAATATCACAGCTACCCACCAAATTGAAATCAGGCTTCAGCATGCATGTGTTTTTCAAAGGATTGAAATTTGAATTAGTGATTTTTTTTCTTTCTTTCTATAATCTTAGTTTCACTCTTTTTTCTAAATGTTATTTCTACCCTCCAGCAATAGTAAAAACAAATTTCAAAACGTTTAGAAAATACACCGATTCCATTTTGTGAAATTCCCCCATGTAATTTAGCATAAATAAACAAAACAAATCAGAAATTCAAGTGAAACATTAACCAAAAACCGAGATAGAGATATACAGATACATTTCAGAAAATAACAAGGAAAGTCGAAATTTAAAAAAAAGGAAATCAAAGATCCACAAAGACCAAAAATCCATAACAGGGTAACATACACAGAGAGTTGAACAGACAAACAGACAGACATACAGAAACATAATGCACAATTGGTTATATTAATGTACGGTGCAGAGACACATCATGATCTCTACATCAGCATTTTCCTTTAAATGAAGATGGAAAAAATATGTAAAAAGATGTTAGGAAAACAGTATGCATTCTCAAACGACCCCAAGACAAAAGAAGAAAACAGAGAATATATACTGTAAAAGCAATATTTTGGGGATTGTATGAAACGGAATGCTTGAGTGAAAATAGCTCTTTTGTCAATTTCTACCACTGAATTTCAAACATGAACCACAGACCTACCAAAATACCTAACCATTATGCAAAGAAAATTTGGTGAGCCGATTACAGTGAAACCTGTATATCAAGATCACTCACAGGAGACAAGAAAAGTAGTCTTTATAGGCGGGTGGTCTTCATGTACAGGTCTCTTTATTATAGGTTTTAATGAGAAATATTTCAACTGAAACAGAAAATGTGGTCTTTATAGGCAGAGGATCTTTCTTTACAGGTGGCCACTAAAGCAGATTTGACTCTATTAAACATCAGTTTATTTAAAGCAACAAAACCTGGAGCGAATGCTTTTTGCTTACCATTTCTGGGTGTTTACTTTGTGGAACACATGTAAAATAGCTACAAATGCATCACTTGTTATGCTCCTATATTAATTGACATGATGTTCTTTGACAAAGCAACACAATGACAACTCTGTGTGTCATTTCTTTTCTTTCATCTATATGTAATGTAAGTAACCAGTACTCAACTTTCATTTTACCCCAAAAATCTCACTTTTACAGTATAGAGAGGACAAAATAATACAGACAGGATGAGTATAAGTAACACAATGCACAGAGGGCACTACATACAAGGAGTGCACAAGCACATATAAGACATTGAAATAATGTTTCAACCAAATCTCTACCTTCTGTACCAGAACTCTGAGGTGTCGAGGGCAAGGGCAAGTTTGGCTTTCGCCGCACTTCCGAGCCCCACCGGCGCGGCCTGGATTCATAGTTGGCTGTATGGTATATGCGGGCTGCTTGCAAGGAAAGGGGTAATATAATGGGTTGGTTTTAGGTTGTGGTATAAGGAGGTGTATGGGAGTGGTGTATGGGAGAGGTATAATGGGATGGTATAAGGGAGTGGTATAATGGGTTAGTATAAGGGCGTGTATGGAGGGTGGTAAAGGGTGTGGCATAGGAAGTTGGTAAGAAATGGGATAGTATGATGGGGATGTGGTATGTACATAAGAAAAGGGTGATTGGTAAAAGAGGGTGGGATAAGGGGATGGTATAAGGGGATGGTATAAGGGGTGGTTTAAAGGGGATGGTATAAGAGGGTGGTTTAAAGGGGTTGGTATAAGAGGGTGGCATAAGGGGTTGGTGTAGGGGTGGTATGAGTAGTTGTATAAGGGATGGTATAAGGGATTGATTTATCAGAGAGGGGATAAGTAGAATAATGGGGTGGGGGTATTGGGGTATATATGAGAGGAAAGGGGTATTGGGGTGGTATAAGGATGTTGCATAAGGGGTTGTATAATGAGATGGTATGAGGGGGTGGGGTATATGGAAGGGAAGGGGTAGTATATTGCAAGTAGGGTACGGTATTGAGGAATAAGGTTGGAGAGCAGAGGGTGGGGAAAGGTGTGGTTGTAAAAAAATAATAATAAAACACCATAAATCCTCACTTCAATAAAAATCAAGAAGAAATGTTTTTTTTAGAAATTGCTCTCATTAACTTCCCATGCTGCAGTCCGTATTCAAAGGCCAAATCAACAGCTGATTTGGTAATTACAAAAAAAAGGAAACCATAATAAATCAAAACACAGCAAGTTTCTTAAACTTCGATTTGCTGCTGGGAGATTATGCAAATTACATGAAACGGTTTCACATCAATTGAGTGGAAAAAAATGACCCTTTAAAATTCATGTCATAAGTATTTCTATATTTCTCTTTATCAGCAGTACAGCAAGATCGAATCAAAATGGGACATTATGAGGAAACAGACCCAATTCAATAACAACAAATATGTGGCCCTCATGAGGAAATGAAATTTGTTTTATTTTCAGAATGGATTTTTATGGAAGGGACCAGAAGGCACAGGCTTTGATCATTTGGACCGCCTCTCCTTATGGACTGTTCACACGGCAGACAAACTCCCCATTACGAAAACTTCCTTCAGAATGCAGCATGCAAGTAAATGCCAAACACATTACAGCCCATCCTAAAACGATTACATCTGCTCGGTTAAATAAGTTCCAAGCAGAGTTATGGTGAATTCTTCTATGTTTGGTCCCCTGGAGTCCTGAAAACGTACATTACCAGGAATTGCAACCCCCAGAGCACACAAATAATAAGGTTATCATGTAACCCTTGTTTTTAAGTTAGCGCACTACAGACAGGGGCCATTGCGCAATGACAAATGCATGGTCCCATTACCATAGCATGATTTAGCATCAAGTAAAACATTATCAAGCAAAAGTCTGAATACACCCAGGCACACTCAATTCCAGGCGCACACTAAAGAGCTCACACTTTTTACCTGGAACAATGATGGTACATGTGGTTTTTATCATGACTTGAGGAGGATAAGAAAATTAGCAAATTTCAGATGTAAATACAGAATGTTTTCTGTGTCAATTAGTTGCTGCTGCATATGAGTTCCCTCATACATGTACATGAGCACATATTAGCGTTCATAATTTCTGGTGATACGCAACGATAGTTTCATGACATCATTTTGCCCCCAAGGTTAGGTAAACATGAAATGAGTTATCATTGTTCACAACCTATTTTTACTTTTCAGATGTTAATGCAGTATGGTTTCCATCTCAATAAATTGCTGCAACATATAAGGTCCTGCATGCACGATGAGCACATATTAACATACATATTTGATGATGTATCACCAGCAGCAATAGTTTCATGACATTCGGACCCCAAAACCAGTTAGACATGATTTTAGTTAATGTTGTCCTTTTTGGATTATTATGATAAGGAGATTTTAACCCTTTCATCTCTAAAGCAGTGACAAAATGATACAAAATCAGCCATTCCCAATCATAATTGGAAGAGCATCATATTGAGCAGTGACACAAAGACGTAACTCCATATTTTGCCAAAATGATTATTTGATATCAAAATGTTCAGAAAAATGTGGGCTTTCCAGAAAACAGACTTTATTCCACTCAATTGAAGTCAATGGCTAGTGAAACATAGACTTAACTCCTTAAGGCCCAAGTACTCAGTGACACATAAACCACTTTTTCTCAAGATGGCCAAAATGGAGATACGTCTTTGTGTCACTGACCCCTCAATATATGATCCCACTTTCAGCTTGGTAATATGCCTCTAATGATAGTTTGTATGCCCTTTAACGCCTGGGGGTGTTTCACAAAGATTTTAAGTCAAACTTAACTCTAAGTTGGACTTAAATATTATGGAGAACCATTTGCAGCCTTACAATGAAATATATCAAGAATTCAAGTATTTTAGACTTTTCATAAATTCCACATCAAGAACATGACATCTCCCATGATAATAGAAACTATGAATGATTTGAATCAACATTTAATGCCTTTTAGAATAACTTTTACAAGATATTTTCAAGGATGCTAATGGCTTTCCATAATTGGTAAGTCCAACTTAGAGATGAGTTCAACTTAGGATCTTTGTGAAACACCCCCCTGCAGCCATAATACGTATTTACCTTCATTGCTTGGCTTCGGGGCCCACTTCGAGGATTGGCTTTGGCTTATCACATCGTATAACGAGTCTTCACCACCTAGTACCGGGTAACACAAGAAAAATAAATATCAAATATTACGATTGAGAAAAAACATACTAAAAAAGCAGGGCTTAAATTAATCCAAGGCCATCAAGGCCATGGCCGTGGATGCCCCTTTGATTGGCCTCAATGCCCCTCTCATTGGCCTTGGAGATGTTATGTGCCCTTTCCAATTCTTCCTATTTGTGCTGTAATATAGGAATGTGTCCTACAGAAAAGTGGCCTTGCCCTACAAATATTGAAATTAAAGGCCTGCTAAAGATACGTTTAGATACGACGCTGTGAAATCGCAGAGGCTTTGATGAGGCAAAGTGTAGTACGCATCACATTTCTGTGTCTAATTACACAGAGCTCACTGAAGACAAACAAGACCTTAGTTGTGCGCAACTGGCATCCTATTACACATGCAGTCACTATGAATATGACTGACAAAGAAAGCGGACGAAATATACAGTTCCTCAGGTAGACAAAGGAACATCCCTTCACTGCTATTATGTAAAAATGTGTAGAACAGGTGTCACATGCATATTTACTTTTTACATAATAGCAGTGAAGGGATGTTCCTTTGTCTACCTGAGGAACTGTATATTTTGTCCGCTTTCTTTGTCTGTCGTATTCATAGTGAGTGGCCTTTGGCAGTTTGCTGCATCATATCTTAACAAGCCTTTAAGGCCTGTACACTCACATGTATGACGCTGTAAACTGCTACGGTTAACCAAGGATTTATTTTTTATTTCAGCGTACTTTGGTGCACTGCACTTCACATGTGTGTATCTTAAAACACACAGATAAGTGAGTACGCATAGGACGATCGGTGTGTCCCCACTTAACATTCATTTAGTACACATGAAAAAAAGCCACTTTCGATTTAGCACAGCATATATGTATGGGCCTCTAATGATGATGATATAGATTTATGATACTGAAATGACCATTGAGATAAAACGTAACTTGACAGTAGCATGGTTAGGACTTAGGAGAGATCAACAGGAAAGTTCTCTGCAGTATATCGAGGAAATGAACAAACTGAACCAATGATATTTAAAGGGTCAAGAATATTGAAAATATTAATGGATACATAATGAAGAAAAAATAAGGTAATATTACAGGTACAGTATGTAATAATGTATACATGTATATGGAATTAACAACTTAATTATTTGTAACCCTTGTAAATAAAAAAAGTGTGTGCGTTATTCTTAAATCAAGAACGGAATGGGGACTCGTTGAATGACGGCTTTGTTCGATACTTATAGAAATAAGCTTTAATATTTAAATTTCTCAAGAAAGAAATCAGGAAAAATCTCATTTTCACATACAACAAATTGACAACAAACTGGGGTATGAATGATTCAATTTTAAGCTGTATATATACTTTGCTTACATACTCAGTTCATAAACTTTCTTTCTTATTCTACAATGTTAATCTCCTCTATGAACAACTGCTTTTCTTTCCTTCTCTCATTCTCCCAATCTTTCCTTCAATCTCAATCAAAGAATAGAACCCCTGCTTTTTACAAACCGTATATCAAAATGAACGTGATGGGACAATTACACAAACATGGAAGAGCATTTCTCTGCTCTTTGTATCTGTAACCTATCTACTATTTACCTTCTTAAAACTTGTAAAACTTTTGTAAAACCCTCTTTCACAAGAAGTTAAAAGGAATGCTATGATGATGACATGTCTAATCAATTATTTATTTGCCTACAGAGTTTTAAATGAAATGTGAAAACTACATTTAGTCTATTACTATTGGGTGCCAACACCTATCGACGAAGGCGACACGTTTATTCCTTTACAGGTACTATGTCCCATTTGCAGGCCCCAAAATGAAAAGGTTAAATTCCAGCAGCATTTAAAAGATAATACTAATTCAGAACTTCCCTAAAAAAAAAAGGGGGGGGGGCTTGAAAATGTCTTTAAGTGGGGAAAAAAAAAACTATTAGTTGTCAAATCGAGCTATAGAGCTAGTAAGTAATAGTCTGATTTTCAGACCATTGTACCGAATTGTCATACGTTTTATGCTGCGCAAAGATTCAATTAGTTTAATTTTGGCCATTTTAAGAAGTGGGTTATTGATGTAGACAAATGCTCATGTACCCTTTACAGCTCTTTTCATGTATGTTATTACCAAAGAAGAATGAAAACCAGTCACTCACTCAATAGGGTCTGACAGTGATGTCTAGCAAGTAAACAGGTTTCCTTGCATAATTTGAATATTAGGACACTGCTAACGTTTAAATTTCACAGATAGGACATACATTACATATTCATAATTCCCTGCAAAGTTCTACATAATTTGATGTTGCCTGCAAAAGGGATATGGTATCTTTAAGCACAACATCAAAATATCATATATTATATTATATCCCACTGCTGCCACCAGGAAATCAAACATTTAAACTGCCTGTGAAACTGGAAGAAATTCAAACTTTAAACTCCTGTTGAAGAAGACGACACCTTAATTCCTTTACCTCTGAAACTATAATGCGTCTGCTGCTGCAGTCTCATGCGGTTGCGGATTTCGCTGGGCTTTACCAAGGGGTCGTGGACCACCGCTTCAGAAGAAACGGATCTCTTGCGGGGTACAAACTCAGGGGTGTAGCCTATTGGAAGGGGGTTTGGGTTGGCACCATCGAGAAGGGGGTGGGGTTGGGGTTGGGGTTGGGAGGTCACGGTGCATCATGCAACAAATATATGCATATATATCAATACCATCAATTTCATGCAGACCGATTGGGTATTATACAAATTAAATTAGATATTACATGAAGGTACAGGTGCATTATATTGACATATCAAAATATTATGAGGATAGAATGGGTATAAAAATGAATTGGAAGAATCAAAGGAAGGAATGTGGAATTTAATAATTGTAAAGTCAAGTTTATACAAGATTAGAGTACCAATAAATGCAATAAAGGGGAATTTGTATGTATCAATATAATGAATACACCACAGTTGAACAAATAAATCATAGCATTAAATAATGATTTGTATTATGCACAGAATAGTCATGGACATATTAAAATTAAAAGTAAGAGTATGTATGGAGATGAAAAAAAAGATGTTGGTGTGATGTAAATGATAACATGACACAAAACAGAACACATGGAACCATATATAAAGAAAACAAATATTGAAAATTAATTTGTTCAAATGTAATCAATGAGAAAGGAAATGCATTTTGTTTATTAAAGATATTTATCAATTCCAATTTGAAACAAAAATCGAAGGACATTCAAAGGATAAAACCCAAAGAAACGATTACAAATTGATGAAAATGAATTTTGTGGTGGTACACATTATTTTGTAATATTCAACACAAAAACAAAAGATTAGAAAATCAATAAAAAGGACCATACAGAGATGAAAAATGTGTTTTTGAGATTTGATAATTCGTGGGAGAAGATGACAAGACCAAATCAAGGAGGAATGGAGGACAAATTTAGCAAGGACAGACAATAATTATAAGTAAAACAACCACCACATAAATAAGCATCAATTACAAGATAAAAACCGCATAGTTACATCACAGGTACAGCACATGTATGCAGGTAAGGGAGGAAAGAAGCAAAAACAAAAAAGGAAATTCATTTCAGCACATTGATGACACAGTGCATTAATTGGAAGATGCCATTTATTAAACAGGGGGTTGAGGGGAGGGAAGGTAAGCCAACAAATTTGAGGGATGGAAGGATGGAAAAATGAAGAAAGGATAAATTAGAACAAGATTCAGGATAGTTATTACTGTTTCACCAATTCTATTTTCCTTTTGTTTGTTTTTTCAAGTTCACTAAGCCCAGAAAAAGGAAGTATCTACCAGCGTCTAACTAGGAGATTCTCATGATGATGTTCGACTGCTGCATTTAGAAAAAATGGATTCAACAAACACAAGGTGGAGGAAAGGAATCTTGAACTGTGTCACACGATAGCAGTATATATCTCATCATTCTTATAAAATCATGCAGAAAATATATGTGGCTTTCCTTAACTAAATAGGGACTCTGTCACTCTGTAGCTTCAAGCAATTGACTTATTTCTAATTGAATCATAAGTTCCTTTGTTCATAACTTTTTTTTTTACTTCTCTAAATTACAGAGAAAATTTCCTTGCATTAAAATGTCTGACACACAGTTTGAATTGAATAGAATTTCTTGAGGGATAGGAACGGCGAGCTTTATTTCAGACCATTGCTACAATTTTATGAGAGGATTCTAGATAGCCTCACAACCAGGTTGGACAAATTTATAGGGAGCAAAAAACATTAATGTAAGGGTAAAAGCAGGCTGAATTCATTTAGCAAACCCAAAGACCCTGTTATGCTTTTTCATTTAATTCTGCAAAACAAATAAGTATATTCTGACTTGAATATATACAATTTCACCATAATTAGTCGTGGAGTTGTTAATAATGAGAAAGAAAAAAAATTATATAGCTCCTACAACACCAGCAAACGAAATGCTGGATCCAATATTGATATGTCTATATAATGCCATTCCCATATTTAAAAGTATACAGATATCTTTGTTAAATAAAAAAGAAAGAACATGCATACTCGGTTTTACAAGTAGATGCGTATATTGTATAATTGGTGAATTCATACTAATATACATGATTTAATTTGTGCAGGAGTCTGACAGGGTTTTAATTGTTCATTTGCATCCAAGCAACTTATCATTTTAAGCCCAAAGTATCGATAGAAAGCTAGCTGAGGAACCTACACAGAGATGTATAATATGTACGACTTGGATTTGTTATGACGGATTAAAGAACAAATTTCAAATCCAGGTCAAAATCATGCCACTTACATATATGTATGCTATCAATTACAACAATCATATCATATTGCTATACAGGGAAGTGGTATATCTATGATGCATAACACTTCAGACATTTAGGAGGGCTTTGTTTCATTCATATATGTTCATGTATATCAAGGGAAAAGCTTTAGTTGGATGCAGTCCTTATGAGGTTCATACAAATTCTCCTCTTTATAGCCTTGACATATTTATCTATCTCCCATCTCAAAACATGGTGTTACTGTCATTTTTTCCTCTCCATATTTTTGCATTCCTTCTTTTTGAAATGTTCTTTTGCAACATAAGTCTTTTCCCTACACTCCTTATTTTCTCTTATTTCTGTCTACCTTCCAAGTCTTGGCTTCTCTATTTTAAATTTGTAAAGTACATTTGAAATAAGGTTGTATAAAAAGAAATAAATAAACAGATGAATAAATAAAGAATTATTAAAGTAAAATACAAATCTTGTTTTCTTAAAACTCTTAATCACCATTTTCATTTTGTTTGTCTTTACTTTTTAAATTGTTATTTTTCTATTCACTGCCTTAAAATATATTACTTGAAATTGTTCTAATATTGACAAGAACTGATTCAAAGACACAGACAGCCTTGCTAGAAGTTGATTAAAAGGAAAGAGATAATGTAAACCTAAATGTGATGCAATTTAAATGAAAAAGTACATGAAAAAGTAATGTGAGGAAATAAACAGATGAGGTAATGTTGGCATCTGAATTTCACAATCAACAGTATATTTATATGAATATGTACTGCATGAATACATATTTGACTTATGGTACGTACATATAACATTTACTATCATCATGGGACCCACTAGCTCTAAACAGACGTATACAAAACTAGTATGGTGTCTGTGAAGATATAAAGACACTACAAAATGCAAGAATATATGATTCATTCCATGCAGAATGGAGTAATAAGGATACATATTTGAGGGGAAAGTTATGGCTTGTGCTTTACCTGACGTAGGGGTCTGGGAATCATCTAGCGTGACGTCTCTGCTGAAGAAAAAAAAAGAAGGGAAAATAAATTGTTAAAAGGAAAAATAATAATAAAAACAGAACATCAAAAAAAGAAGACAGTCACACATAAGACATGTGTGGTATACATGCATTCAAGCCCTGAGTATGATCTGGGCCCTGTTTCATAACAAATTTTGTTCAACAACAAGTGTCATATTTTGGTATCAAATTTGCTCTCAGCTATTAAAATGCAATGATTTCAATAGCTTAATAACTGTTACTGTAATTTGTTTTGTTTTAGCACATTTTATGAAACAGGGCTCTGGTGATAGAATAGTCCCGCCGCGGCACTTATGTCCTTTGGCAAGACGTTAATCTACATTTGCCTCTCTCTACCCAGGTGTAAATGGGTACCTGATATGCTTGAGCGCTAGTTACTTTGGCAGCTCGGCTACAACCAGGGTAATACGTGTAAAGCGCCATGAGCGTCAGAGCCTGGCGGATACCGGCGCTAAATAAATATCCATATTACTATTATAAAGAATGAAACTTGATTCTGGACCATTCAAGAAATCTACTTCTATTATGTTTTTTTTTTTTGGGGGGGGGGGGGAGTTTACATATTTTACAACAACATTCAATGGCAATTGCCAGCATTTTGTAGGGAAAAAACGACAAGATTTTGTTACTGAACTATTTCCTAAATAGATAGTTAGATAGATAGAAAGATACATACTGTAAACGCGGAAATATTTGCGGTACAGTAATTCTCACAAATATCGGGCTGAAGTCGGTGTCCGCAAATTTTAGAACCAGCGAAAATATAAACATGTTTTCTTATGCTTGTTCTGAACCGGCTGAATTAGGTGCAACACAAATTTAAGAACCAGCAAATATGTTTTGGGGTCGCTCAGCGCGAAAAATGAATCGCGCGAAAATAACAGTCTTTACAGTAGATACATATATATATGAATACATAAAGACAGAAATAATATTTTGTTAGTGAACTTACTGGGGTGAGGGTAGCTCCATGGGAGGTCTGTTAGATATGAAAGGACTTGGACTGGGTGGCTCCTCCACCTTGAACATCCTTTCCGTCTCTCTCCTCTTGTCAAGTGCTTCCTTCAGAAACCTGTTGTAGATCACAGCTGAATAGGGAGGGGGAAAAGAATATTGATGCATGAGATTTGGTCACTACATAGTCAAGTAAAGTCAAACCTGCTAGAGCAACCACCTGCACATAAGACCTATTCTTATCTTTCCTGTGAGTGGTCTTTATAAAAAAACAGGTTTCCTCGTAATAGGTTTAGAGAGTGCAACAACTAATACAGAAAAAGGTTTAAAATAAAAGTAAAAGTAAAGAAAATCATACACAGCCAACTACCTCCAAATACCCAAACCCCTCACCGCACAAATATCTCAAGTAATACTACCCAGAGCTGCCAACATTGTGCAACCAAAAAAATGTGACTTTCGATTGAATTTACATAATTTTCAAAGAGGAAGTTCTGATAACCTTTAACTTGCCCCTACTTTTTCAGAAGGAGGGGATCACAATGTCGTAACTTCCATTCACAAAATGCTATGATGTACAACAACCCTCTTAAAACATGCATTCCCCCGTTAAAACCTTTTTACCCATTCCTAACCAAACCATACTTAGGCACTGCAATTTTTAGACCACTCCTACACACAGTGCATACTTTGATCTCTGAACAATGAGCAGTTCGCTGTCACTAATCATTGCAGTGTGTGTATCATCCACAATACGGTTACCCTCTGCTATCCCGGATAAAACATGCATTCCCCTGTTAACACTTTTTTACCCATTCCTAACCAAACCCCTACTTAGGCACTGCAATTCTAGACAACCCCTACACACAGTACATACTTTGATCTCTGAATGATGAGCAGTTCGCTGTCACTAATCATTGCAGTGGGTGTATCAGCCACAATACGGTTACCCTCTGCTATCCCGGATAAAACATGCATTCGGATTCCCCTGTTAACACTTTTTTACCCATTCCTAACCAAACCCCTACTTAGGCACTGCAATTCTAGAAAACTCCTACACACAGTACATACTTTGATCTCTGAATGATGAGCAGTTCGCTGTCACTAATCTTGCAGTGGGTGTATCGTCCACTAGACGGTTACCCTCTGCTATCCCGTCCGCAGCCGAGTTGATGTCCTCACACACGGCCACGACTAGCGTTGGGATGGGAGCCACCATCTTTAGGAACCACCTGAAGAGAACAAAATCAATATTGAAGGGGTGTACCAAGTCTGATAAACATTTTAAAATCAAAATCTATGATGACTTTGTGTACTTATAAGATGTTCCCTTACAATGTTTCTAATGACTGCCTTTGAATTTTCATATTATTGTTGGTTTCCTCTTCCCTCAATACAACATTATTATCTATATAAGGTTCCAAGTGTTACAATGAATCAGTGTATTCAATATTTCATATTGTTCAGTCATCCTGGAACCTCAACTATTGATATCGATATCCTATCAATATCACACTAAAACAAAGCCATATTTACTGAGGTAAGTCAAATTTGTTAATTCGCTAGTCAGAATAATATAGATAATAATATTTTATGGCTTTGTTTTCTTGTGATACGAAAAATATATTGCTTTCGCTAAGAAAATATTAGACTTGTCTTTGACTCATCCAATATTGTCATAGCTCGAGCAGTATATTCTTGTATCACACTCAAAGCCATCCAATATATTCCCCCAATCAAAGAAAAATATTGTTGCTATGTCGGTCATACTTGAGCAGTTCCAGCGATGCCTTCCGCTGAGCTGCGTAGACCAGGATGTAACCGTGGTGAACGCGCTGCTCCCTGAGGATGTCCCCTAAGTGATAGGATGAGATCTCAAAGTCCACCCTGCACTTGGTGTCGATGAGGAACATGTCACAGGTGATGGAGTTCTTCTCGTTGGGCGTCGCCACGCAGTTGTGGCTGGTGATGGGCGACAGAACCAGGTCCGGCTGGAAGGGGTCACCGCAAGGCATGCATAGCCCAATCCTGAGGGGGTGGAAAGGGGTGGAAAGGGGTGGAGGAGGTGTTGGTGGTGGGCATGGTGGTAGGGGTAGGGGGGAGGTGTTATGCAAAGGAGGTCAAACTAAGGTCATCATAATTCATTGTTACTTTTTTATCAAGCGAATATTAATTTTTTCTATCATTTTATTAAATTGTTATTATTATAATTTGTATCGGAGCATTCTCCTTTTCCCCTTTTAAAATGCAATAATTTACTCAAAATTGCCAATTACATCAGTCAATATTTGTTTTTATAATCTTCTGAAAATGACTCCAAAGATCATATATCGAGCGCCATGAGCACCGAAAGGTGGACCTGTGCGCTATACAAGTAGCCACTATTATTATTATTATTATTATATACAGACACTATCTAAGAACATAGTGTTTAATACATAAGAACTTAATACCACAAGATTATTATTATAAACTTTGAATTCTCTATGAAAACAGAACCTAAATAATGCCATGAAGAAAAAAGAAAGAAAATGAAGTAGCAGCAGAAAATATAAGAATTTCAATAAGACGCAAAAACGGCAGAGGAATTTAAAATGAAATAAATGCATTTAGCAAGAAAATAATAGTTTAATGGAAGCAGAAAAATGAAAATGATGATTAATGGCAAGGACATAAGTATGCATTGCAGGATAATTTGAAATATATAATCATGATGTACCGTAGAGTAGCAATATAAGTTCAATATATAAGATAGTGTGCAAAATGAAAGGCTAGCATGAATGAGAAAGACTGGTGTACCTATCTAGAGAGAGGCTGTAGTTGTGTGTCCTGAGAAAGGGCAGGACCAACTCGGGTGAGAAAGGATCACCACACGCTAAGCACATGCCAATCCTACCATAGGTAAAGGACAGAGTGTGTGCAAGAAGCAGATGAGTTGATGGATGGTGTAGTGATAAACATGCACAGATAAATGGAGTGGAACAAGGGGGATAGAGAGTGTGTCAAACAAAGAGAGACATACAGCAAGAGAGAGAGAGAGGGAGAGGGAGAGGGAGAAGGAGAGGGAGAAGGAGAGGGAGAGGGAGAACGAGAGGGAGAGGGAGAGGGAGAGAGGGAGAGGGAGAGAGAGAGGGAGAGGGAGAGGGAGAGGGAGAGGGAGAAAGGGAGAGGGAGAGAGGGTGGAGAAAGAAAGAGTAAGGGAGAGAGTGAGGACAGAGAGAGGACAGAGAGAGAGAGAAAGAGAAAGTGAGAAAGTGGAGTGTGCCAAACAAAGAGAGAAAATAAAGAGTGAGAGAGAGAGAGAGAGAGAGAGAGCAAGATAGAGGAAAGAAGGAGAGATAGACAGTGTGTCAAAGAAAGAAAGAGAGGGGTGGAGAAAGAAAGATTGATGGAGAGAATGAGGGAGAGAAAAAGGGAGAGCAAGAAAGAGGGAGGAAAGGAGAAATAAAGACATACAGTAACAGAGAGAGGATGGATATGGAGAGAGAAAAACAGAAAAATACATATATAGAAAGGGAGAGAGGGGAGAGAGAAAGAGAGAAAGAGAGGGAGAAAGAATAGGGAACAGGTGAGGTGAAAAGAGAGTAGTATAAGAATGGAAGAGTAATGAAAGGAGTGAGAGAGTGAGAGAGCGAGAGAGTGAGAGAGTGAGAGAGTGAGAGGGATAGAGGAAGGAAGGACAAGGTGGGATGGAAAAGAGATTTGGAAAAAATGAAATTGCCAAAAGAAAAGGGAGGCAGACATTCTTTTCAAGGGAACAGAGAGAATAAAAAGGAAAGAAATGTCAAAATATGGGAGGGAAGAAAGGATGGACCAACACAAGTTTTTTTAAAGGATGGCGAAGAGACACACAGATGCACAGGACGCAAAGTGCAGTAAAAAGAAACAATTACATTCATGTACAATACAATGACAGGCAGGCAAGAAAGAAAAAGAAAATTAGATAAATACATGGTGCAAAATATGGTGAATAAATAATGAGCTATGCAAAGCAATAAGAAAATTAATATGATATGGATAGACTGAATGTATATATAGTCAAGCAAAACAAATATGGATAATACAGCATTTGATATAAGAGTTAGCTATAGCTTTTATGGTGTATAATCTTAGCATCATAAGGCGTATAGCATGTACATGATTTGAGCAAGTAATGATTAGCAAGAAATGAAGTAGAGCATCTAAAATGAAGCTTATGCAGAATAATATTATGTATTAATCCAAACATAGTAAACATATTATGTAATGTATATAAATGAGCTACAAATACTAGTGAGACAAGAAAAAGAAATGAAAAGGGTAAGAATGAAAAATGTAGAGAAACAAGAATGACATAAAAAGAGATACATCACCCAAATAGACAAGGGATATATATATATATATATATATATATATAGACGGAATGAGACGTTAATAGCAACAAATTGAGATACACAGATTGGCATTGAGAAAAGAAGAAAGAGATGACAAAGATAGATGAAGAAAATGAAAGAAAGAGGGGGAAAAGAAATAGAGAGAGAGAGAGAAAGAGCAAAAAACAAACAATATATGGAGAGGGAGAGAGAGAGAGCGAGAGATGCTAAGTAAAAAGCCAAAACATACTAATTATCCCAGAGCAGAGTGTATAGAAACAATGAAAGAGCAATTTGTTATTTAATAGAAACAGAAAGAAAAAAAGAAAAAGATGGATTTAGCTTGAGAGAGAGAGAGAAAAAAAAGCCACAATGTACTAGTTATCCAAGGGCAGAGTGTGAAAAAACAATGAAAGAGGAATTTTTTCTTTAAATAGAACAACAAAAAAACAGAGAGGAAAGACAGAGAAAGCTTGAGACATCAGCTAAATAGTCTAACAAGAAGAGAAAGAGAAAGAGAGGAATGATCAGATTCAACAACAAACCGGCTACAAGAATTCAGAGGTGCAAACCTGAAAGCATTGTCTCCCCTATCTCCTCTGTCACTCTCCACCTGGTTGGGCGTCCCGCTGCGATACTTCTGACCTGCGACCACGGATCTGAGGGCGTCCTGTATCTGAGACTCGCTGAATTTCTTCCCGTGCCACAGGGTCGTGTTGTCTGGAGGCACGTTCACGATCTGGCAGTTGTTCAACCTACAAGAAAAAAGACCCATTTTATAACGTAAGTTTCCTCTATCACAGTCGTAAGAAAGGATGAGCAGTGTCTAAAGTCAGAACTTGTTTATTGTTTGCAAAATCTTCTGTTGTCTTTGGGAAATAGTACAGCAAGGATTTAGTAACTAAGGAACAGGATCTGTAGGACACCTCAGGGTTCAAGGTTCAGGGTTCAAAGTTCAACGTGCTGCAACACCGTGGCTTACCTGCGGCACAACATCTCTGCTTTATCCCTGACCTGAGCCGCGTCCGCCTCCGGACTGGTGCTGCGACCGAACATTAGCACTACGGCCAGGTCCCTCAGGGTCGTTGAGTTGTACTCCTCCTGGTCGGATAGAATGGTACGTTCCAGGGAGTCTTGGATGTACTGGAAACCCTCCAGAGATGTGAAGACACAGATACAACCTGGTGTAAAAGAAGGAAGAATAAATAACATTTATTTGTCTACTGAACTGATTTTTCCACCGTTAACAAATTATGAAATACACAAAATACTGGATACTTATTCATTTATGCACAAGCAGTGCACTCCGTGATACATGGGTGGAAGTATGCTTTGAAAAGGGGAAACAAAGGCTTTTTATGTAGCACTGTGAACTGGTCTATTGGGTGAGGGCGCTAGATAAATGAACATAAAAGTAAATAATGGATAAAAAAAATAGCAATGTAAAATTCCCACTTTTCAGGCAATATCATTATTTGAATTGCTACTGACCAACAGATGCGAGACGTTTTTGCAGCTATTGTATACTGCCGTACTTGCTTAGCTGACCACCTGTACATGTACCTACACATGTACCTGTAAAGAACACATCCTTTGTTCCCTTCATATTCACCTGAAGGAACACGTAAGACAATAATTTGCCTACAATGGCCACTTCTTTCTCTAGTCTCCCTTCAGTGCTCTTCACACTCAGAATATACATCACATCTCTGAAGTTTTTTCAATTGCCAGAGCTATTTTTGTTAAGCTTTCTAGAGCAACATCGCTCCCCACTCCCATCTATTTCTTCATCAACAGTGACTTGGCAGACCTGCCAACCTCTGGAGTTTAAAAACTTTATTCTTTAATCTCCAAAGTTGTATTTTACTGACAAAAATTGTATCAACCAAAAAAAAAACAGACTGATATGTGGATCAATGCAGACCTGCCAACTTCTGGAGCTCAAAAACTGTATTCTTCAATCCCAAAAGTTGTATTTTTCGAACAAAATTTGTATTCTTAAAAGTAAACACGAACTGTTACGTGGATCAATGCCTCTTACCATCCCTACATACAGGAATAAATTTTTCAATGGATCATTGGTTGAATACATGCATGATTTTGTCATGACTGTTGTGTTCGATGAACCAATGAACATCTCCAAATTGCCGATGTGAGATGCTTGTAGGATACTTTACAGGACAGAATGGGCATTTTGCCATTGAAAATGGCACAGACACATAAAGAAAATTATTTTTAAAAAAATATATTAAAAAAAAATTTAAAAATAAAAATGAAAATGAAAATCATATTTTATTGAGGAAAATCATACTGTCGTATTTGCTTCTAAAATTTGTATGAAATACGACTAAATCGTACTGGTTGGCAGGTCTGTCAATGCCTCTAACTTTGGGTGAATCTTCAAGTGTCTCTCTCCCTTCTGTTGCCTTCTAAAGGGTTGTCTAGGGGAGAGGATTCACCAGGAGACAACGAAGCTCCAGACAACTCTCGCTACCAATGAAGATACAATGTCTTGCAGTCTACATTTGTATTACCTTGCGGTGTGAAGCTTTCCGATTGGAGTTGATTACTAGGATGAGTGATATCGCCCTCTATAGTCTTCAGATCGAGGCTGTATAGAACCTTATCCAGCGTGTAGTCACCATCGTACGATTGCGACTATGGAGAAAAGTGATTAAGATGGACCAGATTTAATACTCCTTCTGTAGACTGTGTCTCAATCATGAAAAACAGAGAACCCTATGGCTTGTAACTTTCATACCAAAATATTTGAAAGTGCTGAAATAGTCTTCGAACACACAGCACCTCATTTTGAGGCGTAACTGGTGTACTTTTCCGGTCAAAAGTAGATCCGAGCTTGAGTTTAATTTTCTATTTTCTATTTTGAATTTTTCAAAAAAGGAGTTCCTTGTATGTTTATAATCCTTTCCCTCGCCAACAGAATTACCAACGTTCTCATAGGATAAAGTAAGGTAGTAAAGTAGCTGAATGAATGTGTGCAGCTTGAAACATTCTTGGCATTCATCTACAGAATGGCAAAAATGAAAAGTGCTGATTTTGAAGAAAACAAAAATGACACATTTCTTTTTGAACCTAGATTTGTTCCCAATTACCATAACAATCCAATATTGTGTTTTTAACAGCTCTTTATATTAACCCATAAGTTCAGACTTTTTTTTCGAATTGGCAACAATTACTTCCACTTTCCACTGTTTCATAGTTTAAAAGAAATTAAAAATGTCTATTAAATGAAACAGTGCGAATGAAAAGTAAACCAGTATCAACAAGAAATTTTCACTGTGCACACCAAAAATAGTGATCCTAACTTTCCCTCTGCATTACTAATTTAGGCCGAATATACTGCAAACGCTACTTATCGTCGGTGGGGTGACAAAACCTCATATCTCAAAAATCATGAACTTTCAGGAGAGCGCAAAAACATTTCCTGTCTCAATAAAATTAGTGCTGTGACACCGTCCTTTGTGTGGAACTTGTGAAAAAACCGAGACAGGAGGCGTTCCATGGATTTATCAGGTGGTGTCGTAGGCCATTAGGTACACAATTATGCAAAAAAATCAAAATCTCAAAAAATTGAGATACGAGGTTTTGTCACCCCACCGACGTTATACTTTTTTCTATATCACTTCTTTGTCATGATCCACTTTTCAAGATGTGTTCATCAACTACATACATGTAAATGTTCTGATCACCAACCAATTTTCTTAAGTTGAACATTAAGTGTTATATTTATGGTGTTGTATGTTCTTGACAACATAGTGGCGATAAATGAATTAATCTTTTAGATTACCTGTAGATTATACTTCATGCAAAATTATTTTAGAAATATATAAGTGTTCATGTATGCATAACATAGAAAAACTGTGGAAACAAAAAGAGTGTGTGAAAATAATATTGTATCAGTTCATATGAAGTGGCAGTGTCAATGTTAAACAAAATCAATATACATAGTTTAGAGCTTGAATTCAAAATTGAATGGTATGTGTGTACGGTTAAATTAGCAGTTGACTCATATACATGTATGTTTTAAGTTTGTCCATGCATGGAGTGTTAGAAAAGAAGAACAGAACTTATCTGTATGCACAGTTTCATATCTTCAGGGAAGAAAGTGTGAATTTAATCAGTGACCTTTGACCCGTATAAAGAAACATGTTTTACAAAACAAACACATCACTCGCTAATGAACCACACAGCAATCACAGGACAAAATACTCCAATGCAAAGAGTCTACATCATTAAATACCAGTAAATGTATTTCCTTGAAATGAAATTGTCCTCTTTGATTTTTTTTTTCCCTCTTCAAATTCTAATTTCCATTTTGCTATTCATTGGGGTAATGTATGTTATAAACTTCTAATATGGTGGTTTAATGATGTATTTCATTTATAATCTTGATAATTTAAAAAGAATAAATACATGTTAAGGAACGATGTGGAATTGTGAGTAAAATTAATCATCAAAATGGATTGTGAAATTAATTCTAGACCATGGAATTTGATAGAATATTGGTGAAAATTAAAGAAATTTGGTTAGATTATTGAGACTTGTGTCATACGTATACCTGGGAATAATTCCTTCCGCTGCCCCGAAATGCCTGTGAATTCTACAAAAGGTCATGCAAGATTAAAGATTCAAAGAAATAGAAAGCCAGATTGTTTTAATTAATTCAACAATATATGTTAGTAACTTCGTACTCTGTTTAAAAACAGTCATGGCTGAACAGAGAAAGATTCACCTCATGTTAAATTTGCATTTGATAGGCCATTTTTGTAATGAAATCAACTTTAATGACTTGTTGAGTGTTTCATTACAAATTATTGAATTCACCTGTTTCAAATTAATTGTATTTCAATAGTCAGAATGTGAATTGCATACATTCTGTGTTGCTAGGTAGGTCGAGCCATAATGTTTGTCCTACCTAGCAACAAATAATGTATCCAATTCACATTCTGACTACTGAAGTACAATTATTCATAACGCGTATTTGGCTTGCGTATTGCTGCATATTTATGGCAAGCCGTTTTAACATTTATTCCTATTTCTTGATATCAAGAAATTAATTCTTGATATCAAGAATTACCATTGCTTTACAACAGAAAATCATTTCTTGATATCAAGAAATAGGAATAAATGTTAAAACGGCTTGCCATAAATACGCAGCAAGTCGTGAGCCAAATACGCAAATGTGTGACTGATGCATTGACTATTGACTAAGGGTAATTAGTTAGGGGGGACTCTTTCCGACCCGGACAGAATCCATCTAGACTACTGAGGCCTGAAACACAAATCTTCTTGACAATACAAAATCTGAAAAAGCCTGAAACACAGAAGCCACAAAGCCTAAAACCATGTTAAAATCTGACAAATCGCATCCCTGTTGACATTGGTGCTTGCTTTAATACATGCCTCTACTGTACATTGTCGACACTTCTAGGCATGCAGTCCCATACCTTGATTTCGGTGTCAAGTTCATCGGCCAATCCATCCTCACCAACGACAATGATGTTGAGTTTGTTGTTTGAGTCGTCCCAAGTTCCCAATTCTTTGATCGGTGATCTGCGGAGCAAAAATCAAACAAATTGGGCAAAATTGAAACAAATATATATTTAATGTCCCTGCCCCCATGCTACTGATTACAAGATCTATGAAACAGGGCCCTGGGGAGTGTTTCACAAAGATCCTAAGTTGGACTTAAAAAATATGGAAAGCCATTAGCATCTTTGAAAATATTTTGTAAAAGTTATTTTAAAAGGCATAAAATGTTGATTCAAATCGTTCATATTTCCTATCATCAAGGATATTTCATGTTCTGGATGTGGAATTTATAAAAAAAGTCTAAAATACTTGAATTTCTGCTTTTGAATATATTTCATTTAAAGACTCCAATGGCTGTCCATAATTTTTAAAGTCCAACTTAGAGTTAAGTTCTACTTAGGATCTTTGTGAAACACCCCCTGGACCACTAGCGGGCACCTGCAAGTGTCTTGTTCAGAGTTCCAACTACTACTTCCAATATCATATTCAACCTGGGACCCGCTTCACAAAGCCTTTTTTCAATCACAAATGACAAAATTCAGTGACAAATCTGCTGATGACCAATCAGAAGCAAGGACATCAGTAGCTTATAACAACAACTGTCATTTATCACTGATGACAAGTTTTGGGAAACAGGTCCCAGGTTTGGTGAACGAATACATGACAAATCATTCTTACCTTTGATAAAAATTAAGTCTAAATCTGAATATGTAATTGCAGCCAAATATGGCAAGTTAAGCCTCTATTTTAAAAAGTTTATATTTGAGTTGTAGTGGACTATATGTTTTTGTCATTTCACATTCCTGTACATGATTGTAAATAGCCAGTTGGCTTTTATGTTATTTTTGAGTACCCAATAAAAAAAAAAATTAAAAATAAATAAAAAAAAATCTTACCTCTGTACTGTTCTCTCTATGCAGAGTTGAGTTAGTTTCTCCATGCACTTCTCGCCGTAGTAACAGCTGTCGGTCGTGGGATTGTGTACGAAGGCAAGCTGTTTGAGCAGCATCACGTATCTCTCTAGATTCATCTCAGACAGCTTCTGCCATCTGTGGGAATAAGGGAAGATTTTAAAATAAGTTGAATACATGAGAGGTTTGAGGAGAAAGTTGAGTTCTGGGGAGAGGTGACAAAAAAATTTGTGAGCGTTTTCATGGAAGAAGATCAGAGAAAAAAATTATATTTTATGACAAGTAACAGCTTTAAAATGAGGCCCAATTTGTATGCCACATGTTGGTGTAGTCCCATATACATCTTTCTGTGTACAGTGCTTGTTACTTTACCAAGACTAGGCCAAATTTCTTATCATTTTGATTCTAGAACCTTGCAGTACAACCTTTTCTGACCGATTCCACACCGTTTCTTTCACAATGCAATCGCAAGACCAGAACTCAACTTAAAGAGAAGGTTGAGTTCTGGGAAGAGGTGAAAAATAATTTGTGAGCGTTACTCATTCTTATTATGCAAGTGTGGAAGAACATCAAATAAGACATGTTCTCTGAAAAGCCTGGCTCTTCAAATGCCTTCATATTCTAAATATGCATGTAACATCGTAAAAATCGGGGGGGGGGCGGCTTTTTACGCCACGTGTTCGTGTAGTCCCATATACATCTTTCTGTGTACAGTGGTTGTAACTCTACCAAGACTTGGCCAAATTTCTTATCATTTTGATGATTCCAGAACCTTGCAATACACACATATTCCTATATGCTAGATGATCAACCTTTTCTGGTCGGTTCCACACCGTTTCTTTCACAATGCAATCGCATGACCAGAACTCAACTTCATCTTTAATCTTTAACTGCATGTTTTCATAATCATTGCTTTATAATCACCATACTAATCTGCACTACATTGTAGCTTAGCAGTGCAAAGAGGTGTCATTGTCGAGTGGATATGTCATCGGACTGTGGATCACGAGGTGCGCGGTTCGAGTCCTGCTGCGGCACTTATGTCCTTTGACAAGACATTAATCTACGTTTGCCACACTCCACCCAGGTGAGGTAAAAGGGTACCTGGTAGAATTATTCTTTGAAATGTACTGTGTGCTGATAACGGCTGCCGGAGCTATCAGGAGCTTGACACAAACCAACTCTTTCCTAGACTAAACACCAAGCCGTTTTTTCACTCAACCCAGATTCAACTATTACTTACCTAGGCTCATGTTCCAGCTGTTTCACCAGTTTCTGCACCTCTTTGCTCGGCTGCTGGGTGATATCCACACTAGCGAGTAGGGCATATTTCTCCATCAGGAGCTCTGCAAAGTCCGACTGCGCCCGGGCTTGGATGTTCTCCTGGTGCACATTGTAGATGGCGACCTTCGTGCTCTCGTCGAGCTCTCCGAAGCTCTCGCTGTTGGAGATCGCGTCCAGGACGACGTCCTCGTCCATGGCGCGGAACGGAAGGACGATGTTCGGGAGACTTTCCAGCAGCTTCTTGAAGTCTGCTTTCATTCTGAAATGTCCCAAGATAAAGAAGTATTACAGTATAAATTCTTCAAGGTAATGTGAACTCCTGTAAAATGGAGCCAGACTGGAATGCTCCCCAGGGAGTGGAGAATGTGCATGCATTGTGTGCGGGAAAGCCTGAATCCTATGACCGGGGTAATAATACATCTGTAAATCGCTTAAAGACATCGTTGAAGTATTAAAGGTTATCTGCACTAGTTTGGCCAGAGGGAATTAGACCTCCCTGCAAGGTCACTGACAGGTGATTATGTCATCAATAAGCTCTCAATTAACATAAGAAAGAGGGGATCATGGGGGACCAATGATCACTGATTAGGCATTTTTTTCTACATAGAGGGAGCAAGTAGATACAAGAAGTACAGTGTGTCTTTAAGCCCCATATAAAAGCGAAGTAATATTATTATTATTAGTAGTATTTTTATTCTTATTAAACTTACTTCTCTTTCCTCTTGGCAGCGTTGAGTCTATTGACGTGATCCTGGAAGCAGTTCTCACATTCCATCTCGTTGCCTTCGAGAAGGTCGTAAGGGATGCGAACCTCGTTTGTGTCGATGTATTCACTCTCCCTCCAAGACTGGTCGTGTGGCAGCACAATGAACCACTGGGCGAAGTTCGTCATCTCGGGCAGCATGTGACGACATTCTGTCCAGTCCCTGGGAGAGTGAAGAAAGATGGAGAGAGAGAGAGAGAGAGAGAGATAGAGAGAGATAGAGAGAGATGGAGAGAAAGAAAGAAAGCGTGGGGGAGGAAGAGAGATAGAGGAGAGGGATAGAATAGAGGGATAGAAGAGAGAGAGATATATATATAAGAGAGAGATAGAAGAGGGTGAGATAGAAGAGAGAGAGATAGAAGAGAGAGAGATAAAGAGGGATAGAAGAGAGAGAGAGATAGAAGAGAGAGAGATAAAGAGAGAGAGAGATAGAAGAGAGAGAGATAAAGAGAGAGAGATAAAGAGAGAGAGATAGAAGAGAGAGAGAGAGATAGAAGAGGGTGAGAGAGAGAGAGAGAGGAGAGGGATAGAATAGAGGGATAGAAGAGAGAGAGATATATAAGAGAGAGATAGAAGAGGGTGAGATAGAAGAGAGAGAGATAAAGAGAGAGAGATAGAAGAGAGAGAGAGATAAAGAGAGAGAGATAGAAGAGAGAGAGATAGAAGAGGGTGAGATAGAAGAGAGATAGAAGAGAGAGAGAGGGGGGGAGAGAGAGAGAGGGGGAGAGAGAGAGAGGGGGAGAGAGAGAGGGAGAGAGAGAGAGAGGGGAGATGGAGTCAGAAAGGGAGGGGCAAGGGAGACACAGAGAGGGATGGATGGGAGGTCGTAGACAGAGATAGAGAGAAAATTATCTTGAGAAACAATGCAATACAGTGAAACCTGTATAAAAAGACCACTCAAGGGGGACGCAACTAGACAGGTGGTATTTCTAATCAGGTGGTCTTTATGTACAGTTTCCTATAGTAGATATACATTTTTCAAAGGGAAACTTTCTATACAGGTAATTGCTAAAGAAATTTTGGGTAAAAAAATCAGTACAAAATGAGAAGCTTGTATCCAAGTTTTAACATATTGTATGTACAGTTAACAACTAAATTATCCATACCCTTATTATGTTTTTTAATTTGTTAAGCAGTTGAAAAATTGCTTTTATCCAATTTATTTTGTCTCGAGAACATGGCATATGAAAGTCACATGTAGGCAATAGTTGGCAAGGAAGTACTGCACACACTTTATAAATAATCTTGAAACCTATTGATAAATATTAGCTTTGATGGCGCGCCCATAACCGCACAAGTGTTTATTTCCTAGCTAAAAGTATCGGTGACTCAACGAGTTAAGTGGGTTTTGTTTCGATAATTTAAAGGCCAGTTGTTTACATTACAGTTCACTTTTGGAAGATAATGGCAACAAGACTGAATGTGAAATTTAATAAAGGGTGATTCTTCCTCATAGAGATAACAAACAAAGCTGCGACAAGTCTTGATGGTCTCAATTTATCTACGAGCGGCTAACAAACTTTTATCAGGTCTTGTATACGACGGAAGTGCGCTACAGTTTATATTTGGGCACGTTCAACCCATTTTGAAAGAGTTAAATTATTTGGATAAAACTTTCAATGCCACATGTTGGTGTAGTTGGTACATGTTTCTGGGTACAGTGCATGTGACTTTCAGCAAGCATGAGTGAATTTTTACCATTTTGATGATTTTTTTTTAATTCACATTATTCACCAATTATCATATAGTGCCTCTCCCATTCCTCCCTCCTAGTTTCATTCATGAGGCAACTGTATGACACAAACTCCACTTTATCTTGTACTATCTATAAACAGCGACATAGCGACACTCGTACTCTCTAAAATCGTGACAAACTGTTCCATCTTTATCGAGGAGAAAAGATCGCTGTGAGTAAACACGGTAGGCAAGAAATTTAATGAAGTATAAAAACTAATAAAATAAATATGTGTGTTAAAAATGCTCATTATTGAGAGAAACCTGATGCCATTATAAACAAGTGGGCGATTAAGTATGCGATTGGTTTTGATTCAAGTATTTATGACATGATGGAGGACATTAAGGTATAATGAGTGGCAGGAATACCGCTGAAACATTTTGTTTTGAATTTGAGAGGTATATATATATAAAGCAAGCAGATATTCCTTATTGGAGTACCTGTTATCTGATGGACAGGACCATACCATTCACAGTTTAGGGGGGAATCTGTTTATCTACCAATGAGGTAGTGAAGTTCAGGGAATGGACTCTACTTTTAGAATGAGCTACAGAGGGTCTGATCTTGTTCTAACTTTTTGAAACTGATCACCCCTAAGATCATAATGAACTTGACTCCTTTACGTTATAATTCCATAGAAGTATTAGAGTGTTCCATTCTAAATCTAGGGAGATGCAAGCTAGCCCTTTCACTGATGGACTTTAAATCCGGGAACAATATCTCCAGTGCATAGGGAAACTGTCCAAGATAATTTTCATTGTTTTCTACTTTTTAAAACTCACCACCCCTAAACTCATAATGGACTCAACTCCTCTACATAGCAATTGGTTCAGAAGCAGGCATATTCCATTCTTGAGTAGGGAGGGGCAGGCTTAACTTCCCCTGATGGAGTTCAAATCAGGGCATATACTCTCCATTGCGTCTGGTAGCATTGCCAGATACTTTCTCAAACTCACCATCACTAAAAGCATAATGGACTCAACTCCTCTACATGCTACTTATTATAAAACAGGAATGTTCCATTCTCAATTTAGGGAGGGGCATGCTTACCTTCCACTGATGGAGTTCAAATCGAGGAATATACTCCCTAGTGCACCTGGTAGTGCTGCCAGAAACTTTCTCAAACTCACCAATCCCTAAAAGCATAATGAACTAGACTCCTCTACATGCTACTTACTATGAAACAGGAATGTTCCATTCTCACATTAGGGAGGGACATGCTTACCTTCCACTGATGGAGTTCAAATCCGGGAATATACTCTCCAGTGCGTCTGGTAGCCTACCCAGATACAGCTTCATTTTATTCTGCTGGTGGTTCTGGCGAAGCCGCTGTGTGTGCCGTGTGAAGTAGTTCTTGGCGTTCTTTGTACCGATGAGTTCAACAACCTATTTTTATTTTCCAAAAAAGAACAATATTTAATTACTTTGCATAAACAAGCTTGTGTCGGTCATTATGCACGATCGTTCAACAATTAATAAAGTAGACTGGACACACATGCAACATAAACAGTGGTGGATACTGTTGCTTATTTATTTAGATTTGGCACAATTTATAACATTTGTGGTGCCAAAATAAAACCTTTTTACCTCCACTCTGCAATATTGTTTTATTTGCTTCAGAGGTGGGATGATTGTATGCTCATTAACTAAGTGTACAGGCAATAGACATAATTACACTATGGCAATGATCTACAATGTACAAATATACTTCCAAGGGCATCAGCAAAGTATTTGGCTCTACAAAGGTAAATCAATCTAAACTGGACGATACAGGAAAGGAAAATATTTGAAATAAGCTTTCTCAGAGACAACACCAACTAGTTACAATGTTTTAAAGGCACACTGTCCTACTTGTAGCTACTTGCTCCCTCTATATAGAAAACTTCCCCAATTGGTGCCTGTTGGTCCCCCATGATCCTTTTTTTCTTATTTTAAATGAGAGCTGAGTTAATGATATAGCCACCAGTCACAGTGACCTCGCTGGATCGCTGGGTGGTCTAATCCCTTCTAGCTGAAGTAGTAAAGCCTGCCTTTAATGGCAATAATCTATATGCATAATGCATATCCATATACATACAGAAATATCTTTGTATTTGCAACTAGTCTGCTTTTGAAGACTTATCTTCTACACTTTGAATACAGTCAAAGAAAGTATTTTCAAGAACCAGACACAACGTGAGTGTAATTACAGAACTAAGGGTGGACATTTTTCTTGCTGGTATATACGTATTATGTCATCAGTCTGGCAATGTACATTGTAGGAATTGTAGTATAGTATGTCCTCGGCTATCGAATTACAGTAAACTGATATGATGTAAATTATACACTCAAGAGGATATCAGGTGTATATTTAGGATCAGCAAGGAAATATCCCACAAGTACTTATCTCCTTGCAAACAGAGCTACCTGTAAACCGCAAACGATCGAGTGGTTTTGGTTGCCTATTCAACGCACAGGTTTGTGGCAAGAATAGAGACATATTTCTGAAGTCCTAAGTTGTATTTTAATGACCACATCAAGTGATGTACATTCTCAAAGTCAAGTACCGGTACATGAAGAGTGATATTTAGGAGCGATATTGAGGATTGATATCGTTGTGTGATATCGATGTGTGATATTAAAATAGGCAAAGAAAAAGAAGAGTGTAAGTGACGAGCGATAGAAGTAAATTGATGACTTATGAGGCAACTGGTATTAACTAATGGGACAAGGTACTTTAGGCTTGCACAATTAGAGAATGGATTAAAGAAATTTTTTAAGTTTGCGATCAATCAAACACAACTTGGCAACTCGGTGATGTATCTTGCAAGTTCCTAACAAGAAATTAACAAATAAAGCTCCTTCAAATATCCATAACTTTGTTAATTGTAATTCGATTTTGCTCACACTTTCACTGACCTGTTCCTTCTTCTATTAAAGCCAACATAATATCAAGGTAAACTTCCCCTGTCTGCATTAGTTTGCCCATAGGGGATTAGGCCTCCCGACAAGGTCACTGACAGGTGGTATCTCATGAAATCAGCTAGCAATTAAAATAAGAAAAAGAGGATCATGGGGACCAACAGGCACCGATTAGGCCTTGTTTGCTACATAGAGGGCGCAAGTAGCTATAAGTAGTGCAGTGGGCCTTTAATACTCAAGGACACTATACCTTTCTAAAGACGTCTCTGTTCTGGTACTGCTTCTTGCGCGACGTCCACAGATCATGGTAGTTGACCACCTCTTTCTTGAGCATCTGTTCATACTCGTCCACCGCCTTCGTGATCACCTTCTGCCTCGCTTCGTTAGCTGATGGGAACGGCACCTCCCTCGGCCCGCTCCTCTTATCGATCTTGCTTGCGATCATCGCAAATGCCAGGTCTACATTGACGCCCTCTTGCGACGACGTCTCGATGAGCGGGGCTTTGATCTTCGCCGCGAAGGCCTTGGCGTCACGCACGTACTGGTCCCAGGCTTCGTCGTATTTGGTTGCGACGACGACCACCGGCCGCTTTGCCTTGTGGAGTTGGCCTTGCAGCTTGGTGAGCCATTCCAGTTGTTTCTCGTGTCCCGGTGACCGCGAGACGTCGTAGATGATCAAGAATCCATCCACAGGGAATTTACCGTCTGGGAGAATTTTCTGAGTGAAGTTGGTTTCGTCACCTGTGTGATATAAGCAATACATTTCAGACATGAGTTTAAATAACCATTTAGATATGAGAGCGTCTGGGGGCCGTTTCACAAAACTTGTCATCAGTGACAAATGACAGTATTTGTATCAGCTACTGAAATTCTTGATTCCGATTGGTAATCAGCAAGTTTGTAACTGATTTTTGTTATTTGTCATTGAAAAAGGGCTTTGTGAAACAGGTCCATGGTCTCTCCCAGGTGGACATTGGAGACTCGTAGGCTTGGGGAAGGGCCATATTAAAGGGAATGAACGCTCAGCCCCACAGCGAGGGGAAAAGCGGATCTATGCTAAATGATGATGACGATGATGTAAAGATGACCTTCATATTCCTCAAAGCCATAGAATACAAGTTAAATGAGGGTATTTTAACTGTAAAAATATCTTAAAAATCTATATTGCACCATTTGTTTATCTCCCTGTAAGGAAAGCCCAGGGTTTTTTTTTTCAGGCGGTGTCGAGTCTGTTTGGTGATGTGACAAACACATTAAAGATAAACTTTAGTACTGGTAATGCGATTGCATTGTGAAAGAAAAGGTGTGGAAAGGATCAGAAACAGTTGATCATGTAGCATGTTGGTGTGCACTGCAAGGTTCTGGAGTCATCAAAATCATAATAAATTTGACAACACACATGGTGTCGGGGCTAGTAATAACTTGATTTCCTTGTCTTTCTATGCTCATTACTCAGCCAGTATACATTTTCTTCCAAAATTGTTTGGCACATGTCATTTATTTGTAATCTTGAACATTCAGTGTAAGTTTCGTTTGATTCTGTGAGAATTATTTTTTTTTTTTTTACCAGTACTGGAGTTTATCTTTAATAGGGAATCATAACTTCAAGCCCGAGCAAATGTCCCCGAGCAATTGCTGGATGACCCTCATACTCACCAACTTGATCTTTACAGATGTACATGACCTTCTCCGCAGACTTGAGGTTTGTGACCGCAGCTCGTTTGTAATACGCATGGGTGTTTGACCCTCTGAGGGGCGAGAAGGAGGAGTCATCTATAAACTCTGTCTGTTCCACCACTCTGTATGTTATTGAATCGCCATCATACTTCCTTGTACATTCACCTGCATGAGAAAGAAACAATCAGTCATCAAGGAAATAATCAATAATATTCTGTTCTTGTAAAGGGCATATCACAGTAAATAATGTCCCCATGAGCTTCCAAAGAGCTTTTTGAATTAATACCACCTAAACTTTAGCTCTGGCAGCTGTTATAAGAGCACAGTGTATTTTAATGAATACTCCTACCACGTACCCGTTTACCTCACCTGGGTGGAGTGTGGCAAATATGTAGATCAATGTCTTGCCAATGGACGTTAGTACTGTGGCAGAGATTTGATCCATGTACCTTGTGGTTCAAAGTCGGGAGACTTATCCACTGGACCACAACACCTCTATCAATGAATTTTGTCTGTCACAACATGCATGCATCTACATGTACATGTATCTAGATTATTTAATTCATTTTTCAGTAATTCATTTATGGCATGATATTCAAGTTACATTGTATTTCAGGTGAATGGAGCCACAAATAGAAAGATAGTCAATCTTCTGAAGAAAAGACTAAATTTTCTTTTGCGTAACATCGTATTCGTCTTATCCATGTGACGTCATTATGCTTCATATACATTGATGAACCACATTCATCTTAAAAACATTCTACAAATATTTTGAAGGAGAAATCATGAATGGATTCTATCATAAAATGTCATGGTATCACCTTCATGCTTTTTCATTTATTCAAAAATAATTTCAATGATTCACATTAGTTAAAATTCTAATTAAATTTCTAAGAAGAATTTTCTCTCCTTTATTCTTTATTATTTGATTTCCTATGCTAATGTTTGGAGATATACAAACGGTAATGAATAATAAATGAAATTATTCAAGATTTGAGTCTCACCCCAGTAGAGGAAGTGGTCATTGTTTACGATGCGCCCGCTGAAATCACTCGAGCTGATGACCGAGATGTGGTCTGTGAAGTACTTGTCCTGGTGAGGATTCAAGAAGCGGTTGCAGAGGCACGACTTGCCGACTCCCGTGGCCCCGCGCTCTGTCTCCGTTCCCGACATGCCCATCACGGATATGTGGTAGATCTTCTCTGGCTTCTGACGCGCCATTGTAGCGTTGTCCTTGCTTCGCTTCTTTCTCAAGGGTTCTTTCTCAGATGCTATGCATCAAGGGTCTTCTCCGTGGTCTTCGAATGAGCGTCACGCAGACCTGATGAACATAATCACGGGTTGTCTGTGACCCTTCAGGCTTCCTTGACTTCTGGAGGACCTTCGTGCCTGGAACAGGAGTATCTTGTACCAAACACAGAACGTCCACTACTCTTTCAATCTAACGTCCCTCTTGGTGACCAGGCCGATGATGCATGTACAAAATGTATCAGCAAGGTTTCTCAAGAAGAAATAAAGCAACTCAGGATGTAGCGCTCTCTCCACTTATCTTTCGATCCTAAAAATAATATCGCCTACTCTGTTTATCGTCCCTGTTGTCAAGTCCTCATGAGGAAGTCCTGCTAAACAACTACGGTAAACATCTACAGGAATAAGTTTCAACTCTAAATTGGTAGTACTAGTCACGTTAATCTACGTGATCATTTTGCAGGCTTTGGGAGATTGGAGAGACGATGCACTTGCATTGGAATGTTGCCAATTTGAAGATGTCCTGTTTTTCTTGGACTGGAGCAATCTGGGCAAAAAGATAAAATATCAGATTAAAAAAATGTTATTAAGCACTCAAAGGACAATCCAACATTTGTCATCATAAGTTCATCTGTTTGAAAGCAGAAAAATAGGAAAAATTGTTTTCCCCCAAAGTACTGTCTCCCTCGGGGGCACTTCTCAAATATATCAATTATGGACAGCATATTAAATACTAATACTGTTTTCACACTGGCAATATTTTGCTTAACCCCGTACTATAGGTGGGGTTAAAGGGGGGGTTTTAGCCCCACCTATAGTCCGGGGTTAAGCCTATTCCACTTTCTGTTCAGACTCGTTTTTACCAAAGTGGGCTAACCCCACCTATAGTACGGGGTTAACTAACCCTGCAAAATAGCAGGGCTAACCTCACAATTGTGGTACTAACTCCTGCTAACTCCGCAATTGCGGTGCCAAGCAAATGAATGAGAACAGAAACAAAAAATAGTCCGGGACTACGCAGTGAAGCGAATTAATGAATTCCATGGCCATGGCTAGTACGGGGCTATAAAGGAATTGCAGTGAGAAAAGCCAAAAAAAATAGTCTGGGGTTAAGGATAGTACGGGGCTAAGCAAAGTACGGGGTTAAGCAAAACCAGTGTGAAAAGAGTATAAAGGTCCTCTATAAAAGAGAATAGATACTCCTGATCCTGAGTCTCATATTTTTTTCTTATTGAAGTTCTAATCATTTTGTGTGTAGGAGCAGGTTGGAAGGTTGTCTGCCACTACGTCACAGAGACATGAAGGATTCAGCCAAGTTGAAGAGCCCATTACTTTCAAAAACTTTGAACTATAATCACGTTTTTGTCCAATCTCATTCAAACTTTCACCAGTCTACAAATGTACTACTCTTGATTTTTCTGCTTTCCTCTAGAATAGTTTAATACCAAGATTGGATTTCCCTTGAACTATTCGAACGATCCCTGACCTGTGTACATGTATAGGCTGGAAAAGTTCAAGTTCAAATTCAATTTTATTTAATTCCAGTAAAACTATACATGTACACATACAAATCATAAATATGTGTACAAGCACAGATGCAAATCATTATACACAGACTCGAGGGTACCATGAAAAAATACAGCCTTCTTGTCAAAAAAGTCCCCTGTACATGTATATATGTAAAAAAAGTTGAAAGTGCTTGATAGTATCAAGAGGAAAGTAGACATTTCTATGAATTATAACACAATGATCAAATAAAACATTAACGCATAGTGATGTAGCAGCCATTGTTGCAAACAACTGTCTGATTTTACCAAAAAAATATTGCCTCCTGCCATTCATGTACACATGCGTTTGCAAAATTTGTAACAACATTTTTTGAATTTCCTTTTCAGTTGGTTTTAAACGCTGTCATGGCCTTTAATCCAAGATTCTTAAAGTACCATTAATTACAAGTGCCACCATTGGAAGACTGAAATAAAACATCTTGACTTTTCCTTCCTTCCTCGTTCTAAATTAGCTTCTACGTCCGCTTTCAATATATCTCTCCAGGCCCATCAAATGTTCTTGAAGTTTTCTTTCCTGATCTTGTAATTCCCAAAGATTTTGATAGTTCAAGAAAGCTGGCTGATAATAATTTTCCTACAATTAACAAATAACCCCTTTATAACTAGGGCTTACTTTTTCTTTTACACTTTAAAAACTGTTTTAAATAAAGAGGAATTCTGTTTTAATCACTCAATTTCTTCTCCTTCTCTCCCCCCCCCCCCCTTACATGTTGTACCTCCTCTATTTTGGTACACGTAGATGTCCAGGGTCTTAAGGTCTGAAGAAGTGAGACTAGACAGCTCGTCGCCTCAATGATGTGACTTACAACTGCCTTAATATCCTGCATAGCCAACCAGCTGTGGTATTCAATGTGTTAGGGTCTGAAGTTGTAAGCCTAGACATCTTATCACCTAGGGGTTTGATATACATGTAGTATAAAGACTAGGACACTGATCACCTCAAACTGCCTTATTCTGTGATAGCCCATGGGACATGGCTTTCAATGTCTTAATAGGGTCTGAAGAGGTGAGACTAGACAGCTCATCTCCTCAATGAATTGACTATTAGGGGTATAAACACCACCAGCCTATTAAAGGTAAAGACCAGTATTGGAAACGCCCCAATTTCAAAAAATGAAATGGAAGCTCTCATTACCAATCATGTGAAAGAATATGTTTTGACTAATACATGATGATAAAAAAATTGCCGGGAAACCGCCTACTAATTCATATATTTGGTAAATTTGTTTCTCTCATGGTCTGTGAGAGATATAGGGTAGTCCCATATACATCTTTCTGTGTATAGTGCTTGTAACTTTACGAAGAATGGGCCAAATTTCTTATCATTTTGATGATTCCAGAACCTTGCAGATGCTAGATGCTAGATGACCAACCTTTTCTGATCGATTCCACAACGTTTTTTTCACAAAGCAATCGCATGACCATAACTGGTCTTTACCTTTAAAGGGTCTGTGGTAGTAAGATTATTAGACACTGTCCACCTCAGCCATGGTATTCAATGTCTTAGGGTCTGGATAGTTGAGACGTAAGACTAGACAGCTCATCACCTCAATGAATTGGCTTAGGGGTATAAACCCTACCAGCCTAAGGGCCAATGTAAGATGACACCGCCATATACATCAGTGTCCGGGCAGATGGGTAACGCATTAATATCCCTCTCCCTCCCCTCTTCATCATACTACCAAATAAAATCATATCATCAGAAAGGATGGTTTCAAGACCATTTGGAGTGACCCGGCTTCATGTCAGAATAATTTGTTTGGACTTTCTTGAGACATTGAGTGGATTGAATGAATGAAGTCTTGTTTTATTTAAGCTTTTCTGTCTCTCCTTTTTATGGATAATATTAAAGCAGATAAAATATTGAAAACATGGAATTCAAAGGCTAAATAGAATGTGGCTTGAGCCAAGCCTAAACAAGCAGATGTCATGGTAAACGTTCGCATCACAAGACTTTTGCAAATTGTATAGTCATTTTCACAGCCAGAAACTTGGTAATGAGGATTAATGCCTTGCGAAAGTGCACTAGCGCATCAAACTGGTTTCAAACCCAGGACCTCATAGATATGGTACCACTGCTCTACCACTGAGCCATCGTTGCAATGTGAAAGACTAACAAAAATGTAAAAATGCAAACTATTCTACATTCAGTTACTCTAAACTTGTCTTTTTTCCATCGAAGAGAGGTAGGGGGGAAAGGACTACACAGGTAGTACAGTAAGAATTGGTTGAAAGACCACTAGTACAGTATACAAGAGCATTGCTCTGTCTCCACTGAATGTCAATGCTCGCATCGCATAGCGAAGAATCAATATCAAAATAACACATGGAATTGTGCACATTTTCGCAAGCGAGATGGTAAAGTCATCAGCGACTGCGTCCCAAGGAGCATGGCTGTCACCGAGATGAAAGGGAGTTAAATGGCGGGATAATTCATCATAATAATCAGTCAGAATTGGGGGCTTTTAGCCCAAAATGATGATTTATCGACCTGATGGAATCATGGCATACAAGTATAATCCAATTATAATGTATGATAAGTTTAAGAAGGGCCTTAGGCTTAATACCTAACACCCTTCCGGCACTGACAAGTGACAATGGATTTCATAGCAGGTTTTTTAGCCTGGACGAATGATTATCAACCAGAAGGATTCATCAAATTAAAAAACAATCATAATGTAAGGTGAGATGAGATGAAAGCCAGAAAGCCCTTACGGCGTACCCCTGTTTTGGAGTAACATCCTACTGGCTCTGACAGTGGGTTTCAAAGACAGCTTTTAGCCTGAAGCTACGATTATCGGTCTGTTCAGAGCCAAGAGGGCATTACATGTACAAGACGTTATGGCTCAGTGGTGGAGCAGTGGTGTCTCTATTGCGCTGTACAGATACTGCATATTATGGACTACAAAGACAGCTTTCGGTCTGAAATAATGATTTATCAACCTGATCATCTGATGGTTATATGGTTTATAATTCAATTAAATGGTCTGTTGAGATCCAGAAGGGAGTAAAAAAAAAGGACCTCTGTTAAAAAGATATGAGCTAATGCATTTCTGGCCCTAACACTGGCTTGTCTCATGCATGGAGTTAACGGAGGAAATATTAAAAGCATCAACCATTTGGAGAACTTCAAACAGCCATAAATCTATCAAATTTAGCTTGCAACGTCCATGTAATTGATCTATTGTAAAATGTTTATTGGTACTGGGAAAAAAAGACTTGATTCTAGAGTACATGCCACTTAAAGATGAAGTTGAGTCCTGGTCATGTGATTGCATTGTGAAAGAAACGGTGTGGAATCGACCAGAAAAGGTTGATCATCTGGCATGTAAGAATTTGTGTGTATTGCAAGGTTCTGGAATCATCAAAATGTTAAGAAATTGACCAAGTCTTGGAAAAGTTACAAACACTGCACACAGAAAGATGTATATGGGACTACACGAACACGTGGCATAAAAAATCTACCCCCCCCCCCCCCCGAGTTTTACGATGTACATGACATATTTAGAATATGAAGGCATTTGAAGAGCCATGCTTTTCAGCGATGTTCTTCCACACTTGCATAAGAATGATAACGCTCACAAATTATTTTTCACCTCTTCCCAGAACTCAACTTTCTCTTTAATACTAAACATGGTGGATACGTTAAAGGCATCCTCGATTCGGTGAGTTACAAAAGCCACAAAAATGCCCCCAATTGCTTGAAAGGAGCATAATTGGTGTTTTGAGAATTGCACAGAAAAGCAGGCTGATTTTTCATTGCAAAAAGCTTCCACTGTAAAGCAAGGTGAAAACATTATAATCTGTTTGATGAATATTTGAGTAAAAACAAAAAAAACATCACTAACATCACTTATGCTTGAATCGTAGACACTTAAACTGAATCTATTGCAAAATGTCAATAGCACCGGGACAAGCAGACATTGAATTTTAAAATAATAAACAAATACTAAAATATGAAGTATGGAGGAAACATCAG